GTGTGTGTGTGTGTGTGTGTGTGTTGTATTCTAAAAACCCTGATTTGAAAAGTAGAATGGTACAATGTTTTAAATAATAAAAATGGATGTTTCACATATTTCACATATTAATCATGAAGGGACCTTAAAAGATGTCATACTGAAGGAATTTAAGTGAAGTTGATACAAACATCAATAATCCCAATTCTTAGGGAGTTTGTTTGACAGGTGTATTGTATTGACCCTGCACAATTTCATTGAAAAAAACATCTGACTACTGTGATTGCTAAATGTCAAGGACCAGCTGAAAGTCTTAAGGAGACATTTTTTTTTTAGTGAGGAATGTTCCTAGAGCAAAAAAATGGATATCCCTAAACTGATAAATGTTCCTACAGAAATATCTTTTAAGTGAGAATGTTCCTACAGCAGATATTTTTTAAGTGAGAATGTTCCTACAGCAGATATCTTTTAAGTGAGAATGTTCCTACAGAGATATCTTTTAAGTGAGAATGTTCCTACAGCAGATATATCTTGACTGGGAATTACTCCTACAGCAGATATCTCTTGCGTGAGAATATTCCTACAGTAGATATATCTTGCTTGAGAATGTTCCTACAGCAGATATATGTTGACTGGGAATGTTCCTACAGCAGATATCTCTTGACTGGGAATTGCTCCTACAGCAGATATATCTTGCTTGAGAATGAACCTACAGCAGATATCTCTTGAGTGAGAATGTTCCTACATCAGATATCTCTTGAGTGAGAATGTTCCTACAGCATATATCTCTTTGAGTGAGAATGTTCCTACAGCAGATATATCTTGCTTGAGAATGTTCCTACAGCAGATATATCTTGCTTGAGAATGTACCTACAGCAGATAACTCTTGACTGGGAATTGCTCCTACAGCAGATATCTCTTGAGTGAGAATGGTCCTATAGCAGATATCCCTTGAGTGAGAATGTTCTCACAGCAGATAGCTCTAAGTAAGAATGTTCCTAAAGCAAATATCTCTTTAATGATATGTTCCTGCAGCAGATATCTCTTAAGTGAGAATGTTCCTACAATTGATATCTCTTTGAGTGAGAATGTTCCTACAGAAGATATCTCTTAAGCAAGAATGTTCCTACATAAGAGAGGCATCTCTTAAGCAAGAATGATCACTTATACAGTGGATATCTCATGTTACTAGAATACATATCTGTTAAAGATCCCTTCCACTACCAAAAAAGGTAAAGTATGAATTAAAAAACATTCTATCTGAATAACAACAGCTTTAATATGCCATGTTGCAGAATTTTTATGAAAATATAATAAATATTATATATATAAAAAAGTATTTCACAGTTCACAGCGTTTTAAGAGCAAAAATGCAATGAGGCAAGTATGAGATTCAATCAAACTTTGGATCTCTGATTACAACACTGTCATTCCAACTAACATGAGCTAATTGATTAAGAGTAGTTATAAATGTACCAAGCACAGTGGGACGGAGATCATTAAGTGAGAAAAAAACGTTTATATATAGATATCATATCTCCTTATTTTTTTTTTTCAAAGCAGATATCTCAAATGTAAATAAATCTGATATCTCTCAAAGCGAATGTAAATATATCAGATATCTCTTAAAGACAGTAATGTTTCCACAGCTTTTTTGTCTTTTGTGAGGAACTTTCCCTCATATATAGAATATCTCTTAACTTGTCTCCATCTGCTTCAATGTTTTTCTTTCAAGAATAAGTTATTTCTATTATACATGTAAGTTACAAACTAGCAAGGAATGGTTGAGGATGCTACTTAACAAAATGTCACCTGTTACATTGTCAGGAAGTTTTCATTACAAGGGGTCATTCCTTCAAGTAAATAATAAATGACAGACTTACCCAGAATTATCTTCCTGCTGCCAGACCCAGACTGCTATGGTGATAGATCCCTCAGGTCCCACGACAGGAGTTTCTACAGGAGTAAGGTAACAGTGTACCCCTTCCATCACGAAAAAGGTAGATTTCTCTCCCGTCACACTCCCTGGCTTGGTGTTTACAGTATCCACAGCGATGCATTGTCCTTGGTCAGGGCTGGTGACGATGAGAAGATTGACAGGGGTGGGTAAGGCTGTCCTGTAGGGGCAAGTCTGTACACAGAAGTCCTGTGTACACTGTTCAACAGACACAGCAAACACAGAACTCTTACAATAAGCATTTCTGGACGGGATTCCACAGGTACTGACTGAAGGACTACTGGTGATGGGGCGGTTACGTGCTGCATTGAAAAGTGGTGGAAATGGACGTAGAATTATCTGAGACGAAACATGGCCACTTAATGATGTCATTGATACAAGAATGAAAAATACATAGTAGAAAATGATTGACATGTGTTGGCTCGTTATCCTCAGGAGCAGTTGCTGTTTTCTGTGAGGCACAAATGTGGTTAAACACATATTGGAAAATTTCTGAATAACACCCTGCCCATAAATCACAAATCCTCCTCTTGGTACGTCAATCACTTTTACTCCATTAGCACCTGTCCAAAATGAACAAACTTCATGTCCCTTCAGTGGTCTGACACAGAGGAAAGAACTTTTTACACTTTTGAAAGTTTTGTCGGTGTGACAGGAATTAAATAAAATCTATCTGCTATATATATAATCCTGTACTTAGGAACAATCTGTGACACAACAGGATACAGGCTGTGGGGTACAGCTGGACGGAAGCATCCCTGTGTAACGATCCTTCATTGATGACTGGCTGCAGTCTGTCGGGTCAGTACAACATATGGGCTGGGCAAAATCAATGATTTCACAACAGTTGATATTTCACTGGTATTGATTGGCTACTGCTGTGTATATACACTGATCAACTCACCTGAAGATGTTACCTGGCGGTAATCTAATTACCTGTTCACCTGGTTGTTTTCTAATGAAAGGTCTTATAACATTGGACAGATGTTTGATGCACAATACATACCTAAATTAATGATTAAAGCAGAACATTGCGATATATATGTTAAAGGTAAATATTCGAACAAATTATAACAGACCAAATTCGAAGACACTGTTAATATCCCTTATTTTGTTACATGCAATTATCAATTGCTTTTTAAATATTCATCGAGGAAGAAAAAAAATAGCTAAAATCCCTTCATTATATATTCAACACTAGTATTGTTACATTTGTATTATAAATTAAACATCACGGTATAGCATTATATAGCTAGGTACGTCCACAGACTTACGTCACAAAGGAGTTCTAGAGAAACTCCTACACTGCAAAGTGCAAAAAATTGTTAATTTTGATGTAATTCACAATTTGTAGTACCAATATTTTCAATATTGATTTAATACTAATCCGTCAACATTATTAATATAATATTAAATTATATAAATAAACACCTGCACAAAATTAATATTTCATCTATATCATACTTACAAACGTCTTCATCTATGACCGTGATGACTATAAGATGATAATATTTGGCTATTTAACATTAAGTTTACAATTTTAGTTCCAACTTCCATTGAGTGAACCAAGTTCCTTGCCCATTGAGAATATGATAGTACTGAAATTATCGACATGGGCTGATCGGGGCAGGGTGACCGAACCTCTATTTTTTGGAGGAGGTGTACTCTTAACATTAAAAAAACAAACACTGAATGACAGTTTCCGCATCATCGATGATGCATGTCATCAAAGAGCTACGTACAAATCTCCGGAAGTCTGACTGTGGGTCTCCAGCGCGAAAACTTATTGGAGTTGTCTTTCTTCCATCCAAAAAGGACGGAGAGGAGTGGTTTAAATTTTGGGATGGGCCTAAAATAATTGCAAACTAGTACCGTCACTACGTTCAGACCGGGGTAAGTCAGGCCGGCCGTGATATTTTGGGTCTTGAGCAAATATTTACAACTGTGATATCTTAGCAGTTCACTTGACGGGACGGGACATTTACACGAATACAGATGGTGGAAATCAATTATCATCTACTACAATTTATACACAAGTAGAAAGTTACCCTTTTGTTTGGGGTGGGGTGGGGGGCTAGCATGAACATCATAACTCTACTAAAATTTTGACGCTTTTGTTTTAACGTAATTTCTACTGACTTAAATAATGAATGTCATACGTGTAACCATACTGAAAACATTTTAACCTTATGGTATACATAAAAGCCTATTCGTATTGCTGGATTAATTTGCATTTGGGGCAGGTTATTATATATGAGCCCATCATATCGACCCATGCAACACATAGGGAGTCATAAAGATGGGCGGAAAAATATAAGGTTGCATGATAACAACATGGATCAAATTTCCCAAGACTGCCTATCTGAACTTGATAAGACGGGGCAGGTTTCCGAGAGAAATAACTTTCAAGAGCAAGTCTTCAGATACGGACGTGTTGTCCCTTTGTTATTATTTTACGAAAGTTAAACTATGGAAGTTCTCTTCCAAATTGTACACACTGTCACTATACATGCACAAAACATAAACGAACGCCGCGTCTTTAAAATTTTCAAATTCACATCACCTGCATTTTTACACCCGTTTCGTCCCGCGTTAGGCATGAGACTCATCGGTGATGCTAGGAGCCAAAAAGTTGAAATAAAACTGTCTAAACTACTATTAACTTAGGCCTAACGTTCAGCAGATATTTTTTTTACCTAAAATCATTGAATGGGCATTTTCTAAAGATATTAACCGAAAATATTAAGTTCCGGATTAGGCCTAAAGTTGCTTTGGATTTTAGTGTTTTAGTGTGATCAAACGGAAGTTGGTATGGCGGCTGTTTTTGTTTTGATTTCCCCGTATTTTTGTTCTTTTCAGTTTCGCATGTAAAATGCATTTTATGTCATCTATTAAACGCGTTAAACTATTGGAAAAGATGATATTGTACTTCTAAGATATCTTAATGAACAGCGGAACATTGACAATAATGTGAAAATCACATAACATTGGGATCCAGTGGACCTGGTGCTTAAATTTGGGACCTGAATTTTGCAGATGGCTGCCCAGTATACCAAAAGATGCAGTCTTAGATGGGGTCTGAATAATAATCACAGATAGGTAGAAACACAATTGTTTAAGAGTTTGCCAATTATGAAGTTCATATTGTTCCGGAGAAGCGTGCTATTGATGACGTCAACACATTCACGTACATAGGAAACATTATTATCAAAGAATAGTGTGTCATACTAGAATATTCAGTTCCTGGATTTCGAAGACGTAGACTAACCTGTATTCATGACACTAAGGTTGAAGAAACAACAATATAAACAACTTAACTATGCTTTAATGTCTCCATCGCCAAGATCAGTGCTGCTGAATCTACATCTACATCAGTTGACCATTACACAGTGTTGCGAAGCGTTTTATCAGACTGAAAAACAAACAAAAATACATATTCAAAAGAGAAAGACGGAAAACAGTGTACATTTTGTATGTGTATATAATGTGTGTGTGTTTTTCGGCTGGCTCCATAACCTAATAGCTCCACCAGTCCAGCTACCGTAGTGGCCATAGGGACAAGCCCCAATCGGCATAGCTTTGCCATTGGTCGAAAGAAAAGCCAGCCTAAATTGTTCTTTAAAAGGTAAGAGAAGGCAACAGCCCCTGCTTGAAAGATGCCAAGTCAGGGGCCTCAGTCACAGCAGCTTGGAGAGAATTCCAGTGAGAGACAATTAAGGGAAGAAACTATGCCTAAAACTGTTTTTAGAGGAAGAGAGACAATAATATTTAAAGGAGTGATTTTGTCGGGTGAAAAATGTAGAGGCTTCAGGTAGTCTTTGACTCGGATGTCTAATAAATCATGAGCAATTTTGTACATGGTTGTAAGCCGAATCTTGAGGCGTCTTGATTTCAGTGACTCGTGTTATGATTATGTGTTTATGACTTCCGGTCCGCATTCCGGATCCATTGTCTGTATAAGTATATGCCTTGCAATGCATTATGGGATACTCAATAAATACTGTTTTGACCTGAATGGCGGCTTTCCTGGTTTTCCCTGACAAAATTGTGTAGAACACAACTCATCTGGCGACGAGACATAGATACGGACTCAAGCAAATAATGGAAAAAGTGTAAAGGTCGCCATGAAGACCAGAAACTGTCTAGCGATGTACTATTGAGCTGTTCGAAGCGGTGTCAGTGTTGTATCCCCTGTCTGAGGCAACTCTGACTCTCGAAACTGCAGGTGAGAAAGCCCTCGTGATGAAAACAAATGCTCGTGACGCGAGTGAATTACGTTCTGGGTCTTCAGCAACCGTTCATAAAATCGATACGAAACCTGCGAAACGACGACCGAAGAGTTTGGGTAGTTCGAAAAAACCGATAGACAAGAAACAACCGAAGTGCTACCGCTGCAATGCTACGAAACACCATTCCAATGAGTGTTATTTTATGGATAAGGAGTGTTTTGGATGTCGCCGAACAGGTCACTCTAGGAAAGCCTGTAAACAGAAGGACAGTAAGGTTCATATGATACTAGATGAAAAGGATGATGATTTAATCGCATCATTGGAAATTATGTCGGTTGAGAAATCAAAACATGGCGCGATCATGATAAAACCCAGGTTAGACGGTGTTGAAGTGGACATGGAATTAGACACTGGTGCAGCTGTCTCAGTGATGACGCAGAAGTCATACGAAAAGTGCTTCCCGGGTGGAATGAAGACTTTGACACGTCCTGATGTGTGTTTGAAGACATGTTCTGCTGAACAACTAAAACCATTGGGTGTGCCCAATGTGAAGGTGGAATATGACAAACAATGTAAAACGTTAAAGTTATACATAGTCCAGAAGGGAGGCCCAACATTATTTGGACGAGACTGGCTGAAACACATCACATTAGAATGGCCGACTATCAAGTCCATCTCAGCGAATCGCAATGATTTACTTCGACCGAAAGTCGAAGCAGAAATTGACAGTCTAGTGGAAAATGGTATCTTGACCAAAGTGAGCTATAGCGAATGGGGTACTCAAATTGTACCAGTGATCAAGAAATCAGGTAAAGGCCGTCTGTGTGGTGATTTCAAGGTCACCGTTAACCCGGTCTTGGAGATTGATCAATATCCTCTACCTAGAATTTAGGATTACTTCGCGGCCCTCGCAGGAGGGAAACATTTCACAAAGTTGGATCTGCGACAAGCCAACCTGCAGATGGAAGTCGATGTGGAGTCGCGCGATTTGTTGACGATTAACACAGAAAAGGGGCTATACAGGTTTAACCGTCTTGTATACGGTATCGCATCAGCTCTGACAATTTGGCAAAGAACGATGGATACAATTTTTCAGGGGTGAAGTGTATCATATACGACATGATACTTACGGGAAAAACCACTGAACAACACTTGAAAAACGTAAGTTCTGTGTTGGAACGACTTCAACAGTATAGCCTTCGGGCAAATACGGAAAAGTGAATTCTTCAAAAAAACGTGTATCTTTCTGTGGTCATGAAATAGACAGTGAGGGACTACACAAAACGCAAGAGAAAATCGAAACCGTGTTAAAGGCGCCCACACCAACTAACACTACAGAACTAAGATCGTTTTTGGGAATTGTGAACTATTATGGCCGTTTCCCGAAAAACGTTTCCGCGATACTCAACCCACTCCATAAATTGTTGCAGAAAGACTTTAAGTGGGAGTAGGGCGAGGAATGTCAAAACGCGTTTGAGTAGGTCAAACGTATGGTCACATCAAAAGAGGTTCTCACACACTAAAATCCAGAGTTACCTATGAGAATTGCCAGTGATGCTTCTCCAAAAGGCTAAGGAGCCGTTCTTTCGCACGTCATTGCTGACGGAAGTGAGCGACCCATTGCGTATGCTTCGCGTTTCTTGAATCAAGCTGAAAGAAATTATACACAAATTGACAAAGAAGCATTGGGTATAGTATTGGCGGTGAAACGTTTTCACACATACTTATTCGGACGTCACTTCAGCATGATTACGGACCACCAACCGTTGGTGTCCATCTTCAACCCTCGAAAAGAGATCTCTGTTGACAGCCTCTCGCGTATGCCAGTGAAATCCACAGAAAATGAGGTCAAGGTGGAGGAACTTGATGCGGTAGAGTTGTTGAACCTGTCACAGTTTGACACACTTCCGGTGAATCATGACCAAGTGAAACTCGACACACTTCGTGATCCGACATTGTCATCGGTCTATGAATGCGTCATGTCGGGTTGGAATCCGGATATCCGTAACGGTGAGACGTAGGCATATTTTACAAGGAAAAACGAACTAACTGTACAGCATGGGTGCCTCCTATGGGAAATTCGTATGATAATTCCGCCTCGTCTGCGTACGCGTGTGCTAGAGGAGCTTCATTCGGGACACATCGGTGTGGTGAAGATGAAGGCACTCGCCAGAAGCTACGTGTGGTGGCCTGGCATAGATAAAGACATTGAGACAATGACAAAAAGTTGTAATGGATGCCAGAATGTGAAACATGCCCCACCAGCGGCTCAAATACATCAATGGGAGTGGCCATACCGACCTTGGAGTCGCTTACACATAGATTTCGCGGGACCATTTCTCGGTTCAATGTTCTTCGTAGTTGTAGACACCAACTCGAAATGGCCAGAAGTTGTACAAATGAACACGACTACGTCCGAGAAAACCATTGAGGTTCTACGCACCAAAATAGCAAGGAACGGAATTCCTAGGCAAATTGTTAGCGATAATGGCCCTCAGTTTGTTTCTGAGGAATTTCGGAATTTCGTCAAATCCAATGGAATTCGGCATTCAACATCTGCGCCGTACCACCCCAGTACGAATGGCCTCGCAGAAAGATTTGTACAATCTTTCAAAATGGCCATGCGATCTAGCGCCAAGGACCATGGTTCGATCAACAAGAAACTTTCGAACTTTCTGTTGGCTTATCGGAATGCACCACACACAGCGACAAACGAACTCCAGCAAAACTGTTCATGGGTCGAAATTTGTGTACCAGGTTGGACTTGATCAAACCTAACATCCAACGTCATTTGGAGGATGCTCAAAGCAGAATGGTCGAGAAAAGGCATGTTACCAAACGATCATTTGAACCTGGACAAACAGTCATGATCAGAGACTATCGATTGAGTTAACCATCGTGGACGTCAGGAATCATCAGTTCTCGAACTTGTCCAGTATCATACAGTGTAGAGGTTGCTCCTGTCGTACTTTGGCGGCGTCCTCTGGATCAATTAAGGCACTCGCACGTCGAGCCTAGTAGCATTGAATACGAGCCTAATGCCAAACAAACTCTTCCGACTGCGGATCACATTGTGTTACCAGAGGCAACAACACCACCTACTTCAAGTGATAGTATGGTGCAAACTACAAGTGATTCCAACGCCTGTCCGAGCTTACCTGAGAAATCCACTGTGGACACCCCTATCCGGCGTAATCCGAAGAGACATGCAGAAACTCCCAAACTGTTTGACAACTTTGTCAAGTTCTAGGTTGTTAGGACGTAGTTACACATGTACAGTGCCTGGGGCATAATACTCCCCAGTGTTGCTACAGGACTACAAGGTTCTATGTAGATATGTTCAAGTTCAGTAGTGAGTTTGTTATTGAATTCAGTATTGCTTTGGGTGACTAAATTGATAAATTGAAATTGGTGTTTTAAAGTACTGTTAATTAGCCAGTAGATTAATAGTACCATGAACAGTAATCATGTGAATCCATCGGTAAAGACGTTCTGATTAAATTGTGGTAAATGGTTTTTCAGACTGGAACAAACAAAACTGTGGTGGAGGAATGTTGTGATTATGTGTTTATGACTTCCGGTCAGCATTCCGGATCCATTGTCTGTATAAGTATATGCCTTGCAATGCCTTATGGGATATTCAATAAATACTGTTTTGACCTGAATGGCGGCTCTCCTAGTTTTCCCTGACAAAATTGTGTAGAACACAACAACTCCCATTGTAAGGATTGTAACATGTCAGATACACTGCTGGTGTTACGGTATCTGTTTGTGGGTTAACGAGCTGCCCTCCTTTGAACTATTTCCAGCTGGTCAATCTGGTTCTTGGTGTGGGGGCTCAATAGAGCTGAGCAGTACTCCAGGCTGGGGCGAACAAGTGTATAGTATGCACGAGCCTTTGTTTCTTCGTTGGGAATCTTCAGATTCCTTCTTAGGAATCCAAGTGTGCTGTTCGCCTTCTTACAAACTCTATCGGTATGATGTTTCCACATGAGGTTTGCTGAGAGATCCACCCCAATATACTTGCTGGTACTGGTATCTTCAAGAAAATGAGCTTTGAGATGGTACTGCGCTTTTGTGATCTTCTTGTTCTTTGTGACCCTCAGGACATTACACTTGTCTGGATGGAACTCAATTCCCCCCTTCTTTTCCCAGTCAGCGACTTCTGCTAGGTCTTGTTGCAGTATGTCGCTGTCTTCTTTTCCTCCTATTACCTTATAAACAATGCAGTCACCTGCAAATAGTCTAACCTTGGGTGGGACGTTGACATCAAAGTCATTGAAACACTGGAATATAAATGAGAACCAGAAACTGTGCATGCCCTGTTCTTGATTCAAACGGTGCATCCAATGAATGTGATGGAAATCAATACCGTTCTTGGAAGAGTTGCCAAGTAAGAAAGTCGTTTTCTTCTTTCTATGTTGCGTGAGACGGACATAGGAATGGACTTTACAAAATCAGTTTCCCTCCTCCTCTTCCTTTCTCCATTTAACCATGTAGTTATTCTTTACTGACGAGGATCACATCTTGTTGGATCAAACGGTATAAAGAATAACATAAAACCAATATCTGATACAATTTGAAGAAGTGACTTAATTTTGTATTCATACTTCCTTCCATTGGCTCAACGACTACCACATGTTGTTCAGTTTTACTTCTCCCTTATGCCCGCTATATTGTTTTTACGAAAGGATGTTAAGACAACTCTAATAAATCAATACCTAAATGCTAATAAAACACACGTGACAACATTTCTTGTGCAGGATAAAGTGAATACCCATCAAGCTTAGTATATAAACTAATTGTGTAGCTATGATCTATACGGGATTAAGGCTTTACATCAGTAGTTGACTTTCAATTGATTATAGATGAAATTTAAACCTCACAATATTTGACAGCTCTCCTGGTGATCAGCATATCCAATAATCGGTCATACACATATTCCACTAAGGTTAAAAGATCCACAGGTGTCATAGTATTTATATTGATTGAAAGTGTCGCTATTAACTCTAGAAGAATGTAGTATCTATTAAACACGACATTGGGCCTTGTCTTACCTTTACTTAATTCTGTCCAATCGATACCATAACCACGGTCCTATGCTAGGGATACCGATACCTAGTCCGAGAGATTAACACTGATCCCCCTTACCTGACACGCCTGGTATTCCCGTACCCCCTGTGTATAGTCTGGCCAGGGTATTACTGTGATACAAATCTCCACTACACCTCAAACGTAGACAATTAGGGCTTTTAAAGTGACATCTTCTACAAAATTCTGACCAACATTATCATCATTTTGTTCTTGTGATATTGCAACCTATTTGGACGGCTTTATAAGATTAAAGACTGAAAACACCAAAGAATATAGATTGAAAACATATCTAAATATCAAAATTATATAGTTGTACATAACATCCATACTTATTTTGGATTTGTTTCCGCAGTACAAAAAAACATCAATCTACTAAAAACCTAATACATGTTTACCATTCTGTCCTGCATATGGATTATACGTGTTATTCTTGATTTGCGAATCCAAAGCAAAACTTGTACAAAATCATCAGGATTGATTTTGTTATGTACGCACTGTTGACGGAAGTGTTTAACATTCGTACTGTATCAACCTCGTTTTACAAGTTTGTCCTTGTATGTTGACGCTTGATATGTGTATGTTAATGATTAATTTTATTGTAAAGTGATTAAACATATATATATGAACTATGTAGGGTCTCATACGGAACAACGTTTGTGTACACCAGTGTTAGAACGTTTGACTACATCCCTTTAATTGTACAACGTATCACTCACTTAGACAGCTTGTGATTGAATGATCGATTTCTACGTTCAAGTTACCATATATAGGAAGCGCGGGGCAAACAAATTAAAGCCTTCCTAAAGATTCCAAACCGCCAGCATACCAAGACTATATACAAAGGTAAGAGACGAAATGGCATGAGATATGTTTCTCAGTAAAATTTCATTGATTTTGATGGAAGAACCAACCCGAGACCTTCTTTCCTCAAAACTGTTTGGATAAATTATTTTATTTTACGTAACAAACATTCCAGCAATAAACAATAAGTTTAAATAAATATCTGACGCGCGTTAATTCTGGCTGAATTTAATGACTTCGTTAATAATGTATCAATGATATTTAAACGGTTGAATGTGTCTGTCATGGTTTTTCCCCGCTAACATTACTAACTTATTTACACAAGTGCAAGCATAAGCAAAACCAATTTTTAGTAGTTGTGTAGGGTCTTATTTCTGACGACAGCGCAGTGATTTAAGTCCGATTTTCTATTAAAATATAAGTATTGCATCAAGAACTTCTTAAGAGTTGTGTCAATCTAAAGGATCTGAATAATACAGATATTTAACTCAATAAATAAATCGTTCAAAATATTAACACATATAAATAAATAAATATAATAGAATAAAATCAAAAGTTTAAATGAATTCGTTTTAGCATATTTTTTCATGGACTTATAAGAGAAGAACTTAATACAAAGTATAATAAGTTACAAACTGTTGCTATTTTGTTGAAGGAAAAATATTTTTTATGATAAACGTTCAGCAGAAAAAGCAAACATACATGTGATCTATTGAAATAGCGCTTTTACTCTGTGACAATACGGACCAATGACAAATACAATGTTACCAATACCCCTGCCAGAAGGAGAGAAGGAAATTCGCGCAAAAAGAATTACCACGCAAAGAAAAAAGTACCAAATAGAGTACAATATTCCCTAGAACTTACGGAATGTGGTATTATTTTCAGAATTTTGTTAGCGACTGGTGTCTTCTTGTCGTACTTACGCCTTCTTGCATTGATATACACTACCATTGCTGTTTTTCTGGATTCAGCTGTTGATGTGTCCTTGATTATGTCATTGTTGTGATTTGTTACCATAGTTTCTCACTGGTTACCTCTTATTGCCTTATATCCACATTATAGTACGTTTATGTTTCGTCAGAAGTCTCCCTTCAACGGGACACAATATAGCAGGGATGAGGCTCCTACGGGAACTTCGTTTATTCCTTCTCCTGATACTCGGTCTTGTGCCTGGGACCGTGGTGGGAACGCTTACCGGGCCGGAGTTTCTTGGAGGATCCATGAGCTTTGAAGCATTTGATGACCAATCACATAATATCCTGGTAAGTCATTTATAATTTCTTATGTTAATTGCGAGAATGATATAATTTAATTCAACTAAGGCTTTCACAAAAAACTTCAATTCTTATATATCATGTACATGTATATGTTACAATGGGACTTATTCTGAAGTTAACAACTGATGAGGATGGGCGGTCCCCTGATGTATATTTAGAAAAGTTGATGATGTGGAATGAGTGAAAAACTGAAAACTCTTATGATAATTTAAACGATCAGAAAGCGATTCCATTATTAGAGATGTTAAACACTTAAAGATATTCTACGAGTATTGATTGAGTTTGATTTATATCAATTCAAGTGACAAAGAAATACGTGATGAATTTGGAACAGTAGTTCTTTAAATTATTAAAAAATAAATAAATCTGTTGTTAAAACTTATTCGCCTTCACGAGTATGTTATACTTAACATTTACTCATCCAGATGGATTTAAATAAAACAGAATGCTAACCGCTAACCACTATAGATATATTGTGTGTTTATCGTACACGAAAGTGAAGAAAGACCATTCTACGTCACGGGGCATGAGACAATTTCACAACACTCTCCAAAAACAAACCTATGCGATGAAAACCGAATGGTGAGCAAAATGAGCAAATTATGGAAAAATATACATAAACGTAATAACTTATGGGAAAAATATATAGATCTATTCTTACAACGGGAAAAAAAGTGAATCAAGTACGATATACAAGTTGATATTAACAAAGGCGAACACATTTTATAATTTTTATAAGAATTAAGAGAATAACGAGGAAAGGGTAGTAATCTTTTACAATGATTGTTTTTTTTTTACCATATCCCCAAATACTCTAGTGGTACAAATGGGAATACATAATTATATTTGTTCTGATATTGTTTTTACCACGGTAAAGTAAATAGATAAAAGCAACTATTCAAGTTATATCAGATTAACGTGAACGGTAGATACAATTGATAATACATATGAATTTACGTACATATTTGACTCTAGTCTCAAAACGGGATATAATAGCTGCTAAATAACTTTTTTTTATAATCTAAAAAGCCCATTAGAATCACAAAATATCTGCTAAAATACGTTTTTTGACAATATAATCACTAATTGTCAGAATTTAATCAGAAATGCATTCAGTTGTTTCATTTTCATCTTCCTGACAATCGAGATGTCAGAACAAACTGTTTCACAAAGTCCTGACACATACGAAATCAGAAAGTCACTACACACACGGAATCAGAAAAACCTTACACATACGGAATCAAAAGTCCTTACACATACGGAATCAAACAGTCCTTACACATACGGAACCAGAAAGTCCTTACACATACGGAATCAGAAAGTCCCTACACATACGGAATCAGACAGTCCTTACACATACGGAATCAGAAAGTCCTTACACATACAGAATCAGAAAGTCCCTACACATACGGAATCAAAAAGTCCTTACACATACGGAATCAAAGTCCCTACACATACGGAATCATAAAGTCTTTGCACATACGGAATCAGAAAGTCCTTACACATACGGAATCAGAAAGGCCTTACACATACGGAATCAGACAGTTCTTACACATACGGAATCAGAAAGTCCTTACACATATGGAATCGGACAGTTCTTACATATACGGAATCAGAAAGTCCTAACACATACGGAATCAGAAAGTCTTTTCACATATGGAATCAGAAAGTCCTTAAACATACGGAATCAGAAAGTCCTTACACATACGGAATTAGAAAACTTAACACATACGGAATCAGACAGTCCTTACACATACGGAATCAGAAAGTCCTCACACATACGGAATCAGAAAGTCTTTTCACATATGGAATCAGAAAGTCCTTAAACATACGGAATCAGAAAGTCCTTACACATACGGAATTAGAAAACTTAACACATACGGAATCAGACAGTCCTTACACATACGGAATCAGACAGTCCTTACACATACGGAATCAGAAAGTCCTTACACATACGGAATCAGAAAGTCCCTACACATACGGAATCAAAAAGTCCCTACACATACGGAATCAGAAAGTCCTTACACATACGGAATCGGACAGTTCTTACATATACGGAATCAGAAAGTCCTCACACATACGGAATCAGAAAGTCTTTTCACATATGGAATCAGAAAGTCCTTAAACATACGGAATCAGAAAGTCCTTACACATACGGAATCAGACAGTCCTTACAAATACGGAATCAGAAAGTCCTTACATATACGGAATCAGACAGTCCTTACACATACGGAATCAGAAAGTCCTTACACATACGGAATCAGACATTCCTTCCACATACGGAATCAGAAAGTCCCAACACATACGGAATCAGAAAGTCCCTACACATACGGAATCAGAAAGTCCTTACACATACGGAATCAGACAGTTCTTACATATACGGAATCAGAAAGTCGTCACACATACGGAATCAGAAAGTCTTTACACATATGGAATCAGACAGTCCTTACACATACGGAATCAGAAAGTCCTTACACATACAGAATCAGACAGTTCTTACACATACGGAATCAGAAAGTCCTCACACATACGGAATCAGAAAGTCTTTACACATATGGAATCAGAAAGTCCTTACACATACGGAATCAGACATTCCTTCCACATACGGAATCAGAAAGTCCCTACACATACGGAATCAGAAAGTCCTTACACATACGGAATCAGATAGTTCTTACACATATGGAATCAGAAAGTCCTCACACATACGGAATCAGAAAGTCTTTACACATAAGGAATCAGAAAGTCCCAACACATACGGAATCAGAAAGTCCCTACACATACGGAATCAGAAAGTCCTTACTCATACGGAATCAGAAAGTTACTACACACACGGAAACAGAAAGTCCTTACACATACGGAATCAGAAAGCCCTACGAATACGGAATCAGAAAGTCCCTACAGATACGGAATCAAAAAGTCCCTACACATACGGAATCAGAAAGTTCCTACACATACGGTATCAGAAAGTCCTTACACATACGGAATCAGAAAGTCCTTACACATACGGAATCAGAAAGTCTTTACACATACGGAATCAGAAAATCCTTACACATAAGGAATCAGAAAGTCCTTACACATACGGAATCAGAAAGTCCTTACACATACGGAATCAGAAATTCCCTACACATAAGGAATCACTGTCATCTCTTGTTTTCATTTCTGTTTCTTTGTCCTGCTTTCGCTCTTTAACAATTTAATACGATTGTCCACCTTCTTAAATATCCAGTCTGATAACCACACGTCACCGCTGATAATTATTATTTCCTTATACCACTTCTTATCCTCTGCTATGGTAATGCCTTTGTAAGCTCTGTGTAACAATGTTTTGACAAGCTGATGGAATAATGTGTGTGTGATTGTTTGAACTAAATGTTGAGGAATTGGTTGGTGTGTGTCATTCTTCTGTTCAGAGATATACTTTCCCTTACCAAGTTGCCATCGGAGATACCCCAGTAAAACCTAGTCATGAATGACACATCAAATAAGTGAATGGTTACATAGATTGTATATAGAAAGTTATATGTTGAAGAAACATCTCAGGAACTAGGCATCATACTTGAGGAACGCCTAAAGGGCATATGTGAATAAATGATTGTCATTAAGAGCAAGTTTAGAGTATCAGGAAGAGACTAGAGTGATTAACAAACCAGCTATCATAAACCGTGCTTCCAACAAATTGTGTGATGTACAAAATGTACTAGGAACAGCTTCAAGAATAGGACAAAGAATCCGGACAGAGAGGAGGGAGCTCCAACGAGGACAAACAATATGTATGTCGTGTTTCTGGCGGCGGACCAACAGATCAAGTAGGTTAAGCAGGATTGGAAGAAATTGGGCAGATTCTGAACCTGTTAGGTTGGCAAATACGATTTGTTTTTTCTTATTTTACTTTTAGAATTAAAACAGTGAGTGCATGATTGAAAAGAGAGTGTGGTAAATAAAATGGTCATCATATGTTTACTTTCATTACAACCATAATATTGAAAAAATGTATCATTCCACAAAAATAACAAATATATACCTACATGTAGGTAAACGCGAAGATATTGACCGGCTGGCGTCTCGGTAAAGGTCAATGTGGATCAACATGTGACCATACTAGTATAGGAACTGACATAACTGGAAAACATCACAACATCCTGACAGCGAAAGGAAGCCCTACTTACTTCGGAAATTGGCAGGTAGAAGAAAAGATTCCAGGCCATCTTCCTGTACCAAGGGATGTCACACCGGAGGCAAACAGCAATGTTACTATCCAGGTGGTGGCTGTCAATGACATACTTCTATGGGAGTTGGACAAAGCCGAAGTTACAATAAAGATAAACGAAGCAGCAGAATACACGGATTTCATTTGAGTTGCTAAAGATAGGGGTTTGAAATCAGATAAAAGCAAGAAATTAATTAGAAGTTACAATAAGGATAAACGAAGCAGCAGAATACACGGATTTCATGTGAGATGCTAAAGATAGGGGTTTGAAATCAGATAAAAGCAAGAAATTAATTAGAAGTTACAATAAGGATAAACGAAGCAGCAGAATACACGGATTGCATGTGAGTTGCTAAAGATAGGGGTTTGAAATCAGATAAAAGCAAGAAATTAATTAGAAGTTACAATAAGGATAAACGAAGCAGCAGAATACACGGATTTCATGTGAGGTGCTAAAGATAGGGGTTTGAAATCAGATAAAAGCAAGAAATTAATTAGAAGTTACAATAAAGATAAACTAAGCAGCAGAATACACGGATTTCATTTGAGTTGCTAAAGATAGGGGTTTGAAATCAGATAAAAGCAAGAAATTAATTATTGAGTTGTTTCCTCTTATAATTTTTGTGCATGATAAAATGAAACCAATAGCAGTAGATAACCTTTTTTTTCGAACTGATAAAATTTAATATGATGCTTACACTTCGTTTTCAAATGCAAACAATCACACGGTCATATACTTAATGTCTTTCATGAACATTCTCCATTGAAAAAGCTCATCCCATATGTGGTGAGGCAGATTGTAAACTCAATTATAACTATTATTTCATAGTTATATTTAGATGTCGCCCAATGTGGCTGTGAGGTGTTGCTTATATATAGTATTTCTTTTTCATTTGTAACCATTTTTTCAATCTGAAATCATTAGGGCAAAGCAGTGAGAGATTGCGTAGAGAGACAACATTTTTGTTGCCATCAGTTTTTTTTTCTTTATGTCACATGGTTAATTATATCTTTTGTTTAATTATCAATACATATTAGGGTCGTCAAACTGGACGAATTTCAGTAACCGGTTACTCGAAAAATCAACTGATTGAAAAACAAGTTAATCGGTCTGTTTTGTAATTATCAAACAATAACGAAAATATATACATTATACGTTTATCATATTTTATAATTCCCAACTTTGCATTTCTTTTAAAATCTGTTCAGGAGTTTTATTGTTTTGTCGGCATCTCTTGGTCAGTCCATACTATTAAATACAAAAAACAACACCCTTGTATCTGCCTGATTGTTGTTATTGCAAATAAATCCAATTTCGGTCTCATGGATAGATAATTTATAAATATAAGCTAGGTGTACAGAGGGATCCCCAAAGAGCTAAATACATGTCCGACTTTTTAGTTAATGGCTGAGTAACCGGTTATCCATTGACAATCCTAATACCTATGTACATTATGCTTTTTTAATAAACAGCAATCTTCTGAATGCAAAATATGTTTTTACAGATTTGAGGGTCTTAGTTGGACTCCTTTGTCAAAGCAGCCAACTATAAAACAATGGCACATGCAGCTCAAAGTTAACGCAAAACAGCGGAGTGACACCAACAGGCGTAACCGGAGTCCGATAGTGCAGATTACTCCATACATGAGGTCAGTACAAAATAACTGATATATAAATAACTCATTACATCATACATTAGGATTTCATTTTTACAATGTCTCATGTATTTAACCAACTAAACTATGCTTTGTAAGGATCGCATTTGAAAAGTTACAGCACGAACAATATTCAACACAATACTGTATATAAGATATTCTGCTTAGTCCCAACTTGATTATCATTAACCACGCTTTATATATATATTGTTTGTTTCAGATTGGGAATTAACAGAAATTATACATTGAGTGTCCCAACTATTGACCAGGATGGGGATTACTTTGAATGCCGTAAAATGGCATTCATCGAGTTTATAGATCTTCAAACAGCCAACAAATTGAAAAATATTGATATACGAAAGGTAATGTAGTGTTTAATGACACAAGTATAACTTTATATTATGTTTAATCCTGTTCGGGTGGGATGTTGACAATGTTGGTTGTTGTCACCTCAGAGATGCTCCTGTAGAAAGTACATGTTTATTGATGTGTTCGCAGTATTAAGATACCCATGTCCCATGTTTTAGATATATACTTTATTAAAGATGTGACACGGAAATTCAATATTCTACCTGTAATATTCACTCACATTAATACATTTCGCACTAATATTCACGCATACAATATCCAAACTATCCACCAGTGCAATAGCCACTGTTGCGGTATCCAATGGTGTATTAACTTTGCGTGAAATACTCGTAATGCGAAGACAAAGGAGTCAACAGAGCTGTGTCTTTGTGAACCAAGATTATGAAAGCTGTCTCGCTGTCACATTTGTTTTTTCTAATTTATTATATACTTCCAAATCCTTCCGTTAATGCTTCATATACATATGTTTGAAATCGTGTTTTTTATTTGTGTTATTTGGAATGTTGTATCACGGGGCTCAACACTTTTAAGGGACTCATACAATCGATGAATTGACTGACTACAGATTATATCTTGGCCTTTTTAGACCATGGTTCACTGAGTTGTTTTGCATTACTTATGTCCAACTCATTGGAATTTATATTTTTTGCTTTACAGTTTTTAATAAAACAAACCTCAACAAGCCAAATTTTAAATTTGGTAATTACATTCACAAGAAATTTGATTAGGAAACATGCTACAGTGAAATCTGTAAAAGAAATTTTTGCTGAGAGATAATGGTGGGTATGTCGATTTTATTGCTTTTAGGATTGCTTCATACACATCGACACATCTAGTCCTGAATACCAGGTAGGAGACTCGGCAGTGATAGCAGTGACAATACAGGACTTCAACAGAGATAATATCAAACTGGCTGGAGATCCACATCCTTTACGCCAGCGCTACGCTATTGGACGGTCACTTAGTGCCGTCCCTGTGCAGGTAGGCAAGTTCATCAGATTTACGTTACGTTACTATTTCCGTTTATCACTTGCTTGTTTTGCAAAAAACAAAAACAAAAACAATAAAAAAAAACAAAAAAACACCGAGGCGACCTGTCTAACTACTGATATTTCACGAATATAGCGGAAAACTTCAATATTTCACGAGGGCGTAGTGAATTGTTGTAGATTTTAGCCAAACGAATTAAATATAAAAAAGAAACTCGACGGGAAACCATCACAAACACTTCATATTGCGTTTTGGAAATGTTTTAATGAAAAAATACTCCCTTTAACAAACAGCAAGATTGCTTGAGAATATCAAAATATCTTCATATTGTAGTGCAGGATCTAAATAACGACGTTAAACGGTCAATGATGTCACAATCAAGGTCAATGCCGAACACATACATGTCAACCTTTTGATTCGTTTTTATGGCTATTGCATTAGTATTGAGCATCGTAAACATTTGATTGGTTTAAACACATTGCTTAATTATTATTTTTTTATAATTTCATACTTCTGTCAGAAATATCACTTTTATTTGATGAAAAAAATCCCGACAGTCAAATATACGGATATATTTGCCAGTTCATGTATCATTCCCAGTTCATCACCATACTGATATATTTAACGGTATGATGTATCAGTCTATACCCACATCAATGTGTCGACGAGTAACCTGTTTACTTGTTCAAAGATGTACAAGTTGCAGTGTACAAATGTGTGAATTTTTGAAAGTCATTCAATAAATGTGTTTATTTCAGTTTTACATAGAGATTGTTCTCAAAGACGATGCACCTGTGATCATCGATCCGACCCCTCTTGAACAACAGATGTTCACTGTCTTTGTTGGGTCAATATTGAAACTCAAAGTTGTAGCCAAACCCACTAATCCGACCAGGTACATAGTTCAATACTCAAGTTCAATCAAATGTAAAATAGACATAATTCATTTAGTACATATGGGCTTATAAAGGATGATATGTATTATAATGGTTGTCGTACTCGATGACAACAAAATATAGTAACATTTAATGCTACCCATTTGACGTCACTTTTCTGAAAGAGACTATAGCTGTTTTTATGAAATACACTTGTATAGAAAGGAGAAGATCGACTTTTATGCGTATATGTTGTTAATTAAATCACTGATTTAAATCATTTGTAAGATTATCAAAATGACCCACTGATAATGATTGGGTGAGAGACATGAACTTACTTGTTCACTTAATTGCCAATTAAGCTGTTTGTTTACTCGCATCTACCTTTACATGTTCTAGGACACTATCACACTTTTTCTTCACACGACGTGACGGCGTTGTTCCACAAACTTCGGTGGTGACTGACGAAACAGTGATAGATCCACTCGCGAAAAGTCAGTCGGTTCTTTGGACACCTGTAGCCTCTGACTTGGGAGATCATATCTTGTGTGTGAGGGTCGAGGACAGTGCTGGGTAATGTAGCAGACATTATCTAAATAACTTAAAGGGGCTGGTATGCCATATTTGCTAAAATGGCATACACATGTTTAAAATACCTTCTTATGAAATATACCGATTCAAATTTTGCTGAAATTCACTCCCTAAGAGTAAAAAATATAATTATATTAAAGAAATCCTAAATTGTCACCTGACAGTCTTAACCTCTCAATTGACCCAGATCAGTGATGTAATTTTAACGCATCATCAACAAGGCCACATGTAAACATCGCGGCGAAAGAAAAAGATGCATGCAAAAGTCATGACAGGCACGAGGTATCAATACCGTTATATATAACAACAACATAGGTAGGAATACTACACTTGCATCATACATGACCTTTGAAAACAATTATTTACGTATAGTATTGCTGTCTTGTCCGCTAGTTGAGTCCGACATGGTATAACAACATATTGCCGTGGTATAACATAACGGCGTGCTATTGTTGTTATCTTCACTGCCTCCTTTTCGAAACAACCACGTCACATATATAAATAGATCTGCGCTAAATTTTCGCGGGGCTTCCCCGAGATTTCAGTTGTCAAAACTGGGTATTGCAAGCAGAACTCGACCATCATATTGCCGTGGTATAACTTTTGGAAGGCCTGAGAACGCATTTAGACCCATTTATTTTGTATTTTTTTCCCCGACCAGCCCCTTAAAGCATCCATAATAACTGTTTATAACAAAAACACGTACGTTTTTAAAGCCAATGGAATAAGTCAAAGGCCAATTATATCTAAACAATAAATAAAAAAACCATGCTATAAAACTATCATTGTTATGATCATGACACATGTACATATAAAGACTCCTATTATTTCTTCAGATTCGACGCACTACCACGATGCTTCATCATACGAGTAAAAGGTATGGTTTTAAAAATTCAAGTTTATATGGTTCGTTTAGCTAAGAATCTCAACTATTTGTGTAAATTTTTTAACTGTACCAATTACTTCTTTGAACCAACCGTATAACGGGATATTTATGCGGGATGAAATGTTCGCGATTTTGACCCAAGTTTAGAAAAAAAGGTTTACACGGACTATATTTTTGCGATCTAGATATGTTAAGGAAGTACATTTGTGCGGTGTTTTAGCATAGAGACGGGACACTCCGCATTAAAAGAGTTAAATAGTCAAATGATTAGGCTATATTAACAGTCATAACAACATGCTTGCTATTTCATGACGATAATACGGTGATCCGGTTCACTTGACACGTGTCATATTATTCTGCTGATCAAATATTCTTGATCACTTTATTGGCCGGCAAAATAGCGAAAATAGCATCCGGACCATATGATATTACAATGCGCAATTTCAAAATTCCATCCAATCCGTTTATCGGCTATTCTTAGATGTAAGCATTTCAGTTTTATTTTGCATCTGATGGTACCCATTGTATAAAATAATTAATGCAAACTTGTATAAACACTAATGTCTTATAAATAAAATTCAGATCAGAAAAAGAATACAATTTGTAAATCATCTGTCTTTTAGCTGCTCCTGTTGGAGTAGGATCACAGATAGTACAGGTAAGATATGATAAAGTACATAGAGGATGCTATACCATTGTATAATAAGTGAATTGGAATACGTTCTTATTAAAATCAAGTGATTCATCCAAAATAAACCAAGAATAATTCATAAGTATACATGTAGCGTCAATTGATTGAAACACTCGCATTCATTTGAAATGCTAAACAAAATCTTTCCACAAATGATAAACATAAGGTCCATATTATTACAAGGGTTTTCAATTTTTAGATGTCCATATAATATACTGAATGTCAAAACCAAGAATTCTGTAAACACTAGTGGTACCCTCCACGTGGTCGGTAAATATTTGATGTATCTTGTCTATTTTAAATCAAGGGAAAACCAGCGTTCCTGCGGTTTCCATCTAACGGAGAGATTTCCTGTTTGGTCGGGTCAAGTTGTCGTTTCCCTATCTACGCTGTTTCCACCTCACCTGGGTACTTACACTGATTTAAATTACCTTAAGTATTAAAATTGGGAAAACTTGTCATTTTCTTACCAAGCATGACAAAAGAGAGAAATTAGTCAAGCAACTTTATGCAATGTCAATACGTTTACCGATGAAAACCTTATTGAATACGTCAAATTGAAAAAATATTTACTTAAAATGCACATTATTTCGCTTCTTTCAGAGGAATTACAGATATATCTCTAACTAGTTCGGAAGCCGCGGGTTGTCATGTTAGTGCAATCAGAGATGCCAGTGCCATACATATAGGAGCAAAAATGGTTGACATGACATTTCAAGATTCCTCGTTTGGTCGTAAGAAAATTTGTTTAAGAGCAGCAGATGCGTAAGTATTCAATTCACATTGTATAATTTATGTCTTATATCGGTGAAGCTTTCTGATGGATTTGTTATGTTATATTTGTACTTGTCACGTCCTTTTTCTATCACCTGTCAAGTATACCTCATGTTTAAAGACAATGCCATTTAAGGTTTCCTGTCGTCTGTATTTATTAGTCGTGATGTCTTTGAAAAAGAAAGCATGTCGTACAGAAAATTTCAATAATTTTTTAAACGCTACATTTTTTGCCCACCTGGTCTTAAAGACCATAGTGAGCTTTTGCTATACCGCGTCGTCCTTTGCCCGTTCGTCCGTCAACTTTTCCTTTAAAACGCTACTATTCCTGAACAGCGTTATAGATTTTGACTAAATTTGGCATGGAGCATCCTTGGGCAAAGGGACTAAATTTTGTGTAAACGGAGGGTGTGGCCATTTTGTTGCAGATGGGCATGGCCAAATAGTGAATTTTGAGGTTTAAATCTTCAAAATCCTTCTTCTTCTGTGCCTTTTCAGGGATTTTATCCAAATTTGGTACAGAGAATTCTTGGGCAAAGACGACTAAATTTTGTATAAACGGCGGGTGTGGCCCCTTTGGGTGCAGAGGGTAGGGGCTCAAAAGGGGTATTTGAGGTTTAAATCTTCAAAATCCTTCTATTTCTGAACAATTTAAGCGATTTTAACCAAATTTGGCCTGGAGCATCCTTCGATAGAGGGACTGCATATTGTGCAAACAGTGGTTGTGGCCTTCTTGGGTGCAGAGGGGTTGCGCTCAAAAGGGATATTTGAGGTTTAAATATTTTAAATCCTTCTCCTTTTGTACCATTTGAGAGATGTTATCAAAATTCAGCCAGGAGCGTCTTTGAGCAAAGGGGGCTGAATTTTGTATGAACGGAGGGTGCGCCCTCTTGGTGCATAGAGGCAGGGTCCAATAGAAAAGTTTGAGATTTAAATCTTTAAAATCCCTCTTCTACTGTACCATTGGAGGATTTATAACCAAATTTGGTCTAGAGCATCCTTTTGCAAAGGGAAGTGATATTTTGTAAATAAAGGGTGTGGCCCCCTGGGTGCAGAGGGGCGGGCCCAATATGAACTTTAAAATCGTTCTTTTTATGTACCTTTTGAGGGATTTTAATCAAATTTGGTCCAGAGCATCCTTGGGAAAGTGACTCAATTTGTTTTAAGGTAGAGTGTGCCCACACTGCGGGCAGAGGTGTTTGATTTGAGGGATTTAAAACAAATTTGGTGTAGAGAATCCTTGGGCAAAAAGGACTCAATTATGTATAAATAGAAGGGTGGTTTCAGGGGGCAGAGTGGCGAGCCCAATAGGGAAACTTGAGATTAATGTTTGAAATTCCACCCCAATTCATGGGGGCAGAAAGAAGGGATCTTCGTGTCATGTTAATGAAAAACCATAAAATCGGTTTTCATCTTTTTAATGGTGAAACACGTATTCTATCGAATGCAGTCATTTTCCTGAAACATTACCCATTCTGCTTTATTTCTTACCTTTCAGCAATTCTGTAATTATGAAATGTTTTGAGGCAGTGGTACAACCAAAGGGTACGTAACAGATTATATATGCATAAGCAATTTTGTTGTCTGTGAATGAATGTAACAAAATGTTATCTTATTTGACAATCGATCTGTGTTTTAAGCCTGTTTCCTAAACATTTGCTGTTTTATTGAACTTGCATTGACCAACCATAAATATCCATACGTGTGATGTTTCTGGAATATGTATATCATAAATTTATCACATTTATAGAATTGATACAACTGAAATTTTCCGGAACATGTTTTTCAAACAGAAACTTTTACATTTTTCTTTATTCATAATTACGTGTCAAAATTTTATTTACTAGATCCATGTGAAGTACAACCCTGTCGAAATAGTGCTGAGTGTGTTACGAACGGTGACAGAACATCATATGTTTGCATATGTCCCCCGGGGTATACGGGCATCGCCTGTGATATAGGTACTTTCTATACAATCACCTGGTCAAAGGCCACGTGAGATTATTCCGTTGCTTGACGTTCTTCGTCTGTTGTGTTTCGTAGTGTTGGTGTGTCTATTCTTTAACAATTGCAGAAGAAATGCTTTTGGGAGCTTTTTTGGTAGCTTTTTTTTAATATGCATGAGTACTAACGCCTCTATATTCCTTTCAAAAAAGATTAATGTATTTAGTTTGAAGGGAATTGCTACGCCAGTTTGTCCATTTAATTGAAAATGCTCACCATTCTACATTTAGGTGTCATGTGTACGACAACCAGAGACAGATTTCATCAAAAGATAGGAATCTTTTGAGAATGTACAGTCAGCTAATCATCAATTACAATGGGGTCAAAAGGCAGAAGACATTGATAGGCCGCAATAACATTTTCTTGACCCGTTTGCGTAACATCTAGGAATATCATATTATCAACATTTACCTGACGACAGAATAGTGGAATTGAATATAGAAGACGTCATTTTCGGGGCTTAATCTTTAGAATTTTATCCTATTCAACCACTTTCCAGAGTCTAGGGGGATCTGATGTGCAAACCACTTTGCAATCGTTTAAATCAATCTTCCGAATTTTGTTTGATGTTACCAAGATACTATCATGTATTTGACAAGACAGGCATACAACATTGATAAACAAAACGCCCGCCCCTCTGAAGCACCTGGCTGCATCTGATTATTGTACATGTTACATGATATCTACAATTTGTTCGAGTTGATGTATTTCTTTGTGACTACAGGAATTATTATTTTGTGTCCATGCTTTGTTATACTTGATATATATATTCTAAGTATATTTCACATGGAGAGCTTGACTCAAGTTGATAAAACCACTATATTAAACGACTACAAATCGTGTCAAGAGTGATTGAATGGATTTATAGCATGCCTGTTTCTGATGTTTGTTTTGCTTCAATGTATTAAAACCGAAACAATTAAAGCAAAATTAAGTGAGCAGTGTTTTCAAAACACCACATAAACTATTAGGCCATCGTACCACTTTCACTTTGGACTTTGATGCTCCATACATCATACTTTGCTGCTGAGAGTATAAATATAACACACTGATGGTAAGGATTAACTCATTTTATTCTGTATTTCAGCTCCTGATAAATGCAATCCTAACCCTTGTAAATTTGGAGGCATTTGTATTCCTCATGGAATTCAGGTCGAGTGCCGGTGTACGAGTGGATTCTTTGGCACATATTGTGAAAATGGTATGTATTCACAAGCTACAAAATGAAGTTTTAAATTAGTCGCGTTGTCGTGGTTTGCTATTAATGATGCTTTACTAAGTTTTAATACATAATTATAATGCATCTCATCTTACGTAGCTATGGATACGTTTCTACATGACCCGTGTTTGTTCCATGTTTTATATGACTTAACTGTGGCTATGTTTGTCTCCCTGATCCGTCTGTAGTTTAGTTGTTATATAACGTAGCCGTTAATGCCTATCACCCTGACACGTCTGTAGTAAATGAATCAGATAGCGTAGCTGTTGATACGTATAACACCGAAATGTATATTCTCACCTGTATGTGGAACCTGTCTTATGTTGTGTTACCTCTATGTAGCTTTGATTGTGTGTATCAAAGAGCTGTGAAAAGTAGATTTTTATATTAATGTAGCTTTAGAAACGTGTAGCATTGCATAACTGGATGAGTGCATATTTCTGACCTGTATGCAGAACGTGTTTTATATTAAATATGTGTATCCCAGACCAATATGTAGTTTGTACTTAGCTGTGGATGGGTGGACATCCTGTAGTATGTGTGTGTGTTTTAAATGTTTTAAAATATGTATATCACATAGCCGTGGATAAGTGCAGACCTGACCCTTGCGGTAAACATGGAGTATGTGAAGAAACACCAACTGGATACACGTGTCATTGTCAGGACGGCTACTCTGGGAACAGTTGTACAGGTACGCAGTTAGTAGCAGAAATTTAAGTATCATTAATGTTTACTAATCGCAAATAGCAACGAACAATATTGTTAACATCGTTAAGTGTAACTCGCTATACGAAAAGTTATATATTTTTTTTTTCTTTCTAAAATACATTTTTATTGTCTGCAGGTCCTGTCAGTCCTCCAGTTAACGCTTGTAATCTAAATCCAAGAGCTGTTGGATGCAGTAAGTATTCTGCTTTAAGGCTAGAGTAATAGATTGGTAAATAGGTTTACATTGAGTATGTTCCAATATAGGCACTTGATCGGAACAAACGAAAGTTTTTTGGAGCGTATTACCTAAAATAGATTAAATAGATATATAACCTAAGAAGTAACAGAGACAGTCCACGCAAGGGCATTTGTAAAATATTCTAGTCAATCCACCCCTTAATCAAGACACAAACAAGTTATTTTTATATATGTTACCACGTTTCAGATGTAACGTCACTTTTTATTGGTTAATAACCATGAATTGCATAACGATGGTATCGCCCTTAGCCTTTCACCCCTTCGGAGGTTCTTCAGGATTTTTTTTGAAGATAATTTTTACATGAGTAAAATCTGCTTGCTCTCATTGAATTTAATGAAAACATAACAGAAATGATCTGATATAATTCAAAAATGCTTGTGGTAAAGCATTGGATATCAGAATGCTTTGGGGTTTTAAGTTAATAAGCGTTTCCATATAAATTGTTTCCGTTTGGATTGTCTGAATGAAAACAAGATAAAATTGTCCATCCGAAAATGGTTTAATATTAAATGTATATTAACATATATATTGTAGTATTGTTTCTCCATTATTGGAATAACATATAAAATAAAATGTCGCCGTCACTAATAAATTTTCATTTACGTTGTATATCAAATGGCTGGATGATGCACTGACAAAATTAGGTAACACTCTTTATTTATGTTAAGGAAATAATAATAAAAAGAAATCCGTAACCATAATGATTCCTTTATTTTAAGACTGTGGTGCACAATGTGTTGCCCCAAACGGAATATGTGTAGGGGCGCCTGGATCAGGAACATGTTTATGTTCAAAAGGCTTCACTGGACCCGATTGTCAAAGTGAGTATAGTAAGCCCGGTATAAAAATAATATTGCCTCTCCTTATTTCGTCTTTATACGTGGGTATTTTTTCACTATATTTACTGACATGAATGTGCCACTATGACCTTCATTTGATGGCACCATTTAAGTACCGTTTTTCCGTTAAACAACTGATATATTTCGATGATTGTAGAATTATCGTCATTATTGAAGTATATAACATATAACAACTGTTTAACGATACCACTTCCTTGCTTCGTAAATGGATGAGATGTGATTATATAAGTAGGCCTACTGGTCGTCATATATTGATTTCCCTCTGCGGTTTTGTGCTCCTTTTATCTGATTAAGTCTGATACACTAGATACGCTATGCATATGAGGTGGAGATACGTAGTTTGTTTGAATATACGCCAAATGTCTTCAAAACATTAAATAAGCACACCGGAATGATAAGTAGACAATGTTAAATGCATTGGAAGTTCGTGTATAGAGTGAAGTAATATTATTTATATAGATGAAATTATTTGAAATACAATACCAACATGTTTATATTACAGGTCAAAGCTCTCTTGGAGGACAAGATGTACGTAGAGTTCAGTCATTAAATTACCGTTGTCGTAAAACTCAGATGCTTAATTGTCATACGATCCTTGGTAATAAAGATTTCGAAGAAAATACTATTCTAATGATTAAGCCATTTGAAAGCATTGTCGAATTATATTTGTTACAGATACCATTTTTGAAGAATTTAAACCAAAAGGACTTTTTTTCCCACGGCACACTATTAAAAATAAAAACAAATATTTAACAATGTTTTGTTTTTTATAGCTGATATGTGTTTAACAAACGCCCGAAGCTGAAGATTTGATGAAATGTGAACAAAATTAATACTTTTCATACGCATGTATTTTCTATGATAGAGAGAATAAGTCCGATACTTCTACAATTTTTACTGACAACTTATCTATCAATTCATTTCTAATCAAGCTTAGTGCTATGACGTTATTGAAAGCCTTTTTATACCGAGATCATGACCATGGCGGTTTATAGGACGTTAAACAATACTAAACCAAACTAAACCAAACTAGACCAACGTAGGTCGTGCGGATCTACATTTCTCTTTTAGAGGCTGTGTAGAGGCAAAAACGTCCCCAAATTAGAATAAATTATGAAGAGAAATTGCACTTATTATACATGTACATCATGGTCAATCTCTGTGACGATTTTCAAAGTTGGATCACCGTATTCTTCATTCATTACTGTTACTTAGTAAAACATGTGAATGGGAATACATGAAGCCTTTATGAATAAAAAATACATGAAACATTGTTTTCGCTTTTTATAGCCGATATTTGTTCCACCAACACCCGAAGCTGAAGATTTGATAAAGTGTGAGCAAAATTCATACTTGTCAACCACATGTATATTTGCGGTATATACATCGCCTGACACTGGTATGAGGTACGTAAAAACACCTTACAGTATAACAGAGAAATAACACCAAAAATACTTTGATCTTAATAATTGTATCACACCAACTTTCCTGAAAACTTGTTTAGGCAATCATTTTAAGAAAACGATAGAAATAGTGGATATACTGGAACATGTAAGTGTTTGGTTTGATTTCTATTTTTGGTATAACTAGCTGAAAGGTTATATCGGGTAAAACGGCAATCTTCATTACCAGTATGTTTTCATTACAGTACTGCGCCTCTGGTCAAAACCATTTTGCCACCTAGCAAAGTACGAATTTCCGTTTCTCCTGCGGCCGATCCAAAGATCCCCGGTATCCTCAACATATACCGTTTTGATATAAAGATACAGGCCCAACCCAAAGCAGCTCCTAAACTGCATGTTTGCCTGCAAGTAGCAAAATCATCCGAGTAAGTACGTTTGAGGTTTTTTCTTTTTAGAAAATGCTTTAAAATCATATGAATTGAAGCGTCTACTGGCATTTTGTTTAAAATAAATCAAATGCAGACGTGTACTTTTCGTAAAAAAGTTTAATATTTCATTCATCTTTATATGAATGGTTTCCAATTTAATGCCATATATATTTCACGTAGGAGTAGGACCCAATACCGATACTTAAACGATAGAGTTCATTATATCACTGGCATGAAAGTAATAATAAGTGCAATTGTGAAGTATATGCACAGAATTAGGTATGATTGTTATTTCCATATTTCAGTAGTACACATCCAACAGACACTAAGTGCTTCAACGTGGAATATGTTTTCAAGCGTAAGTACATTGTCATTTATGTATGAAGTTGAATTAAAATCACATAAATATTTTAACCAAAGAGTAGTTTGCGAACAATGTCTGCTAAATACTAAAGCATCCAGAATGTAACAATTTTGTTGTATGGTTTGATTCTGTCCCTTATAATCCTTTATGGTGTCAGTAATAAACTAATAATCCAAAAAAATAATCATGATGCGTTATATCAATTTGTGTCATAGCTGTCATATTTTGGATATAGTTAAACCTATGTTACTTGTTGAATATCTAATAATGTTGTCATAATCCTTTCAGATGGAATTGATCCATGGGGCACATCTATATCACCGGCACCTGTAAGTACTATGAAGTGTATGTCACCAGAGCAGATTATGAACAGGGTGAAACATGCGTTGTATAATATAATATGCGGTATTGATAAATTTACATACTAATACTTGCAAGAAATAATTATCATACACTCAAAGCTTTAGTGAGAGACAAACCTAGGGAGACCATAAACCAACTTGTACTATCATAAAAAGTTAACATGGCTATACGGAAAGTAGCAGTCCCACTAAACAACGGGGGTCAGTGGCGCTGTAAGTCAAAACAAAAACAATTTGAAAAGTCCTCTGCAATCTTTACAGAAATACTTCAGTTGCAGAGCATATTCGGATGTATCAGTTTTCATTATTGAATACTTATCCGTGAATAATGTGCAGGAATCTCTATAGAGCTCGCATATAGGTTATGAAAATTACCTCGTCTATCTCTATATATCTAAAAAAAATCAATGCAGGTGATTCAATTTTTCCCTATAATTGTAATAAGGTAACATCTGATGTGCAAACTGTAATTATCTACCAATAATGACACATTAAGACAAAATTTTGGTACTTATGATATTATTTTGTATTCAGCTAACAGTGTATGACTGAATCATTTTGAATGTTTTAAAGCTGTAACGCCTAATGTTGTTGGATCCTACCAACTTGCCAGATACTACGTGATCCTTATAATATGACAACGCCTAAATGTGATAAATAACCAAAACATCATGCTTAATTTGTTTGTTTATCTATAAACAAGCATATTTATATCGCAATATAATAAACATGATATAGTTCCTAAGCTGTAACAGTGCAATATTTACACTTTGACGCTAAATATATATTGTTATTATGACTTGGATTTACCGCTTCCTTGTTTTTTTATCTTCTCTGTTTGTCGCTTTGTTATATTTACAAACACCGATTGTTGGTATGCTACATTTAATTGATTATTGAACTTTCGATTACAGGCCAATACGTTTGTAGATCCCACTTTACCAGACCAAAGTGAGATTGTATGTGAAATTGGAAAACCATGTCATTTCTTCGTTTTTGCATCTAAGGTTGCCAGCATCTGGTAAGTGCTTCACGTTGCTTTCTGTTTCAACGGTTTGCATTTATATGATGTACTGTAAGTCTTAGAACGTGTCAATTATTCAAAACCGTGTGTGTGTACCTCTCTGTGTTGGTAAGCGGGATAGACATTGGGTTAAATTGTCGTCAGACTTTAGATAGACGCGTTCTGGCAGTGTTCTCTCGTATGTCCTTTAACCTCAGTTGAGTGTTGTGAAAAATCATACATGAGTTATTCTTGACACTCATACGGTTATAAGTCTGCCAATGTATCGGGAAGATTCTATATTTTATTTTACCATTTCGCGTCACATAAAAATGTGATCTGTTATTGGAACAATTAGATAAAGAAAGATAAGAGCGATACCATCAAAAAGTTGATAATCAGTTGTTTTGTTTTCGTTTATTATTTTGAATGTATGTGATAATTTATATGTTTACAAACAAAAGGGAGATTTTAATTTGACAATGAATTAATTCGATTCAATTCAATTCAAATAAAGAGAACAGTTTGTTTCGACCATTTGTAATTTATTAGTGTAAAGTTTTTGGTTTGGATATAAAATCTGAAACAGTAGAAAAATAAGTTTTTTTATGAATAGTGAAATTACCTTGGCAACAATCCTATCAATTTTACCCATGCATACGGCTGTCGAAGCATACACTTTTACAATATCACTTTGAAACTGTTTACATGTAGTCGTGTCTCTTGAAATTTAATTTACTGTTGTCATTAACTACTTTTTAAAGAAGATTTGTATCGATTATGTTTGGTTATGTATGTATAAACTATATTGTAGCAAACATGTGTTGGCCAGTGACACGGTGTCTACTGCAGTATTCGATCCGTCTGACGTCGGCACTTCATGTATGACAAATATTGTATGCGACTTCAAATCGTCCGCTATAGCCGGCACCAGGAAGAAAATTTGCCTTAAATCAGGGTTAGTAATGTTATTTTTTATCAACAATTATTTGAATACCTATTACGGCGGTCAACTTTCTATCTAATATAATTCCCGCGCATGACAATAATTGTTTTCTATATAGTCAAATATATCATCAAGATGTTGCATAAAGGGGGTTCATAGTTTTCACTTTAGTAAATCTTTAATATGATGTGCAGCGATATATTTTACGTTCACCTAGACAGATCTTAGAATGATTTTTGTAATCTTTTTGAAATTCTGTGATCAACGCGCTACAGGTAATGTATTCTGGAGTGGCCACCATTTACGGATGGTTTTAAATACCATTTTTATCTTATTATTAATTCTGCCATTTTATGTTCACAGTGATTTAGGTGATGTACGATGTTTTTACTTGAGGAGTGTTACAAGTATTGTGGGTACGTAATAGTAATGTACGACTGTTTTCTACCATCAGTTATACACGTTATTTAAATGATATTTTATAAAATTGATCCTTTCGAAAAGAAAACTTTCAATGAGTCAGTTTGTCAAATGATGATGATTACCGTTGTAGATCACTGTGCCTCCAGTCCTTGTAAGAACGGAGGAGTGTGTGGGTCCACACAGGGTACCTATGTTTGTACATGCACAGCTGGCTTCACTGGACAGTCATGCGAAAAAGGTGAGTTTCATAGCAGAAAGGTTGAAGGAATAATGTAATAAGTTTTTGACTTTAAGATATACCTCATTCAACATAGACGATAGCTTTGCTGTATGCTTTTGTTTTTCATTTGTTCGTTCATGTGATCGGCATACATTTTTAGCTCACCTGGCCCGAAGGGCCATGTGAGCTTATGCCGTACTGCGGCGTCCGTCCGTCTTTCGTCCGTCGCGAATCCGTTAACTTTTTCTTTTGAACGACTTCTTCTGGAGAACTGGAGGACCTAGGGTCATAATATTTGGCCATTAAGAACCTGGGATGGATTGCTATAAAGTTTCCTCATTAAAATGACATTGACCTACTTTCAAGGTCACTGTGGTCAAATATGTTCAAAATTTCAAACAACGATAACCTAAGAACCATTTGAACTAGAGTCATGATACTTGGGTATGTTATGGAGAACAGTAGTGCAAATCGTTTGCTCATTACAGTAATGAGGTCAAAGGTCAACTTTAATTGCTAGTTGAGGGTCAAATGTCAACTTTTGTTAAAAGCTTTAACAATATCCTTCTCAAGTTCCAAAGGGCCCAGGGTCATGATATTTGGCCAATAGGTACTTTGGATGGAGTGCTATAAAGTATCCTCATTTAAACGGTCAATGTGGGTTAAAAGCTTAAAAATTAAAATTTTAAATTTCAAACAACAGTATCTTCAGAACCGTTTAAGCGATGTTAAAATGTCTTGTGTTCTAGTTTCCAAATTTAGTCTTAAGTTGAATATATGTCAGTTTCATTTACCAAAAGAAACAGGTGAGCGAAACAGGCCCTTTGGGCCTCTTGTTTAAGGTAGATTCTCTTATCTGGACAATTAACAACGTTCGATAATTGGGGACCTAATGCTATAATGATTTCCGTTTTGCATTTAGGTCCGTGCCCGCCTACAGTTCCACCTCACTGTAACAATGGCGGATATTGTTACTCCATTGGAGCTACCAGAAATTGTTTCTGCAAACTTGGATTTTCGGGACAAACATGCGCAGATAGTAAGTTTCGCATGATCTGAAGTTTCAAATATACCGTAGTTCTTCTCTTATAAAAATCAGCACACTTTGTGTCTTAGCCAGTTGATATACTACAGACGTTTTTGGAAATGACCGGTAATTCGGTAATTATCCATAATATTGTAATTAACGATTATGGAAAATATGCAGAATAACTTCCTCTAATTGTTGTTCCCATTTCTCTTTTAATCACTGTAAACCGTACAGCCTTCCTTAATTTTTACAATTATACCGTGGTATCAGTTGTCCAGTAACAATGTAACATTTATATCAACAAGCAGAAAATGACTTCATGTATATGACACATAACAGCATCGGTTGTTTATAGAATTGTCCATTTCATTTATTTTTCTAGATTCGAAAGATACCGTCGTGAATCCGCAAGCTAATGGGGTAAATGCCTTTTATCAAAACATATGCAATTACCACAGAAACAAATATGCATTGATCAACATTTAGAAGTATTGGTTTAAAAGCGGCTTCTTTTAACTTATAAAGCTTTTTTAACAGTAGTGATGTTTACCAAAACACATTTGTGTAGCAATGGGTATCCTAATAGACACAAGTGTAATATACTTTCATTTTTAAAGGCTAAATTCAAGGATGGGACCATCCCAAAAGAAGTTAAATGTTACGTAGGCCAACCATGTCAAATACCGACAACGCTCATAGGTGATCCTGGGACCAGGTAAGGTTCACACTGATTGTATAGGTAATAGGTAACTTTTTGAGCGATAGGATTGTCTATTATTGTATATTTCTCGTTAGTGTGGCATGTTGATTTGTTGTCACCCTCCAAGTTTCTCGCTATGAGGACGTTACATTATTTGACCTAGATTTATCAGTTGGTTGTTGCCGATGAAGCAGAAAGATTTTGACCCTTCCGTTAAATCTTCCTCTTCCTTTGTTAAGGTTTTGCCATACTATAATCGATTTTTCGAATTCTTGCAACATATATTTAAAAATTGATTAGCAAGTTATGACTTATGACGAAAACGTATTTTATCAAATAACATATGTGTTCCCGATATCCTCATTGGTTGGATCGTACATACGTGGGATGCGGATTTGAGATATTTACTCGGTGTTTTTTGAAACAGAGCAGAAGGTCAATATTCACCTATGACGTCATTTCAAGTGTAAAGTCACAATGATCTCTGCCGAATGCAGTGCTTTCCTTCATGTAATTTCCCTATATGTACATTCCGTTTATCACCTTATGAAATAGATAGACATTTTATTTCGGTGAATATGTGGTTAAATGGATCTGAGAAAATTATGTTAACCTTGACTTTGTCTCGGTTAATATCACTGTCTCAGGTCCGTATAACCACATATACCCCTGAACAAAAGTCCATAATTGATACCTATGTAGTGAAAGCAATGTAAAAAAATAAAGAGACCACTTTGTTACCAAGTGTTGTATACTTCCAATTATTAATCACAAACACGTAAAAAGACCGAGCTGTTCAGGCTCATTCAATCACTCAAAGTATAAAATGACAGTTTCAAACGAATGAACATGTTATGTTTACGAATATACATAATAAATGGGCTGACATTCACCTCTCATGGTGTAATATCAGGGGTGTAAGGGCGCATGTTGATGTTTGTATGTGAATGTATCAAAATATTTTTGATGATGTGAGTGTTTACATTTTATAACTAGAAAAAATAAAAACACAAATTTTGATCTCATTGTTATGATTAAATTCTTCAGACCCGTTGTGAGTCCAGGGTACGTTAACGGAAATCTTGATGTACACGGGACCACTGTAACCAAGGACCCTTCCTCCCCAACCGATTACCATACCAGTGTGGAGGTGGTTAGTAAGACCAGTGGCAAACACCAAATATGTATCCAAAGCAATAACCCAGCGGGGTAAGTTATTCTGAAGGTATTATTTATCTATGTTTGAACCAAAGAGTAATATCAAATTTAAATGTTTTAACCCTCCCTAACAGCAGCTTATTTGAGGTGCATGTGATTTGAAAAATATATCTTGCTTAGATAAAATTTATCTGAATATCATGAGCTACATTTTCAAATAAAAAGATATGAATTGCAAACTGAGCAGTGTAGAGCTGAAAATGTATATATACTGATAAAGAGATCAAAATAAAACTAATGCTTAAATCCTTTTGATTCTTTGCAGAAAAAATCGAAAATGTACTTTTCTATTTTATATTCCAGACAAAGTGCCGATGAAATATGTTTTATGGTAAATGCAGTCAATGGTAAGTATACATGCATCTTATATAAGTATTATAATCAATAATTATCAATACGTTTTAAATAACATTCCAATGATATACACTCACTATGAAAAGCTTTTTGGTGTAAATAACATGGTAATTGTATATCTTTTACAGGACAACTCAACCTGCCGAGCAAGGTAAATAAAGCAGATAAAATAAAAACAACAATATATGTATACTACCAACTTTAACCATACTTACCATCAACTAATGCTTGAACAATTGACTGACTGAAGCATTATCTAATATGTCACTTGAAATGTGTTAAGGTGGTTCTTTTAAATTAACCCACTAACTCTGTAGTTCATGGTGGTACCATCAGTAACTAAATATATCGTCTCTTATAAAGTACTTTTATAAAATATGACACAGGGTCGTCTGTATACATTTCGATCCGATGTGAAGAATGACTCATAACATTATTCGTTTCAGTCGCATGCGTATTTTATTGATCCCTCCCTACCGGATGGCTCTTCTGTGGAGTGCAAGACCGGTAAAGCCTGTCACCTCAGTCTCTGGGTTCACAACTACGATGGCGAGGACGCATGGTAGGGAGAGCATTGTTCGATGTTTTTGGCAATCTTTTTTTAAAGAAAGCTTTGTCCAGTTTTCCAGCCAAAAAAATGAATCACAGTAAAGTATTTTGACTGAATAATTTGTATAGCCTTAATTATTTTGATATATAGAGGTTACCCAACGAGTACTGTTTGGTTATTATGATTATCTAACTCTAGTTAGATAACTTTGATAATCAACCATTACGAGTTTGTGGACCTTTAAATTCCTCACACAATAGTCAGGTTTTATATCTAGATTATCATAAATATCTCTTGGGAACACACTTTTCCTGTTTCCGATTGGGGAACTAGTTACCATGAACATGATTGTTACTTGACGTCATAATTAGAAGATTGGCCAATAAAATGACGTCCAAGATGTTACTCACCAGTGAGTACCAAAATATTCATCAACATTTTGAGAGTTTATCATCAGATTCCCTTTATATTTAAAATCACGTACCTATTATGATATTTCCTTATTTTTATAAGACTCACTTTTTTAAAATATAACTTTATGTTTCAAATTAGACTCATCGATCAATTATCTCACATGATATTCAGATTGTATCAGTTGATTCATCTTGGTTGCTTTCAGTCCATCAGTTAAATCGTCACAAGACATCTACTCAGGAGTATACATCCACCAGGCTACTGGCACATCCGCGTCAGGTCCATGTAAGGTGGATGTGGTCTTTCACAACGATCAGCCAAAAACTTACACAGGCATATGTTTCACATCAACGTCTTCCAGACAAGATGTTTTCGGGTAAGACATTTTTTTATTTTTTTTTGTAAAGCTACAAAATGTATCAAAAGAAGATAAAAACCCAACTTTATATATGTTTCTTCACGAAATGCGCTTCAAAATAGTTTACAACCATACATGTATGTGTATCTTCGTTCAACTTTTTTTTTGAAGAAAGCTCCAATAATAAGGTAACGATGGCGTTCCGTCAGTTTAGTATGTGTTTTAATCATGTACAGATTGGAAAAGTGACATGTTCTAAGAGATGAAATATTTTTGATAAGGACACTGATAGATGAAAAGATCTTCGAAACTCACTTTCCAACAATTCCACTTCTTACATGTCAGGACGATTATAGTCCTCATTTCACCAAGATTGGTAGTATAAAGTTAAGATGATGGCTTGGATGAAGAACTTGCAGAGACAAGGATAAAACGTTGGATGATCCTCCTGGATAATATCTATATATAGCCAAGTTGCAGCTGTATGGAGCTGTAGAGCAAGGACATGCTGAAGAAGGAGCTTTTCTAATGTCATCTAAATCTAACTGCTATAGCGTTTGCTTGTAGTTGGAAAGCTTGGAAGTAAGGGTTTAGAATAGCTGTAAGACACGAAGTACGGTGGTATGTTAGCTTTGACAGACTTTTAATTTTGGATATAACGAATTTTAATGGCATCTAACATGAGAGTTTAATAGAATGTCGAGTTACCGAAGAGTCGTAACATTCAGCACAGAATACAAGAGTCAAATTTTATGACTGCATTTTCTGAGAAATGATTAAAGACATATTTTAATGCCGTAAGCTATGCCAGTTTACAATGGACATGTTTTATGTCTTTTCAGAGGTGACGGAGAGGTCCGCTGCTATGACGTCACTATCGTTGATACGTTGTCAGGTGAGGTTACTTTGTTTCTGTCTAAACTATTGGGAAATTCTAGCCACAGTTTGATGCCACTGAAAGTGACTTTAAATTTGTGTGATATTCGTACTCTTGTAACTTTGCATATCCAGGTAATTTATGAAATATGTTTATGCAAACCGAAAGCTAAACAAACTGACTTAAACGTTAATTTAGAAATTTGCAACGGTTATAATCAACTTAAGGTAACTTCTCACAATTCAGTATATGTGGAATCATCGGAACATGTAGCAAGAGGAACACTTTTTTCCTGAAAACTATAAATAAGAATAAAATGGGTAAAAGTCAGATTAAAAAGGAATTGATGAAATGAGATACTGCAGGATTAATAAATACGATACATTTACCTTTGTTGCATGCTCACTAATATTGTGCTGTTTTTTTTTTATTGTAGTCGTTGGTTCTTGTTCCTCCACTTTGTGCGAGAATGGAGCATTTTGCGACGGTCACCGAACAACACCGAAGTGTGCCTGTCTGAGTGGGTTTTCAGGCCCCCTTTGTCACCAAAGTATGTACATTTATAAACTAAACAATGGAATCCTAATGTGTTCAACTACAAAGAGCCACAGTGTTGTTAAGGTTAGGATAGGAAACCTAATTTGCAATTTATAAAAAATACATGTATGTCCTAGATCTTTAACCTTATATCAGTTTTTGAATAGCCAGTATGTTCATCGATTTAACATACTGAATATTTATTATATAACAATAGTTAGAAATAGTCATACATAACTTTATTTTTCAAATTTCATGATATTGAGATTTAACAGAATCACACAAAAATGGCATGAAAAAACATGAAAAGTATGAGAGAAAAAGACATCATCCGGTCAATATAAACACCCTTAAACTTTCCTTTCAGTAATAATTAAACTATTTCTTGCAGCTCATGGTGAATCACTAACCAGTCCTGCACCAGTTCCGGGCGTTACACAAGTAAGCTGCAAATGCACAATAACAATACTGATTTATATGTACAATTATAATTGAAAAGAAATTACTCGGCATTGAGCGACAAAAAGAAACAAAGATGTGAGAACGGAAACATATCTTAACAAAATATGAAAAGTAATCAACATAACAGTGTAAACGGACTTATCGACAAATCATGTGTAAGAATTAAATATGTTATACCATTACAGAGTACTTTCGGAGACCTTGCTGTTCCAAAGGAGATAAAATGTACCCTACATCAGGAATGTGAAGTTCCATTCACCTTTACAAAACCGGGTGGAGGCACCGGCACACAGTATGTCATTGACATTTTGATATATCTTCTGATGATTCTTCAACAATTTAAAATTCTTATTATACATGCAGGACAATATTTATATTTCTGTTATAATTTCATAACAGTGGTCTCCGCAATTTTATGTGGGATAACTTTGTGTCCCTAGTGTGGAGATGAGGAGATTCCAAAATCATAACAAATGTATGGCGTCATGTTAACAATACATTTACGTCACGCCAACAATGCATTGAGACTGTAACGTCAATATTGCATAAATAACAGGGTCAACAGAGTAAGACAGATGAAGATTAGTTCTCCACATTTGGGATGAAATGAAAAATTGCGATTCAAAATAGGTTAGGGGTACTAAAATTGCTAAACAACTGGCAAGTCTTGTGAATTTGTGTACTTGTAAATCTTTCCCCTCGAGATGAAATCCCTTAAGTGAACAAATATTATAAGTCTAACAGTCATGACTAACTGCTCTTATAATGGGTTGATTTCATCGAAATTCGTTATACACATACATATTGACAAGTCTAAAGCTGAGTTTGATAGTAAATGTTGTCCTTTGATGTTTTAAGGTGAATAGCTTGCACGTTATCTGGAAAATTGAACGAAATTTGTTTTTGCATTAGCAATGTCGGTGCCAATATTTGATCAAAGGCAATTTGGCCCTTTTGGTAGCTATCACCGATAAGTTATATTTTTTTGTATATACATTCCTTAGGGTTATGCCATCATGATATGAAATGAAATTTAGGTCAACTTGGAGACCATTCCGAGATATGAGGGGGTAAAATGGGCGACCAAAATCCCAAATAGACACTTTTTTTTACAAAACCATATGATATTTTTTGAAAGTTTCTTAATCATTTTTGTGTTTTGCCGAACACTAAAGCTGTAAATTTAAAAATGGCCGAAAAGAGTAGCACACGGTTGATAAGTAGGTCACTGTGACCTTCTTATATATTTGCTTAATTATGTCAACAATTCTGTCTTTTCTGTGCCTAAATTCATATTAGAACCAAACAATAATATTATTTTTTATCACCCTTTTTAACACTTTTATTGATAAGTATAGCGTTTTAAGCACAATAGTCACAATTTTAAAAATGAATAAAATGGTTAAAAAAGAACAAAGAAAGTGGTCTTAAAGCTGACCTTAATTTCATTTTATATCATGATGGCATAACCCCAAAGTATGTATATAGCCACCAGAAGGCCATAATTGGCACCCCTCCTTTCCGAGAAAAAAGGATTGATTTGGTCAGTATTAGTTAAAATTCCTAAGTTACATACTGATAAAATTTTGATAGCTAAGAACATAAATTTGACACTGCTTAGAAAGTCTTAAACTGCTGTTGCCATCATCGTCATGCTGAGAGAAAATGACTTTAACTAATATTGCATTAATAACTTTTTTAATAATTTTTAATAATGGGATGTTTTTGCAGCCATAATTCTCATAATAAAACATGTAATATACAATCGCCTTTTGAATGACGTGTTTTGTGTTGTCTTTTTCCAGACCTTCATTGAATCTTGGACAAATAGATAGCGGTCTTACTGTTACTCCAGCTATTGTGTCCAAAGATCCCCACTCTCCGGAAGGGACGTACCAAGGCAAAGTAAAGGTCGTGGGCAATACACCAGGAAACAAGAAAGTCTGCGTTCACACCCCGACTAGCTCGCCTGAGTATGTAATTTCGAAACGAGTTTCATTGTGCACACGATTTGGTGTCATTAGCGTTGTGTATTTGTTTTCATGTGTGAATCTTACGATTGTTGTCCGGTTTATCCGAATATGTTACTCTAATATATAAAAGTAAAACATTATAAATATTATATGATATCATAGAAATAATCTAAAGCAAAATTCCTTCCAATTTTCAGCGTTGTTGGCGATGACATCTGCTTCAACGTTGACGTAACCAACCCAACAGGCAGTGAGTATTATGGAACTGGATGATGATTGATTTATTGATTTTTGGCAAAATGAAATATATATTGCCCTTGCAGTAGGGAATCACCTTGTTATTACTCGATTAATCTTGTTTCACACATGCCACGCCCTTGTGAAATATGATTATTACCTCGGAGGAATAACCGTGCTCCCCTATGGTAAGGGCGATAAACGTATATAGTAATCTAACGATTTCGCCAAAAGATCCATAAAACAAATAATAATGATATTTACCCTGTTTTTTTCTGTGTTAAGAAGTTATACAGTTTGTAAGAAAAAAACACTGACACAAATAAGTAAATCATACTGAAATCAAAACGCATATTGGTCTGTAATGTAAGCGTTCTTGCTATCATGATTGCTAAAATATTTTACCTTAACTCCATTTTAAGGCCTAGGATGTAAGATGCGTTTCCCTAAGCGTTAGATAACAATATGTGTAAGCGATACGCTATATGTACAGTCTCGTTTGATTTCTCGTTAAATACTTGTTCCCAGTGGCATTTATTGTAACTCAAGAAAATTATCGATGTCAAAATGATGGACATTCTACCCCAAATGATTCAGTGTAAATATCGTGACTCTTAATTCTGTAGATTTCCTCACATAGATGTCGCTTTTGACGTGGAATTTAGGCCTGTCATAACGACATATTGAAAGCCAACAACTCCATCCAATATCAAATCTCGCTTTGATTGTCGCTCTTAATGATAATCAATGCCCACATCATTCTGAGAACAAGAGTAAGAACGAGAAAGGGTATATTATAGCACTACTGAAAGTACCGCATATACATTCTATATGTATACACTCTGTATCATTTTTTCTTTCTTTTTGTAGGTTCAGCTGCTCCCAATGTTGCCCAAGTAAGTGTTTAAATCACTTTTACTTCGTGAATTAATTAAAATGGACAACTTTGATCGGTCTGACATTTTGAACAAATTTAGCTCAGTCTTCTTTCCTTTTTTTTTACAGCCACATTTTATCGAGCCGACGGTCCAACCTCAGTCTACTCTTCAGTGTGAACCAGGGAGGATATGTCACGTAATTCTTCAAATGTCACCTGGAATTAATCATGGATGGTTTGTATTTACTATAAACAATTAATGATGCCAAAAACTGAGTTTTTGATATCGTGAAATAGACTCCATCTTTAGCTGACCTAGTCTTACCCCAAGAGCCAATTTAACTTAATGTCGTAGTGCGATGTCCGGCGTCCGCCCAACGTCAACGTTTTACTTTTTACGACTAAAACCAAAATATTGATAGTATTTGGTCAGTTGTATGCTTGGATAAAGGGCTATCAACTTCATTCTAATTAATAACTTTGACCATCTGTCAAATCAACAGGGATCAAACATGGTAAAATCTCTTAGCGACTTCTTATCAATAGCCAAAAGGCCGAAGGTGATGACATTTTGCCAGTATCTAGATTGTGTGAAGTACTATGAAGTTTTAAACGTGAATGAATCAACCAGACCAATAACGATGGTATTATTATTAAAATTATTAGAACTTCTTATGGTGTAGATGATTAAAATCTTTCAGAAAGGACCCATTACATATTGTGTAATTAATTTGAGTAAATTTAAATAAAATTGACTTTCAAACGATTTGAAGGTGACAGACGTAAGTCAATAACCAGTGAGCGATACAGGTTCATTGGGCCTTTTGTCTACTTATGTAAGAGATTGAGTTTGCTTGTGTAACACTATTTAAAAGAAAGATTTTCTATGAGATGGTTCAGCACACGTACAATACTATAAATTATATATGTTTCATCTCGTTGTAGTCCTTCTGTAGTTCAGGCCCAGGGCCCATCGGATGACCTCCACCTATTTCACTCCGACTCAAACACTGTTATTGGTTCGTGTGCTGTTGACGTCACACTCACACCACCGGCGAGTAAACATGGAACGGATACGCTTTGCTTTGACACATCCTTACCTTAGTAGGTTCAATGTTAGATTTTACAAATTTACGTATCTTCCCTTCAATGATAGTGAGATAGGCATGTGCAAATAGAATAGAAACTTATCGCTTCAATCGCTATCATTTATCAGCAATGTAACTTCGTGAGGCCCAGGCAGGGTTTACGTCAAAATTGTCACTATTTGTCTTTTATATCACGCATTTACATGATAACACATTTCCCTCAAAGTTAGTTTAGAAAAAACTTACATCATTTATTTTGATATCTTGAATCAAGTTTATTTGAATGTGTTCGAACATATGTTTAGCAACCTTTGAAATCCACTTATAGATAAAATTTTTTTACTAATTATACTTTATAAATTGAAAAATGATAAACTCGGTAACTTTTAACACATTTGAATAGGATAGTATTTAATACTCAAAACCATATTGTTTGCCAAGATCATACTTTAACATATGATTTATAGTACATATTTAACGTGAAAACACGATAATCATTACTTCTAATTGATGATGACGATTCTATTGTAATAGATCAATTTCATACTTTTGCATTTGTATACTGACGCTGTGGCTATTCTATTTTACTTTTTACCTTGATCATCCATCCGCAGCATTCCCGGGGAACACAGATGCTTCAAAGTGGATTATTCCCATATCGGTATGTTGTACATAGCTCGTTAGGGTAATTATGTTTACTTGAAACGAAGCGGCCGAGTTTAAATGCACTATAAAATGACTTTTTTCCTTGATAAATATCCCTTTATAAAGCCTCTGTTTTGGCACAGTTCCCGTTGTCCGTCCATGTTTCCGTCAATTTTTCATTTGAAATGCTTCTTGTTCAGAACAGCTGGTTATCAGCATAATATGATATTACCTTCTGCATGCTCAAATTCATGTTTTGTATGTCATTAAGATTTGGTGACCTAAGTATTTCCGGGAGGCATTATAATTGAGTCCATGTACCACAGATGGTGCAAGAAACTCTTGTCCTTCTGGAACACTGCTGTGGCCGTTGGTTTATTGTTGGATTCTGTCTTTTGTTTTCCTGACTCTTCTCTAAATATTGATTTATTATTTTGTCACCTTTAAATTCATTTTTTTCCTTGCGTGATGTAGATGTGTTGTTTGTTCACTTCTATATAACACTGATTGAAACACATACTAATTTGTATTACTGACCTAGCGGCCGCCTAAAATAACACAATGATTATATTTAACTTTACTTTCGGTAAAGAGATGCATATAGGCACAAAGTAGTATTGTATTTAATTAACGTTAAATTACATAAACGTTCAGCCCCGTTGCGTTCCTATACACAGTAGGCAGTACGGAATTGAAGTTCCTGATTAGGCACCTAGTAGAAAAGATATTTACGTAATCTTGGACTATTCTTTGTTATCAGTATCCGGGCCTTGTACTGGGATTACATGTCATAATGGCGGAGTGTGCGGGGCTAATGGCCAATGCGTTTGTCCCATCGATCGAAGTGGACCAAACTGTGAGAACTGTACGTTTGTATATATATGAAAAATATTTATACTGACATAAATGTTCGAAATCACATAACTTTCACAGTTATACATTTAAAATTACCTGGAAAAAAGTATTCAAAATTCATAAAGAATTTATGAATGTTTTACAAACAAACAGTAAATAAGAGGTTTGTGTATGAATATATATATAATTACAAACATAAGAAAGTAGTAAACTTGATAAGGGACAAGCGTTTCTATAAAGCTGATAAAGTAATAAAGGTTAGAATTGTTATTTAAATATCAATATATCCCTTTCAGACCTGGCAACAAAATTCTAAATTTTGTTGAACTTGAGGTAAGTCGGGCTTCGTTAAATATTGAGTAAAGGTTATTGCATTTATTTTTCAGCCGGAAACCAAGGACCGGCCCACACAGCTGTCCCACCAAAGTTCACAGATATGGCTTTGCCAACCGACGTTAAATGTGAAATAAATACAGAGTGTGTAATCCCTTTAATGGTAAATGGAGCCCAGGCTACGCTGTAAGTAAGGTTTAAATCATTCTATAATAATAAACACGCTTGTTTCTTCTTATTCAGTGAGACATGTCTAAATTAAAAACAAGAAATCCGGAATTCTGTATAAATAAGACATCAGATGCCACTGCTTATATGTGTATGTATCTTGAACCATTTTAATCATATTGATCAGACTAAAAAAGGTACTCACCTTCCCGACGTGTGTTTTCCAAAATTAAGTCCAATTAAGAGCTTCCAACCGGGACAACAAGAGTGATAAATAGAAATTGAAAAGCAAGTTGTTTCAAAACTGTTGTAAGATGAAAATATTTATTATAATAAACCTGTTTATTCCGATAAAAAAATGACCAACGAGGTAATCAAATTTGACATCTTCCTTAGGCCATGTAACATTGTATAAACTGTATATTAGGGAGTGTCTTTTTAGAACGTATTAAGCTAGGAATAACCTAGCTTGCCTTCATTCAGACTGTTAACATGTTGACAGGTCGATGTCTCGTTCGGGGCCAGAAAATACTACGGACCGTGGAATTATACGGCCCCGTTTGTTGGCAAATACAATCCGCTTTGCCATAATACGTACCTTCCATATATCGAAAATAATTAGCTATTATCAATCAGAAACAAACTCTGTTTTCCGAGGTTCAAAAGTTGCCGCATAAACAACGCAATTTTAACGATTTTTTGCCAATTTCTTGGTTATATGCATCATCGGATACAACTAATCAGGTCCAATAAGTAATATGTAAATTGAAAATAATGTGCTAAAATATATTTTCATATTTTATTAATCAGGTTTCATGTGGTTTAAAGTGTTTATTCGTGTTCATGCTAACTCAAGCTTAAAAATAAGAAAAATAAGAAAAATAAAAATTGATAAGGTTAGTCTCGGTCCCTTTCATTTCTTCGTTGTTTCTTCTTAACGATTAATAACACACGCACACTCATTACATGACACCTATATAATTTTTATTTAAACCAATACATAACAATTCATGGCACATAGATAATAAAACGCCTTTTCATGTCAACAAATAACAATTTATCACAGTTTATATATTTGCCGGATATTCTTAATTTTAGACAAATCACATTTATATCGGCAGAACTATTTACAATTGATATTTTCTTTTTAACCACTTTATCTTTGTAAAGAAATATAGCAATGATCGATCGCTTAAATGTCAACTAGCTTTGTGTATGGTTTAATGGCATTTAATTGCATTAAACCAAAAAACTGCTAAATATGAATATATAATAAAAAAAACTCACCATCACATTTACATCAGTAGTTCTTCATGACCATATAATGGCAAATGCAATATACGGTCGGTCATTCAATCAATCAATTAATTGATCAATCGATCAATCAATCAATCTATATAGCATATCCCATATCGAAAACGTACATATCGAAGCTCCACACAGAATGCGTCATGGAATCAAAGGATAAAATTCCATGACATAATTTGCGTATTATGATATAAAACATGGGTGTATTTTGTGTTTGAGATGTAATAGGAAAGTGTGATTCTATCAAAAAACATTTAACAATCCGTTTCTTTCATGTTGTTTTTTCTCTCTTGATGGACGGCAGCGTATTATTCTTAAATTGTTTCTTTTTTTATTTTGTTTTCAGGCCACACATTCACGTTGGACATACAGACAGTGGTATTGAAGTTAAAAGCCCAGAAATAGGCAAAACAGGAAATCTTCCACCTGGGACCAACCAGGTTGTACTCCCTATTACAGGGAAACAACTTGGAAATAAAACGGTCTGCGTACAGGCACTGCCAACCACAGGGTAAGATGACAGCATTATGCAATAAAACATTTAAGCTTATATATAAAATTCTTTTATAGATAAAATGTTTATACCTTGGAATGTTTGTTTATAAAAAATATAAATATTCATATTTCACAACAATCTGCAAAACGTAAACCATTTCTAGCTTGCACTGTCAATTGCTGCCTCAGTCCAATTCCTCAATTTCACGAACAACTGTCGGTGTATTATTACTTTCGTCGGTTGTTTCTTCTGAAGTGCTTATTACAATCGTACCAAAAGCTTCCCTAAGATGACTGGGGTCGCCGGCCGTGAACGTTGGAAGGTGTAGGTCGGGGTACTGCGGGTATACGGGAGGCTGGGGCAAGTTCTTGGTCGTGTGTATTATTTCCTCTACGGTGCCCTCGTCGATTACATGCTGCACCTGGCTAAGCTTCTGCCTGTATTCGGTCAGGATGTTCTCCATGTGCTCTTTATATACGGTTAACTTGGATTCGTTCTCAAACGCCATTTCTTCGCATTTACGAACACTCTTATTTATGACTTTATCCAGTTCTGACTTCAATTTTGTAGATCTCTCCAGTACTGCTTTCCTAGCTTCCTTAGCGTCTATTTCGTTTCTCGCCAACTGATTTTCAGTGGCTTTCATTTGCTCTTTCAATAATGGTAGTTTCGTCTGCTCCAACAGTGTAATGTAGTTTTCAATGCTCGCTCGCTTTTCGGCCATTAACACAGATAATTTCTTGAATGGATGACATTGGTGTGTGGTTACTACACAGTCCTCACAGCACAATGTATCCTTACATTGCATGCAGGCAAACACTGCCTTTATTCCATGTGGCTTGCACACCAGATCGTTCTTTGGATCGTTCTCAAGTTGTCCATCGGTTTGCAGAGCGCATGCCATTTCTGAATAAAAGTAAAAATAAAAAATAAAAACTGTAATCAAACAAAAATGCAAAATATAAAGAGAGCAATCAAAAATTACATTCTATTTCACTACATACTCCTAAGTATCGAATATTGTTTTTGATATTTCGCTAATCTATTGAGTTATAAAAACTTGGACAGTGTCCGAGCTTTTTAAACCGCGGTACTAATCATGATGTAAAGACATGTTTATATCCTTACCGCAAAAAGTCTTTTAGAACATACATACACAAATACATCTATATTATTGATCAAATGTCATACTATACCGGTAACAACCAATCCTATAGTGTTTGTTTTAATGACACTCTCCTCATTATCCTAAATCATAGCAATACTGTATTTTCTTCTATGAAGGATCATACATGTATATATATGGCAACTGTAATTTCTTTTAATAAATGTGAAATAATAATATAGTTACTATCTTCATCCCAGTGTAAAATACATTCAAACTAAATACGGATACGGTGGTTATATAAAGATACGGTTCGATAAGAATATACTGAAAAGATTAAAGAGATATTTATCACATAATAAGGAAACGAGGGCAAATAATTTCAGATTACATAACGACCTTATAATGGAGACAATATGCACAGAGGAAGATGGCTGAATTATAAGATGAAATAGATTGTCCAAACTAGGCTTAGTTTAACAGCTGTTAAGATATATTTAGATTTATATAGAAGGAAATTTTATCAAGCGCTTTGTGACCAAGCGTGCAGAGACATGATATACACACGTATTACATGTAAACATTTCGCACAAATATCTCTTTGTGACAAACGTTAAACATTGTATAATGGACTAATACTGCTGTTAAATATAACGTGTACTAACTACGCAGGAAATTCAATATGATACAGCAGATTTATGTTCACCTGCATAATCAACAGTTGTTACCCAATATTAGTGGTGCCTTTGTTGATTCTATTAGGCAATTGCACACGTACACTACCTTAATCATTATACTACTTTGACCTATTCGTCTATGGCTATTAATAGAACAAGGATAGTAAATTATATCGAGCGGAAGTACTCCGTAATAAATTTGTCTAAAATATTAAGTACATTAGTTATATCGACAACAAAATCTGGAATAAGATTATGAAATTGTGATTCAATGAAGTTAACCAGGTCAATGTACACATATCCTTACATAAAACAGTCTAATTACCTGAAATCGAACCGTGTTATATCAGTGCGTCAAGGCAGATTGTTTACCTTCCGTGTGGCGTTAAGGACAGTCTAATACATAAATCAACACGTCGCCTTTAAAGTCCGGATTCGTATCTGAATAGTGAGTTCGAGAATAGTGATATAAAATTGTGTTTCAATAGAGTTATCCAGGCCAAAGAACACATATCCTTACATAATTACCTGATATCAAATCGTGTTATACCAGTGCGTAAGACAGATTATTAAAACTTCCGTGTGTCATAAGGTCATTCTAATACATAAATCGACAGGTCGCCTTTAAAGTCCGGATTCGTATCTGAATAGTGAGCCAGTGTGTATATACAGCGGTCTACAAACATGAACAAAGTATACTTACGTCTGATATATATATTGATAAAACACGCTTAAATCCTTATCGACGCGTCCTTTACAAATCATAGTAGATTATGGTATTGATATTGGATTTTTTGTTTATATCTAGTCAGTGAGTAACAGCGTTATCTTAAAATAATTATAGATTTATTTCGAATAATTTTCGGATTTTATTGTGAATTATAATATGCGAATAATATTTTAGTTAGGTTTTTGTTTCAATCAAGTATGGCATTCGCATATAGTCATTGTTTAATATATTTTTCAGTTGAAATAAAGATTACTCACTGCGTTTAACGTAATATTTAAGACGTCTTTTATTAATTTTCTGCTTCATTGGTACATGTATTGGTGAAACAAATGAAAAAAATCCTTATATGTGTTGTTGTTGAAGGACTGGACTTGACGAACACTGTTTTACAGTGCATATCACGAACCCAGGTATGTCATTTATTGTAAATCTACATTCATATTAAATGTTCTACATATTTCCGTGCTTGTACATCACAATTACAGAGAAGAAAAATTACTTACGTTATTTTCCATGTGTCACAGATTGATAAAAACAATTTATCTAATAGGACAATATTTATTCATCACAAACCATTTCATTAACCTAATTGTATATCATTTAACATTATTTATGTATCGCAAACATCTAACATAGGTTATGTATACTCTGTAAAGAATGTGTCATTGATAAATATCTGTAAAGTGTAAATGGATAACTTGTAGGTTCAACGCCAGTCGTCAGTACAGTAAGTACACATGTAACAATTCTATATTCATTTAGGATTTTCTTTAGTCTTGTGTCTGAAATACATTAAAGAGATGCATTGGTTTGAATTTGGGACATCGCTATACAATGATATCTATATGATTTTACTTTATATAACTGAGATGTCAGAAACACCGATGATGATGTTTTATACCTGCTTGTTATTCACTAATTAATTTGACAAAATAGTACATGTTACATGAATAAAATTTATACAACAATATACCGCGTTTCTTTCGTTAGATGCCGTGATTGAATTTTTTTTCAAACAAAAATAAAATCAAACATCCATTTAAATACACACACAAAAAACCCCATATAAAATGGCGATGTGTATAATATGATTTTTTTGTAATATGTTAAAATTATAACGATGCATTTAAATATTTTTACTTTCACAGAGTAACCCACATTTCAAAATACCGACACTTCCAGATGGATCGACGGTATCATGTGATATCAACAAAGCCTGTCACATGATCTTACATCAAACACCTGACCCTGTAGCGGGATGGTAAAACATAACCTACCTTATATATTCATGTGTATAGAAATCTTATTTTTCGTCGAAGCAACGATTTTTAAGTTTCCCAATAATAAACAATAGAAATCAAACAGCATGTTGATTTATGATTGCACAAACCAGATTGCTTGCGATTTTCTTCACTAATGGACCAGTTTCTATTAATGTTATTAAATGTATTTTGTCGTTAATAACGTGAAAATTGGCTTACTACTTACACCGTTTTTTGAGGACGCTTTAAAAAAATCTGCCGTAAAGAGTCCAATCTTACTTATGAGACACAAATTGTAAACGATATGGAAATACCATTTGACAATAAGAAATCTTAACACTGTAAATTAAGTCCATGTAGCAAGCAGTTTTATATGTATATTCAGCGAAAATATAGCAGATGTTTCAATGTTTTTGATTGTTATGATATGCAATAATCATAAATCATTTTTGAAGAAATAATATTTCCAAATTTGTTTTTATAGTATAATTGAATGGCAATAACAAATCGACTTCAAATTGTCTGCATTGAAGACAAACTAATCACATTTTAACAGAATAAAAAAAGATAACCATATTTCAATGTTATTCAACAGCCCCTCTGTCACAGCCGATGCTATTCCTGGTGGTCTTCATGTTATGAGCCCTACTTTACCAACAAACGGAGAGTGTAGAACGGACGTTTCCTTCACTCCGAGTGGACAAGGGGATAGGCATATCTGTCTGACGGCTGCATTGCCAAGGTAAATATCAAACTCATTCACAGATATTTATCTAGTAATAAACAGGCAAGGGTCTGTGTTTTCAATATTTGCATTGTTTAATAAAAGTATACAAACTGTATAACGCTCTATAATACTTTAAAGAAAAGAAATCGACAGCGGTTTACATAGATTAGATCTAAAACAATAACATTTGGTAAGAAAAAACATGACAACAATGTTCAAAGTCATGCACAGTAAAAAAAAAAAAGGACATAGTAAAACATGAAAGGTTCATTTGTAAGTATGAAGCTTAATTAAAAGCAGTTGTAAATATACATTGTATAGGCTTTCAAGGACTTCTCAAATACACTTAACGATTCACATGTCCCGAGGAAAGTTGGATCTCTTCCATAACTCAGTGATATTACTGTAAGTGATAGTGCATGGTCATCTTGGTGATAATACTCAAGTGACTGATCAGCCGGATAAGTATTTATATTCAGTTTTGAATTGCATTGTTATCTATATTTATATTAATTGAAATAATACCAATTACAATAAATTATAAAGATAGTAATGTGCCTTCAGTATACCTTTATTACCACTTATATTCACCATTCGAATAATTATGCTTTTGTATTCTTTCAGCGCTACAGGTGAAAAGCGATGTTACAATCTACATGTTCCCGTAGGATCTCCAGGTACATTCAAAGGCGATCACCAATATATGTGAACATTGTCTATTTAGTGTCTACCTCGGTCGGCTTATATTGCTTTGTATAGATCACTTTCAACCATTCAGCTTAAAACATAGGGGAAAATGACGTTGATAAATACGTCTTGTTTTAATGACGTTCCTTAAAATGTACTTTTCACCTAAAGAAAATGCAAGGAGTTGGGTGAAATTTAGTCTACAAAATGATGTTTATTGAAAACGAAAATAGAAAAACAAGAAAGATTTTAAATGTTAATAACACAATACATTTCTAGTCATCTTTTTGACCATACCGATTTGTCAATATTTTTGTTGTTGTTGTTTTAGTTTTCCTTTTATAATTATAGCAGCAACGCCCTGTGAGAGTCAGAACTGCCAACATGGTGGACTATGTACAGGTGATCCGTCAGGTAGTACCGCCACGTGTTCCTGTGCCGCCGGGTACTCTGGGACGGACTGTAGTACAGGTAAGTTATGCGGCCCACAATGTGAATAAAGCTTTACAATATAGCTATAGTACATTACTTGGTTTGAGGTTATCAATATTAAGCATTTGAGGGTAATGATTATTAGATATTATAGCGTTTAAACATTGGATGAAAGTGTCAATTAATAACAAAGCATTATTTGTAGTTGTATTTAAAAGTGTGTATGTTTTCTATTTCAATCAGTGATCAAAGATACAAATTAAAACTTTTTCAGAAAATATTGAATTATAAAGTATTCTTCAAGCTCTGCTTGTGTTAGATAGATTACGGAGGAAATATCTAATTAATCATGACTCTCCCATATAGCGCAGTTTTTTTCTTTCTAATTTTCCAAGCTGTTAATACTTCAACAGAGAAATACCAATGCAGTGATATTCCTAATGTTGCTAGTGTGGGATTCTTCACATACCTTGCAAAAAATCGAATACTAAAAATCCAGTTAATAATCCCATTTATTTTTTTATTGAAGTTGGAGCTCATAATGTCGGCGATACGGCTGGAAATTCGATACAACCGGTAAATACGTAAATTTCTTTTAATAATTAATTATTATTGATTCGCCAAACTAAGATTCGTCATCGATAGGTTTACGTTTCCTTTATATCCCGCAGAGTTAGTTCTTGATTCATGGTAATATTAATTTTCTTATCTTACAAATCAATAAATACATAAGTATCAAAATATCCAAACATGGGATTTGCAGATTGAGAATAATCTTTTGGCTCTGGAAATGACAGTTGATCAAATTAGAATCGAAGAGGGTCACGGGACCTAACGTATCTTCACGTAGGCCTATATTACGGTTTTTGATCGTTATTACGAAACATTGTATCCCCTGTACTGTAAATCTCAAATCTTGTCCCCACTTTCTACTGCTGAATTCGACTTTTTACATTCAACGGTACTCTTGAACTATTTATTTCACAGTTTTCGCCAATTTTGATTTTAACGATGACAAAATATGAAAATAAATCAAACATTTCCCGTTTTACAGTAGTATGTATATACAATTCAAATCCCCTTTCAGAACGCCCCCCTCACCTCACTCTTATGGTTACTGACACTGCAATGCCCAAAACCTTTTCTTGTTTTGTATATATATCACACTGATTACCATTTCAGAGTGCTGGCTCCCCTCCTGTAGTTACCGACACCGTTGTGCCCGATACCATATCATGTGTTGTCAACACCGTCTGTCATGTACCTCTCCTAGTAACAGGAGATCCAAACAACCCGTAGGTTTAAATCAACATGGAAAATATATTTAAGGATGTAGTCTTCTGTGATGAAAACATTTTTATATAAAACTATTTTTCTTGGGGTTTTTTTAGGGAAAAGGAGTTACTGGCAAAATAGAAAATGCAATGGGTACTATGCAAAACAAATTATAACAATAGTGTGTTAACAGAAATCTACAAATGTTAGCGAAATTGATAAAAAAAACCCCACAGTTTTTACTTTTAAATCATGGAATTGAAACTTCTTTAATTTTTTCTCAAGAAAACAATTTAACTTTCCCTTACCCCTTATTTTTTAATATTTGATTAAAAATACTTATTTTTCTACCCTTTTCCATATTTAACGAATGAAATAAAACGTTCTACAATTAACCTTTTTGTATTATTTAATTGTTTAAAATCAAGTGTGTTTCTCTTCCTAAGGCAGGGGAAACAAATGGTCGGGAAGTTCTGTTTTAACCACATTACTTTTTGTGTTATTTTTCACTTTTAAAGGATAAAAATTGAAAAAGAGCTTCAGTAAATAAGTATTGAAATATGTTGTACACTTTTCCGCTTTATTGCATATTATTTTAATAATTGTAACATTTGAAACTTTAAAATCAACTTGCTACAGTGGAAAAGGTCTATGCAATGCTACTGCTATTGATAAATCTAACTTTCAGAATCGCAGTTTCCAGATATTCAAATGGTTGCCAGTCTGTTCGTTTTTTAAACATGTGATAAAACATCTGCAAGCAATAGGCATCTAGTTTTTTGACATATCTTAAGATGCAAGTTTGCTTTTAAAATTGATAATAATTTGTAAACGTTCATGAAATCCGTAAACCTAGATCAAAACGAAATTTGACCCTATTTGAAATGTCAGAAATGTACAAAAATCCTTCAGGTTTTGATAAGTTGAAAATTATTTACTTCTGAGGTTTCATTTTAATGTGTATTTATGTAGAAATCTATATAGGATATATAAACATATATATATATTCTATGGGAATACTGCCTGCCTAATAACAGCTTTATCCTATTTATTATGGGCTATTTCATCGTGGTTAGTGCAATTCAATTAGAATTACAAATGTAAAAAACAAATATCTTGTACTGTTTTATCGCGTAGAAATACAATCGTCGTATGTTTGTTAACATTATTGATAATGCATGTTGATAATATAATATCTCTATATAAAAAAGAATGTTTATTTCGCAGACCCACTCTTACCCCAGTCTGGAATGACCCAGGAACACAGATTGGAAAGGTGTCAGTTCCCCAGCCTCCACACCAGCTTCCAGGAAGTCCACCAGGAACCTACAAAGGTGACGTCACAGTGACAAGTACGACAGTGGGAAGCCATACTTCATGTGTTCAAACTGCTGCCGTGACAGGGTCAGTCAGTACATTCTGTTCATTTATGATAAACAATTTCTTAAAACAATAACAATACAGATATATTGCAAAATTGGTCCGATAAGGCTGAAATCACAAGCCAATAATATCTAAACAATCAACGAAATTGTTTATATTTTATTTCTGTCTCTTTCTTACATATTTTGGATTCCATGTAAACAACAAAATCATGAACACTCCTTTTTAATGATTAACCATTGATTTTTTTATTGATTTTTTCTTAGAAACACTGCACAGACTGTGTGTTTTAATGTGAACGTGATTGGTTCGCTTCCACCTGGAAGCACTGCAACGTCTTCTGGACAACAGGTATAGTTACACGTACTTGTCACTATAATAGTACATATATTATAAAAGTGAAGGAAGTGTTTTGTGTTCACAATTTAGTAAACAATTCGTTATTTGTTACTGCGAGTCACATCTAGGCTGGTTGTTCTGTTATACATGTATTTCGTTTAACAATTTGAAAACAGTTAATTTTATAAAAGCGATAAACTGATAGTGTTTTGTTTTATTCGTCTTCGGGTTTTTAGGTTTTGTTTTTATATAAATGCGTGTGTTCATGCTGTCTTTGCCTTTTTTATGCTTCGTCGCTTCGCATTGTTTGTCTTTTCGTAATTATTTATGTTTCGAACTCTCATTTTATTTGTACTGTGATTTTTTCTTCAAGATTGTAGAACCCACTCTTCCCGATGGGTCGGTGGTCAAATGCTCAAAAGGCAAATCCTGTCATATCCTCATCCATACTGCTCCTAAAGGATCACAGTGGTACGTAACACTACTGTTGTCATATCCTCAACCTCACTGCTCCTAAAGGATCACAGTGGTACGTAACACTACTGTTGTCCTATCCTCATCCATACTGCTCCTAAAGGATCACAGTGGTACGTAACGCTACTGTTGTCCTATCCTCATCCACACTGCTCCTAAAGGATCACAGTAGTACGTAACACTACTGTTGTCCTATCCTAAACCACACTGCTCCTAAATGATCACAGTGGTACGTAACACTACTGTTGTCATATCCTCATCCACACTGCTCCTAAAGGATCACAGTAGCGTACGGTGGCCTTGGGTGATATTTCTGTACAATGAATAACCCCTGTAATATTACATGTATCAAAAGTTTAAAAAAAAAATCAGCTCTGAAATTGGCATAATCATGATGAATTGGACTATGTGGGCTTCACATTTAAAAAAAAGTCGAATTTGACTTGAGACCACATTTTTGGCATTTACGAATCTGTGTCAACACAACAAAAGCTAGCTTTTCATGTAGTCTATTTTTGTACTCAGCACATGTGTAAATATTGTGAAAAATCCAGTTTGACGACCTATGTTAAAACGTGGGTGTCTGTGACCGAGTAGGTGATATTTAATTTAAGACATGTTTTTAGAAACAAATTTCTACTTGCGTGGGTCAAATTTTGGGTTAGAAATCATGTTTTTTGCATTGTTTGGCGTTTTTTGATGTGGTAACCATAGTTTTCACAAGTCCCAAATCTGGGGAAATCACTTTTTGAAAAAATATTCATTCTTCTAAAAAACCGTATTCAAATGTAGGTGTGTTGTGCAGGATGAATCCACTATCCATGATTATCCGAGACATGCCCTTTATTTTTAGGGTCAAGCCATTTCTTCTGTACTCTGTTACCTGAGTGCGATACGAAACAAATTATGGTACAGTTCCATAGTTCACATACGTGGATGATGGTGGGCTGGTGGGCTATTCTTATCGCCCTGCGTCCCCGGTCCGTGGTCCGTGGTCCGTCCTTAAACAGTTCTTCTCAGGAAGAGCCAAAGGGATCTTTTCAAAGTTTATATGTAGTCTTCCCTTGGTCCCTAGTTGTGCAAATTTACTTTTGAGAATGATCAGATAAACGAAATGGCCGACAGGCAGCCATCTTGTATTTTTAAAGTGAAAGTTTGTTATCGCTATTTCTCAATAAGGACTGGGGAGATCTTTCTCAAATTTAAAATATATGTTCCCCTTGGTATGTAGTTGTGCATGTTTTCTTATGAGACTGATCGGATAAACAAATCTTTGAAAAGATTTGTACACTTGAGGTTTGTTAGTGCTAATTCCCAGGAATTACTTGAGGGTTCGTTCTCACATTTATATATGCAGGTTCCCCACTGTTCTTTTTTGTCCATGTTTACTATTGAAACTGATCAGATAAACATAATGGCCACCACTCTGCCATTTTCGATTTTTGACATTGAAGGTTTGTTAGTACTACTTCTCAGGAATTACTTAAGGGATCTTTCTCAAATCTGATATGTAGGTTCCCCTTGATCCCTCGTTGTGCATGTGATATATTGTGTCTGATCATTTAAACAACATGGCCGAAAAAGAACTTAACAGATTTTTCTCATATTCAGTAATCGGTTCTATTTCTTTCACATTAAGTACTGTACTAGTAAATATGTGATATGATAAACTCACTTTGAAGGTTGTCATGTATACACATCAGAATTAAGTTTAGATCAAAAGTTACCTCAAGTTGCATTTACTGTTAACATGACAAGATCAAACAGATTAAAGAAAAGAAGAGAAAAGATCGAACTGACAAAGAACTAATGAAGATGGTACAATGGTGGGCGCCAAGATCCCTCTGGGATCTCTTGTTTGTTTTTGTTTTTAAATTTGTAACTTTGAACTTAAGTGAATATAAAATATGCCATACAATAATTAAGAGGACAATTTTTGACTTTAACTAAGCTTGATTGTATTTGCTTGCCATAGCGATCCCAGAGTCGCCGAGAAACGAAAAATTTCTGGTGGTATCAATGTGTTCGCCCCAGTAAAGGACACTGACGGGACGTGTGTAACGGACATCAGACTCCCATCAGACACTGTAGGCAATCAACATATTTGCTTCCAAGTAGCACCAAACACTATTGGGTAAGGGAGAACGCAATGTAATTATCTTACTGAAAACAACATCGTCCTAACAAAGTAGAATCTACTCCTATACCATGTATATTTACTATCAATTCAAAAATTGAAGTATCATTTAAACATCAAGAGGAAATACTGATTACGTTACTGTATCTAAGTTCTCTTTAACAGAATAACTCGGCAAAAGACTGTATGGTTTGAGCCTTTGGATATAATTTATTTTCAAATCAATAATTCATCTAAGTTTTAACTGGCCAGTGGTTTGAAATGTTGTTCAAGATTTGGATTTGACGGATTCGATTGCTTCAAAAGGCTAAAACCATTATAGTCCCTAATTATGACTGTAATATTAATATTTTGATGTTTTTTATGATTCATTTCTAGGGGAAATACGGAGTCTCGTTGCTACGATTTACATATCGGTAAGTCTCGTGTTTATCATATTCAATTTAAATTTCAATTGATCAATCTTGGAAAAAATATAGGAATTGTGTGTCGAAATAATTGTTTTAGTAATTCAGTAATCAGAGATATATAAAACTCTTAATTCTCAAGATTGCAAACCGGCTTTCGAAGCAAGAGAATGGAAGATTAAATAGAAAGAAAAGGGTGTGAATATTGACACCTGAGTTTTGGAACAAGCAATTGTGTCGTGAAATTGAATAAAAATATGTTCTTTATAATGTTTGATCAACTTCAATTTCAGGACAGGACCCGTGTATCACATTGCCATGTCCAACAACAGGAACATGTATTCCAGGATCAGGTTTTCCAAAATGCCAGTGTAAACCAGGATATATAGGTCTAACATGTAACACACGTAAGTGTATGGAAAACACTGAGGTATCTGTCAATATTTCACAATAATTGCAGGTAAATGAAGATCATTAAGAAACATGGAGGACATCTTCCATTAGTGATCGGAAAGAATAATCACTAGAAATACGAAGAAATGAAAGTTTGTTTTTAGCTGCAGATCCCTTCACTCACCACCAATAAAAAATAAGAAAAAAATAAACACACAAAGTAAAGATTTTATTGCGCCGTATTGCCATTTCGTCCTTAAAAGACTCATCAAGGTTAAAAATCTGATAAAAAAAACATGTTAAAAGTGTTCCGATCATGAAGAAAACTGCGAGATGTATAGAACCCTTTGCTACAACAGACAATATATACCAAAAATACGATTTCATGTTAACTCTGCCAAAATAAATTCGAGCTACAAGGCCAACCTCAGAGAATATATATATATCTGATAAACCACAAGCAGAGCCAACCACCGTGTTACGTTGAATAATCACTACAAAGCCGAAATAAGATGTGTTCTTATTTTTTCCTGTAATGCATATAATAACACAGTCGTAGCACCTAAAACAGATTGCCCTTTCTATGACACACTTTTTCATGTGTTAAGATAAAAATACAAAACGCTTATCCCGATTTTCACTCAATAGATGATCTGTGTGCATCAAAAACATGTAACAACGGTGGTGTCTGCATTATACGAGACAGCAGTGCCTTCTGTCTGTGTCCCCCGGGTAAACAAGGGAGTGACTGTGCTGTTGGTAAGTAAGTTTTTCTTACTACATACAAAATGTGACATGACAGTTTTTCCTTGTTTGTATTATTGCTTTAAACGTATAGACTTATTCTTTCATGATACAAATATTCTGAAAGCACAACATTTCTCCTCAAGTTCTTCTTTGCTTGTTAAATTGCTTAGTATCATGAAATTACCACCGTAATAAAAGCAGGAATTGTATCATCTGATGTTAAACCTATTATATTGATTTCTTTAATGTTGAATACAACTAGAAAGTTTTAGATAGATCTATTCACTTAAGATTTCGAAATCGATATGTCTGTAGCTTTCTTTTTTAATGTTCATTGTCTTGTTGATTAATGATTCAATATTCCAAAACAATAGGGAAAAGGGAACACACGTGCAAAAAAAAAGTATAGATATGTATATGGAATCCACTTTTATTAAGTTTCTCAAAACTAACAATTGTTTCAGATGCCTCTACTCCTATACCGGGATCACCTTCCGGAACAAACGTAAGCGTTCTACCTTACCAACCGTTAATAAAGCAAATAATAGGAAATGTATGGCAAGCCAACTTAACATTTATTCAAGGAGCAATGTCGATCCTGTATTTCAAAAAAAAAGCATATGAGATATCTTATATACTATATAAGATATCTTATATCATATATAAGAAAAACGAAACAAAATGTCGAAAATGAAGTCTCCCCGTCCGGAATATCTCGAGGATCTACATAGGGACAGTAGGCTTGTTGTAACAACACGTGTTCCTTTCGCCGCCATTATGTCTGAGCCCACTTCAAGAGTGCGGGAAATGGCAGCCTCTGCTTTGGCGCTATAAGAGAGACAAGGCGAGCTCAATGCAATCCTGATTGTGCTCCGAATGATTCTCGAGGGAGAAATTAGTTTCTGGTTTTTAATGCCACGAAATCTCATTCTATATCAGATATCTTATATAGCAACGAGATTTCAATTATATAAGATATCTTATATAATATAAGAGATATCTGATATATATGAGATATCTTATATAGAAAATTAAATGAGATATCGTATATGCGATATAAGATATCTTATATAGTATATATGATATCTTATATACTTATATAAGATACCTCATTTAATTTCTATATGAGATATCTCATATAGTATATAAGATATCTCATATAGTATATAAGATATCTTATATCGTATATAAGATATCTTATATCTTACAACAAGTGTTTTTTTGAAATACAGGATCGGCATTGCTCCTTGAATAAATGTTAAGTTGGCTTGCCATAGAAATGACTTCGATATCGCTTGTTCGTCGTCATTTGAAATATTTGTATAGACAGGAAACAATACGCTATGTAAATAACTATTTGCAATTTTTTGAATTCTTTGTTGATGGCGTAATAACTGATAACATTCTACATTGTAATATATATAACAGTGTATCTGTATTAATGGAAAAAACCCAGTAAAATTAATATGATAAAAAAAAAAATCATGTATCTGAACAGAAAATGTATAAAGGGGCTTACTCTTGAAGTCTAGAATTATATCTTTTGCCGAGTATGATATAATTTTGGCGTATCGACATTAACATAATACAAATTATATCTAAACTCAACTCAGAAAGACCAGAGCATGACATATCTTGCGATCATACCATTATGTTCAATATATTGAATACAGTGCATTTAAATAGGCAATACAACCATATACTTGAGAATGTTGCTTGTCTTAAATGCTAAGATATACCATGCTATGTAATAGGAGAACACATTGTTTCCAATAGATAAATAGTGCATGTTAGTAAACATATTGGTCATCTACACGTAACTAAGAGCTGTACGATTAATGTTACGCCGTGTTTCTTTATAAGACTGACCCCAGATTCGTCGATACAGTGCTACCAAAGAGAATATCATGCACGGTTGGTGAAGAATGTAAGATTCAAGTACCCGTGGCAGGATCATCGGTGACATCGTATGTATTCAGTTAAATTATGGATTAAAATTCAGTGTTTCTTGTTGCTTTTATAAAGTAGATGTTCAATGGGATTTTTCTAAAACAATCAAATAATAAGCCTATCATCGTATATAAAGTACAATTTTGTCTCACTTTCGAAACTGTAGAAGTAATGTTCAGTTTGGACATCTGGACAATGGAGTGACTCCTGGATCCGCCACTGTTGACCCGTCTGTAGTTTCCACTGACCAACACCTAGCCACATTTCCATTCACACCGACTAGTGCTGGGGATAAACGTGTTTGTCTGCAGACAAAAGAAACATTACAGTAAGTTATTAATCTACACGTTTTCACATATATATAATATTTATAACTATATTATATTTACTTCTTCAATTGGTTTTTAAAATGTCTTAAACAACACAGTTTATCGCTAAGCTACACATAATTAAAATGTACCTGTATATTACTTTATCTACACTTATAATCTCTGCTGCATCATTTATTTGCTGTTGATGTTGTTATTTGGAGTGTTTTCTTTGTTAAGGCATCTGTATATTAAATTCCCGTTGTGAAATAGAACGCTAATTATGTTGTGATGTAAGGTAGTTACATAACAATATATTGTATAAATTCAATAGAAATGTGGACGAGATGTGCTTTATCGTGGATGCCAAATCGCCGCCTGCTGGTGAGTAGATTTAGACATAGTATTATTTTCATTCATTGTGAAAATAACTGACGAACAATGTACCTACCTTAAATGTAAACTGGAAAAATAGGTTATCACTAGGAAACATCGATCGACAATGTGTATTGTGTGTTTTGGTCTCATATCTGGTATATTTGTCTCTTGTGAAGTCGTTTTGCAGACTTTCAAAGTAGTTAAAAAACGTCTAAGCTGTTACGAAAATCAATATATAGCTAAATTCAAACCGATGAGTTCCGGAAAAAAGCAGCAAAACAGTCTTTGTTTCATGAATCTTTATTTACTGTACATTTAAAAAATAAAAAGACATCATGTTTATTTGATCATATATGTATACTTGTATATTTTAGGGATAACGACACATCCTGATATTACAAAGGTAATTATAGCTGTACAATGTGTTTCGTGAGGATCATACGATTTAACTTTGAATAACATGTATTTAACGAAAACAAACATAGCAATTAGGGTGTACATTTGTTATACCGCAGCCTGAAAAATGATATAAAAAGAATCAATGCTTGTATATTTTTACATCAAGAAATTGAAATTATACACTAATTCAGAAACAAATAAAAGTGTTTTTCCGTATTATTTCACAGCCGCAATTTTCATCTCCATCGCTACCGGACAATTCTGTTGTGGAATGTAAGGCTGGTGCTACATGTCATATTCACCTTTCGACAAATCCTGGAGGTTCAGGAAACAACTGGTAAATATTCGGCAGGATTCATAACATCTCATTCTGTGCAAGTTATAGTGTTTGCGCATTCTGTTGTTTTATATTGTATCGTCTGCAAGCAAGATTTTTCAAGTTTATTAGTTTAAACTGTATTTATTTCTGGTAATATACAATACATTATATTTTTGATATATATAATCAACAACGAATCGGAAACAAGTACTAGGTACCTATACAATGTCCGTTTCGTTAGGTTAGATATACGATACTGACAGCAGATATAGTAATCATTAAATCATATTGAAATAATTAAGTTCTAATGCACATACTTAAAATAATTTCGTAGAATGGCAGAAATATAAAGTATATTAGTTCATTTAATGTGGTTGTACAAGGTATGACCAAACTCTTCACATTTTACTGATATAATATTCAAACAATTTGTCATTTTAGATTGAGAAACGATCATTCATTTCATTTTATCGAGAAATGTTGTGTTCCACCAAGACATGATGCAAATTTAAATGGAAAAAACAACAGGTCAACTTCGACCGCTACTGTGTATGTGCTTACTACATAGCATTTCTGATTAAATTATATGCCCCGTTTAAGCATAGGCACGATGCGCAACTATTTTTATAACTACAACGGGACACGTGTAATGGAGACACCGGTTTAGAGAGTTCTGTACCTTTCAGTGTGGAGTTAAAAAAAAAGGGCATAAACAGTAGCTTTTCCAGATTGCAACAAATGACTGCATACTTTGTGGTGTTTAATCAATTTATCGTATCATTGTAGTCCTGATATAGTGCAAACCGTCAACGGACAGATGCATAATGTCCACGTATTCAAGACAACCCAAGCTGTCAGTGTAACAAACCCTGTATGTCAATCTACTGTAACCCTTGCGCCAACCAATAGTCAGATAGGAGACCAACATATCTGTTTGAAACCAACAACAAGCAGGTACAAACACTTTTTTGTCTTTCCCATTATATTTCAGTGTCTTTGATATCGGTGTATTGAGTCCTGAATTCGTGGTATGTTAATTTTGTGCTGTCACTATTATATTATGTTCATCGATATTTATAGACACATCTCTGTTGTATATCACATTTGTTTCTGTCTTACATTAAAAACTGAAATATTCATGCATAAATAAAAGTATAGAGAGGAATAATTATTGCCAAAATAACACTTCTAAAAAATAACACTGAAACGTGTTTATTGAATAAGATCAATTCATTTTCAGTAAACAAGGCAAAAGCAAATGTTTTACTATCAAGGTGACAGACCCAAACAATGGTGCATCAACAGGTAAGTGATGTCGTTATATGTGACACATATTTATAAACTACAAAAGTAAGATTCCATAAACAGTAATCGGACCTGTCAAATACCCAAGGAATTCTGGTTTGAAATTACTATTAACTTTTCATATTACGCAAAAAAACAACAAAAAACCCCCAAAAAACATGACATTACTTTAGAACACATGTGAACAAATTAGAATAAAAGTAAGTTACACGTTTGAAATAATGTTTTATTTCACTTGATTACCCGTCTTCATCACTTTATACGTTTTGAATATTAGGGGGGCCATGTCAGTCTACCCATTGTCATAACGGAGGAACATGCGAGATTGACTTCACAAGATCCACGCCTACAGCAAAATGTGTTTGTACGGCTGGCTTCCAAGGGCCGACCTGTGATGCTGGTATGATGTCGATTTCTCATATACACACTTACAATCATATCCTTATCGCTCCCATTTGTTATTACCACAATCTTCATTATCAATAAAATCGTTTTTTTTAACAGGAATTGCCTGCGGTAGCACGAACTGTCAAAATGGTGGAGTATGTGTCGTACAAAATAGCCAACCTGTTTGTGTGTGTCCTCCAGGAAAAATCGGAACACTATGCGCCAATGGTATTATTGTTATACAATTAATGGATGTCTGTAACATTTAATTATCAGATTCGCGTAATTATTTTATGAAGCTTTTTTATTATTTTTATAAAAAATGTTAAAATGAGCTTAAATGTTTGTTTACCATTGCAGACGGATCAACCCCTATTGCGGGATCCCCTTCGGTACCCTCGGTATGTGTAATACTTGCCAAATTACCTTATTAATTATTTCCTGAATTCTTCCATAATGTGTAGTGTCTGGTGTCATAATATGTAGTTTCTGGTGTCATAATGTGTTGTGTCTGGTGTCAAATTAAATATTCTTTAACCAACAACTCTCATGTTCGAAGATACAGATTTACTGACGTCGGTCACATCTTGTGTTGTGAATTAACCATACATTTGGTTATTTAGTTTGTTTATTTATTTATTTACAGGGGGTCCCCATTTTTGTTGATACAGCGTTACTGAAATCAATCACTTGTGTTATCAATCAACCGTGTGCTATACCGCTTCCTGTTACAGGTTCTGCCATCACACCGTAAGTACGGGTACATTATCAAGGTCTCGAACTACTTTATAGTATGTGATTTAGACAATTAGCAATCTTTCTTTATTCGACTAATGAAGAAAATAAACTGTTAAAACTATTTCTGTAATCGGATATATCTTTTTCATTATTCTGTATTTCTACAAGAAATACAAATTGATTGGAGCTTTAGCATTCAAAGAAACACTTTTATCCGTCTGACGAAAGAGACGTTGCTCATTTTGAGTTAAACTGATTTCAATGATATACCTGATATTACGAACATTTTAAACGTTTGATAACCTTCATCTTCTGTCATATATTTTGGTAGTTATATAAAAATAATAAAGTATAATCTGAAAGGTAATCAAACATAGCGTGTATATCTATAGCTATTCAAAGTTGATTTTTATCCGATTTTAACAACATTGACTAAGCAGACGACAACTGATGAAATTATCATTATTAGATTTAAATGTCATATTTCAGTGTGTCTAAATTTTGCTTGTCAACTGTCTGTTCAATACAGATTTTTTTTTGTCACAGATCTGATTTGCAGTTTGGTCAAGTTGACACTGGTATCTCAACGGGACCAATATCTGTTGGCCAGACACTCGGTAATCAAAACATGGCAAGCTTCGTGGTCACTCCGACAATGTCAGGAAAAAAACATGTCTGCATGCAAACAAAGACGACAACATCGTAAGTACAGCACAATCGCAACAAAATCTAATCACCGTTTCTAATACTTTATACCTCGTATTGAAAGGATGATCATATTTGTAAATATTCGAATTAAAAATATATAGATATAAATGCAGGTGGTGTCTTTGACCTCAATTTTGTTATCAATTTGTTGGTGACAACCTACTAAAAACATCGCTACTATTTATCAATCTTAGTTCAAGCCATCGAAAATGCTTAAAAAATCCTGTTAAAATATGTAGGTGGCGACTATTGGTGAATGGCCTAAATAATATTTAGTGCAATATTTTTCCTTTTTTCTATTTATTATTTTTATCAAAAAAAAAAAAGAACAACAACAACAACAACAATGATGAATGGCTCGGTGCCAAGCACCATATATACGATATAGAGCAAAAAAAAATTATATATACATATAATAATAAATTCAACAACCACATGCATTCTAACTACTCACAAACTAACAAAAAAAAGGAATGCTAATGAATTATAATAATTGTAATAATAAGACAAAGTGAAGAGCCAAACCTGAGTACAAAAAACAAAAACAAAAACAAAAATGTTTTAAGTTTAAACAAATTTATTTCAGGTTGTAAAACCAAAAGAAATTAAATTTTAAGAACATTTTACAAAATAAAGTTCAAGAAAAGTATGAGAGACATCGTTTGTATTGAAAGACAAAATGTATGAGAGACATCATCTGTATTGTGAAAAGTTGTAGAAAATTATTTAAGCTGTACGTCTAAATGAAAAGAAAAGTATGAGAGACAACATCTGTACCATGTACTCTAGTGCTTCTTAACAGTTTGTTCTGAAAACATGTATAGAACATGTGGTGATCATATAAACTTGTTAGTACAATGTTGTAATTCATCTTAAGGTTGTTCTTAAACGGTTACAAATTTCACTTATGTTTCATTGATGTTTAATCTATTTATTGAAGTTTTGTATTCATTTTTTCTCAATATGAATGTTAATAATAAAATTATAATTAAACAAAAAAACAACAAAAAAAACCCATTTTTTTTTAATGCAATAACGCCACTATAATCCTGATATCTTACCTGAGTTAAAACTGTCAATTTTTTTTTCTCTATCTTTTCTTTCCTTTTTTATATTAACATATTTGTGACGAAACTTGTTGTTATATAGTGTCAGTAAAGTTATATGACAGGATAAAATGTGCCGGGGACTTGTCTGGTACACCGTACCTATGTGTTATACGTATATTTGTAGTATGAATTTTGCGTTAAGCACACGCACGGTAATCGATAATTAGCTACCTCAAAATTGTTTAGTCCTAATCAATCAAACAATCGTTGGATGCTTTAAATTACACACATAAAAACATACTCTTCAACATTGTAACAACGTATATACATTGTAGAAATGTAGATGAGGTGTGCGTGGAAGTGAATGCTGTATCGCCTCCCTCGTTGGGTAAGTCTGATAAGTTGATTCCATGTAAACATATTTAAGACATAAATATTATCTTGTATCGTTTTTGGGTAACCTATGTTTATCATAATATGGTGTTGTGTACATTCAAATATCTTTGTCAATGTTTTTATTTCAATTTGTTAATGTTATTTTATAAATGAAATTTGGAAGAAAATTAGATTATTACTGGCGCTAGGTAAAAACAAAAAAACGTCCTTGATCCAACACATCACTGCACAAACTATCTCTGTCTTTATCTATAATATAGGTAGTCTTCCGCCGGGCCCAAGTTCCAGTAAGGTATGTACTATAAAATTAACAGTCTATAGCCTACATTATTATTCACTGATATATTTAACTCTTTTATATTCAGGAATAAACTTGCTGCTCGAATGTTTTTCATGATTTCTATTTTCTTGATTTATTTGATAGCCCCAGTTTACGTCGCCGTCTATACCGGACAATTCTATTGTTGAATGCAAAGCCGGATCTACGTGTTACATCCACCTGAAAACAACCCCTGGGACCACTGTCAATACTTGGTAATTACAAATAGTCACGTAACCAAAGTATATTTTGTATATAGTGCTGTTACAAAAAGGAAATATTTCAGCGATACCGCTAAGTCATTGCATAAAGGTGAAAATACAATAAATGTATTACAAATTTCATTTGCGCTCCAGCAAAATTATATTCAAGAAAACAAAATGCTGTTTACCAAAGAGTGTCCCAATAGGTGCATTTTATTTCCTTTCTTGAACCTTTTACACCTTTTCTTTTTGCACGTCAATCATTAACTCATTTTCTAATGAGATACTTTTTTTGCAAGCGAATAACTGATTTCATACCTAACGTCTATCCTTTCGCCTACTAAATGACTGCAAAGAGGACTCTATCTTGTCGCCCTTCTATTAACTTATTTCCTTCTTAATGACTTTCTCTCGGCGTGTAAATAAATTATTCCTTTCTAACTTGGTAACTACATGTACTTAGTCTGGTATTCATTTGTTAAGGGAACGTTTTTAGACTTTGTGTATATATGTATTTGTTTGAAACAAATGAAAATATGGAAATACAAATCGATTGTTCGACGTCGCATTATTGCATTTTGAAGGCGACCGTAACACGTTAGATGTTAAAAATAATACACCAGTATTGATTTACAAGGTTTTTTTTCCAGTCCTGATGTCATTCAAACAAATGGGGTGAATCGCATGCAGAATCTCGTGGTGATTCCCTCCAGTAGTGGTGGCTCTTCATCGTCTACCTGTTCATCGACAGTCGCAATTAAACCTACAAATAGCCAGCACGGAAATCATCATGTGTGCTTGTCACCCACACAGCTAAGGTGTGTAGAAAGTCGATTACTTCATTCGGTTGGACATAAAAAACACCAGAGCTTTGAATTAACCAGAACAATAATTAAAATAAAAATGAATCTTTTCATGTTTCAGTGGTACGGGAATGAAAAAATGTATTTCTGTTCACGTCACAGACTCAACTGATTCGACAACAGGTAACTTATTTTAATAAACGTTCAATCATTCAATTAAACATGTGATTTACCTTTTATGGACTCATTGATGAAATAATTGAACATGTGTTGATGCAGATTTTCAAATTCAATTGAGATGAGTTGAGATGTTTCGAACAAAAGATAATTTTCATTGAAATGTGTCTGCAGAGCCGATGCCTTTTAATATTACCCAATGCTAGTAGCTAGAAATGCTTCTTATATGAAGACCACGCATATCAGAAAATTGAAAATTGATATTGCTAAAAGTGATATAGGATATTTTTCTTACAATATTTCAACACATTTGAAATATTTGATACCATTTAAAATTTATTGGCGACAAATATACATGTAATGACACTAACAAGTTATTGTTGGTTGGATGCCTGCATGATCGTTTATTGTCACAGAAATATATGATTTGTGCCTCACAGTTGCTATCAATTTGAGGTACTGATAAAAATTCATTGTATCTCCATGACAGGTGGACCTTGTCAGGCGTTTCACTGCCAAAACAGTGGTCATTGTGTCGCTGTTATGACTTCCTCCCCACCACAGGCTCACTGTAATTGTACAGGAACATTTACCGGACCAACATGCGTTGTATCAACTAACCCCGGTAACTGTTACATGTATACTTTTCCATTTAATGTTGACAGTAATAACTGTCTATGTAGTAACACCCCATGTTGAGTACTTATATACCTTGGTTGCAAAGCAACATTTGATTTGGTAATGTTGTATGGCACATTGTTCTCTCAAGTCAAACAACTTACTTCACAGTTCGTGCTGTAATATATGAGTCGTGTTGTAATATTTATGGATGGTTACAGTTACACAGCTTAAAAATCATTTTCGTGGTATGTGAACCACTTGACTGTGTAGTTGTACTCTTTATATATATTTATATATATATAGAAAAAACAACACATGTCATGTAATTGTGACGTCACGACGTTGTTCTTTTGAATAAACCTGAAGAGTCATGTGAAGGGTGAAAGCAGCTAGTTTTTTAGTCGGTCGTTAATCTTATTTTTTCTATATTTACTTCCTTCACATGGACATTTAATCCCTTTTATTATATATATATATATATATATATTATGGAGGCACGGTAGTCCAGTGGTAGGACGCCGGGCTCGTGACCGAATGGTTGCGGGTTCGCGCCACAGCAAGGCAATGTATTGTATCTTTGAGCAAGATACTTTACTCCGCTTGTTCCAGTCTACTCAGCTGCAAATGAGTACGTGGTTGGGCAGTGCTAGAATTGTTGAATGCCTGCTGTTAGCGCCGAAATGGCAGCTCCGGCTGTATGCTCCCCAGGGAGTTGAGAAATGTATTGGCTGGTTGCAAAGGCCCTGTAACCACGGATAATAATTTGTGAACCGCTTTGAGACGACCTACGAACTAGGTTGTGATAAAGCGGTATATAAGAACCTCCAATTATTATTATTATTATTATATATATACCTTTGTGGTTTCAGTAATTATACCTTTGTGGTTTCAGTAAATAATTATATTATATGATTATATGATTGCATCAATATATGATTTGATTTTATCATTATATTATTTGATATCATCATCATATTATTCGATTTTATCATTATATTATTTGATATCATCATTATATGATTTGATTTCACCAATATATGATTTGATTTAATCATTATATGATATGATTTTACCATTATATTATATGATTTCATCAATATATTATTTGATATCACCAATATATGATTTGGTTTCCTTTGTATTGTAAGCTTTCATCATTATATTATTTCATTTTACCATGATATGATTTGATGTTATCGTTATTTGATTTGGTTTCACCATTATATTATACGCTGTTGTCATTATATGATTTGGTTGTATAGTTATATTATTCGATTTCATCAATATTTGGTTGAACTTTATCGTTATATTATTTAGTTTCAACATCATAGCATATGCTTTCGTCATTATATGATTTAGTGTAATCGTTATATTATTCTATATTTTATCATTATACCATTCCGTCATCATGTTATGCAAAAACATCATGATATGATTGCAACATACCATTATATGATTGCACAACTTCATTATACTATTGTACAAATTCATTATACGTTGGATACGATTCTGACAAGCGTGTCCGCGAATCCGAAGTAAACGGAACTTTTAACCGGGGCCCCTTTCTGCCATGTTACTACGTTAATACCGCCATTTCTGACGAACGAATCGGTGCTAATGATGCAATTTGTAAGTATAGCTTTAATCTCAAATGTAAGGCAGCATATAGGCCTTATCTTTCCCAAGAAAATGGCCGTGTTTTATTTGTAAAAAAATACTGATTTAGTGAGTACTGAGTATGCTGAAATCTTTATTTATTTCTATATTTGGCCTATAGTATGCTGGGGTGAAGGGCTACCATGTTTGTTCCAATGAATGACTTTGACCTACGGGCATTTAGCATGCTGGGATGAAGGCTACCAACGTTTTCAAGGTCACAGGGGTCAAATAGTCTATAATCTTTAAATGATGACTTAAAAACCAAGAGACCCAGAGACCTGATATTGGACCAGTAGTATGCTGGGATGAAGGACTACAAAAAATATTTGAATGAATAATCAGCTTAGCATCCACATTAATGACCCAAATCAAATAACGATAACATCAAATTATATAATGATAAATTCAAATAACATAATGATGATAGCTTACAATACAATGGAAATCAAATCATATAATGATAAATTTAAATCATATACTGCTGATATCAAATAATGTATTGATGAAATCATATAATATAATGGTAAAATCATATGGTATACAATCAAAATCGTTACGGCGTCAACAAGCCGTGTTCAAAAAGAACACGCCCACAAACCTAACGGTTGTTTCAGCGTGTCACTCACTGCATCTGGCTCGTCGATTGGTCGATAAAACGTTTGAGGTCGGTGTCGTCCCTGATTTCAGAAGCAGTGAACAACATTGTATCTTTTTCGGAGACGTGTTGTTTGCGCGCATTGTCAACTTAAGATTACGCATACACGTATATAAAATGTAAAATTTACATTGCATGTACATGTTTCAAACCATGTGTCATGACTTGAATGTTTCGTTAAATGTATACCTATCCACATTTTCGTGAACTATACTGATATTTATGATAACAAGAAGGCAAAATGAAGAATATCACAAATGCTGGAAAGCTTTCCATACCAATTCTATACTATCAGTTCCAAAAATGTTTGTTCGTTTTTCATATATAGATGCAATGCACTTTTCATTTTTATCACAATTTGATATTTCGGGCGCGTGGTTCTATAAAAAGAACGCGAAATACCATCAGAGTTACGTAGGCCGTTGAACCGGCGTTACTGTACCCTTGAACGATAAATATCGGCAGAAAATATGCATAGTTGAAATATGTTAGAGTCAACGAGGGTTCTGATTAAAATTCTTCTCCAAACACTTATTAGTTTTGATAAAAAAGACGATAAAATGATATCCAAATAAATGGCGACGCACGGTACGTAAATCAGGAAATTAGCGATAATTAGCAGCCAATAAAGTTTTATACAGTTTAATTGTCATGAAAAGTATTCTAAAATAAAACTGTAAAAAGTACTTCTTTGCATTGAATGACAGTTTCTTGGGCCGATTATGCACTTACTTTTATTATAAAATAAAATGTCATCGTTTTCGTGCACATATATTTAAACAGGTATGTAAGTTATTTAATTGAACGAGTTGTCGAATCTTGCACCGTTCTGTACATGTATTACTTTTCAGTGCAGCGGCCGGTATAGACAGCTTTCAAGCATGTGTACTATTCTTCCTTTTGCCCTCTTGTTATCATAAATATCATTACAGTTCACGAAAATGTGGATAGGAACACATTTAATGAAACATTCAAGTCATGACACATGGTTTTAAACATGTACATGTAATGTAAATTTTACATTTCCATATACGTTTATGCGTTATCTCAAGTTGACAATGCGCACAAACAACAAGTTTCCGAAAAAGATACAATGTTGTACACTGCTTCTGAAGTCAAGGACGACACCGACTTCAAACGTTCTATCGACCAATCGACGAGCCAGATGCCGTATGTGTCAGCTATGGCGTCCCATATATTCAACTATACCTATATATATATTTTATAATGGTACAAATGGTAGACGTCATAATTATAAAATCTTAAATCGCTTTCATATATTTTCATAAACTTATTATTTTTCATTTAACCTGGCAAGTCCCTTTAAGATAGGATTAAATTCATACATCGCGTATTGAAAAACTAACTTTTTATATAAAATTTAAAACTTTATTTGAGCAGATATAAGATAGTGTTTTTACTTTATATTTGAATTATATCAATGATGTTAATATTTTTTTCAGTTTTAGCTGGTCCTTGTAATAGCAAGCACTGTCTCGGAGGTGGAGTTTGCATCGTCAAAAATGGTCTAGCAGCATGTCTGTGCCCTTCGGGGAAAATGGGCGATCTATGCGAACATGGTATCTGTTTATCGATGAGAAAGAAAATGTTACCGTACAATGCTTTAAGGATCCAAGTACCACTGCTAAAATTTGCAAGTTCGCATTGGGAGCTGATTTTTTTGTCGGCATGACTATAGCTTTGATAAATCATTTCTAAAAAGAAAAACACACCTGTGGTACTTTTATGAATAAACAAAATATTTCATCGGGGCTAGACTGGGATTCGAAACCTGGATTTCAAATTGTTATAAGTATCGTTTACCTGGTCAGCGGAAGTGTACTGGCCAAACTGTGTTACAGTAACATCTAAAATAAAATGTAGGGGAGTTTACAGTATGTACGAAAAACCACAGTACGGTGGGAAATGGATCCTTAAATCAGATGAAATAAATATTCATTTTTGCACGTCATACAAAGTACAACATACAAAATCATCTTAGAAACTTATCTATCATCATTATTGCTGTTATGTAGTGTAAAAAAACATATATGGACTCTTTTTTTATGTATACAAAATATGACGTCATGTGGTTCAAAACAATATAACGAATTTACGGAAGTGGTTGAAATGGCAGTGTATATATTTTTCTTTTGTGAAACGATTTGCATTGATGACGCTGAAACTAGTTTTATAACAGATCGTCCATATACATGTATAAATCTCTTAATGTATATTTGCTTTGCTTTCAGACGGATCAACAACAATACATGGATCTCCTACAGTGTCACCGGTATATTCTTTTAAATAGTGCATAAATATTACAACTGTAAACATTGTCGTGATAAGGATAAATCATTTCACAAGTTTTTCTTTCTATGATAATATCGTTTTCTATTTCAACTCATTATTACTTTAAAGATTTTATACTTATTATGTCATCTCATTTCCGATATGATCTTACTTAATGCTGTATTGAGTTTATCTTTACTACTTTAGACTGACCCAGTGTTCGTAGATACCGCGTTACCGAAGACTTTGAAATGTTTTGTTGGGAAACAATGCACCATAGCATTACCCGTGTCAGGAACTGGAGTAACGACGTAAGTCTCCTTTGTTATGGTATTAAAATAGAATAATACATGTCTGCATACAAACAAAAATAGAATAAGTTGAAGATTTGTATCAGATTTTTGTTGAAAACTACACCAGTGAGTTATAAATCGCTCTGGTAAAACTTGTTATTGAGAATTATGAAAGCTTTGACTTTGTGCATTGTTAATTTACCATTTTCTAGCACAAATCTGAGTAAAACATTGAAATAACGGTTTCGACATTGAGAGATCCGCAGCTCTACTTTATTGTCTTTTAAAGTAATTCACGTTATCGCGATAATATAAAACTGCTGCTTGTATAACCCAGTACAGAGTAAAGGATGATGCATTCATCTTGTATCAAAGATGTGTTCGTTATGTGAAGTGGTTGTACTATGTGGGGGTTACCTGTCACAACTATTTTCAGATCCGACACGACTTTTGGTTTGGTCGACCCTGGTATTACACAAGGACAAGTGACAGTACATCCATTATCAGGCAGTTCTAGTTTATTACATATCCCAGTGACGCCCACTCAGGCCGGAAACAAACATGTTTGCATACAAACAAAAACAGCTACATCGTACGTAGTACCCATATACCTTACTATATTTTGTAATCATTTTAAATTGAAATGTTTACACCGATGATATGTTTCATTTCAATATATGACACATGAACATTAATTGATTGTGCTATATGAAGTTCTATACAAACGAATTTGAATGTTTCCAATGTTTGGATCTACTTTGAAACGAAATGTAATGCGTTATTTTCATCAGATCTTTTGAAACAATTTATAAGGTTATAAAGATAAGAAAGGATCAATGAAAAACTGGATAATGGATAATTTATTTAAAAAGGGATTTCTGATTGTCACTTTATTTTTCAGAAATATCGACGAAGTATGCTTCAACGTAAATGCACTGCAGCCACCAGCAGGTATGTTTATTGGTGTATGGACTGAATTATATATATTTTTTATTTTCTTTTAGTAAAAGTGTAGGAATTCGAACATATCAAAAACTGATTTCAGACCGTCGATATAATACTTGTAAACTTCAGAAATCTTGCAATGGTAACATTATGATACCCTGTATTTTGCAGGAACCATGCCAGCACCACCAGATATAAATAAGGTGGGTTTTTTCAATTCCTTTTTCCTGCGTCTTTGCAATAACCTTAGAAATAGTTACCTTACCTTTTACCCCATACTCTAGTAAAGTTTTATCCAGAAAATTCATCAGACATGTTGTTGCACGGAGCACAAGTGACATTTGTTTTCAATTTGATTGAATAAAAACACTCAAACGTTGTCCATATAAGCAAATGAAAATGTTTTTTGAAACTTGTGCATACTCACATGTAGATTACCTAACGTTAATATATATATATATAAATATGTCTTCTGTGAAGAAAATGTAGAGAGCAGAACCCTGTATTTGTTAAGGTGACGAATACTTTTCTCCAGTGCTGATGCATTAAGTTAACAATGCTTGTTAGGGAACCCTATTGTTAGATAGTTGAAACCTTAAAGACATTAACATTTGTGCAGGAAATAGTAACCACTTTTATATGTAATGTTGTAGCCTCAATTTACGTCACCAACCTTGCCAGACAGCTCTGTAGTTGAATGTGAAGTCCACTCCCCATGCCATATTCACCTAGCAACAACTCCAGGAACTTCAGACAATTCTTGGTAAGAACGAGCTCATTAGATGTTTTCGGGATTTGAAAAAACAATACTGTAGATAATACATATATAACACCTTTAGATATACGACGTTAATATTGTCAATTTGAAGAGCAGGTGGACTATAAGTAGACATATCCAAAAACATTGTCATTGACAACAGCTGTTAGGTATCTGAGCTATGGTACACACCGAGGTATGTTTTTAACACGGGATTTAACAATTTGACTGTGTAAATGATATCATAAATAAATACATATTATGTGAAATAAAATTTCAGTTCTCTACATGTAACTATCAGAACTATCGTGTTTTTTATGCTATATCAATCAATTATTCTTGATGACAACAGATGTAATATCATTACTTTTATGACAGTCCCGGCGTTGAACAGACAGGACTGACACAAATGAAGAATCTAGCAGCGTTCTATCAAAATTCAACGACAAGTTCAAGTATCACGTGTAATACAGACGTCACCATATCACCAACCAATAGTGAAACAGGAGATAATCACGTGTGCCTAACGCCCACCAAAGCGAGGTCGGTGTGAACAGTATTCGTTGAATATAGTACATGTAACAATGCATATCAATCGCTTTTAAATGCAATAATTTAACCCATTGAGTACAATATTGATTGGTTTGGTTTGGTTAGGTTTGATTGTGTTTTAGTGATCGTAATTGGTCAGACGCCTAAACCACTTGGCCATCGCGGCCATTGAATACGATTTCGAGAAACATGGAATACGCATGAATGTCAAATAGTTGAATAACCTTTCAAACTATTTGTTTTTGTTAATATGACAAAATTGTTCGAACCCAAATTGAACATTAATCTATTTTCAGTGGTGAGCAGGGGAAACCGAGGTGTATCACAGTGCATGTTGTAGTTCCACACTCTGCTTCAGCAGGTGAGATACATTCCAATTCTCATGTATATCATAAATAGTTTATCATAAATAACGCTTTCAGGCCGTGTGGCCATCTTCAGGTGACAACATTTAAAGTCGAGGTCCCAACATCATGAGGTAATATAACCAAAATATATAAAAGGAACCTGAATTTTGATAGCGTCATTACCTCCTCTTATATCGCTGATTCAAAGAAAACTATATTATATCGTTTTTGTATAAGATCTGATCTTTTTGAACAGGTGGCCCTTGCCAAAATTTACACTGCCAGAATAATGGAAAATGTATTGCGACTTCCACTGTTATGCCGTCCAGTGCGCTCTGTACATGTGCGGCTGGATTTAACGGTCCCACCTGTGGCACTTCATTGACCGCAGGTAAACATTTTAGTTTTTGTAGTAAATTTAAACAAAATGATACGGTGAAAATACTGACCATCTGCATTACTGTATACCGGGAAATTTGCGCCGCAGTGTAATTTTCGCCTTTTTCTCCCTCGTTTATCATTACAGCTATTTTAGGTAGACAACATAATATAGATACAACATAATATAGATTGTAATTTGATATGAAGTGCGAAATGAACACAGGGCGAAAGTTTATTGGAGAAGGGCAAAAGTTCCACTGGGCAAAAATTTTCTCGGTATATAGTGTTCATTCACGAAAGTACCAACATGATTAAAGACATTACGTTTGATACCGCCGGTAATAAATATACTCACAAAATGTACATATACAAGCCGTGAGTCATTCGCAGTATAATAATGTCGTTTCACTTAGTTTCCGTCCATTCCTTGTGCGCTTGATTGTGTTAAGATACTATATATTACCTTGAGGTCGCAATCATATGTTGCATGTAGACATAAGGGACGAAGCAGGTAACCATTGTTTAAAAATAACCTTTTTTGCCCCTATATATAAGTACATATATTCTTCAATTTCAGTTGATCCATGTACTTTATCGCCCTTGGTTTGTCAAAACGGAGGTGTTTGTAAAAACAAAAATGGAAAGGCTTTCTGCTTATGTCCGCCAGGATGGACGGGGAGAAATTGCCAAACAGGTATTGTACATTGGAAATTTGCAACAGTTGTTTATCTAGTCACTCAGAAGAAGGAAAACACTCGAGTGCTTTATAGTGAATACAATTTAAAGAGAAATATCGTAATGTTAGTTTCATCTGTATTATTATTTTCACAGACAAATATGTACACGAACTTTTGTCGGTAAAACAATATACAAGTAATAATTATTACCCAAAAATATACAGACTGAATAAAGTACATGAACAAGATTAATACTTATCTGTGCCTGAAGAGTAATTATTCTTCTTTTTAAGATTCATCTCCTCCGGTTAATGGCGTCAGCGGATTACGGGTATGTTTGTTTTTGGGTTTAACGTCCTCGAACCGCTACGGTCATTTTAAGATGGGTGTCTCAGGTAACCACCGAAAAGAAAAAATAGTTAAAGAAAAAGATATAAAATGTTCAAGCGTTGCAATTAGGGCAGCAGATTAGTGGGAAGACCAATTTCCAGATGTTCGCCGTGACCCATCACATAACGACTTGATGATCGGAGTCCCTGTGTACCATCTGGAGGGATAACAACAATAGACAAAAATGGTAGCAATGACACTTTATATGTCAATGTACTGGAACCATACATGCGTGGACAAAACTAACAGAAATTGTTCAAGATGACAACAGAATTGTGTGTCAAGAGCATTTAATTGTTTCCCCAACACAGGGCTAACATATCATAACACTACATTTACGAGATACAATAACTGTTGTCATGCAGGGCTATACATACAATAATGTACATGATATCATTAAAACTTTTATTACGCATAGTCAGTATTTTTATCTCCTCAGCCGGACCCAGCTTTCATAGATACAGCTATTCCGACGAAAGTGGAATGCCCCGTTGGGCAAGCGTGTACCATTCCCTTACTTCTGAAAGGTTCAGGTGTCACATCGTAAGTAGTTTGGACTGACAGACAGCGATCTTGTTAAAATTAAGCTCTAACGGTACGCCTTTCCAGAACAATTTAACTGCAGCAGTTAAAATAATTTAACTTAATAAAAATATATTCTTATACATTATAGTTTTCAGTTTTGTTTCATTTTTTGTTTTTCTCAATAACAAATTGAGATTATAACTACCCACAACTATATAAAATATCTTTGAATCCATTTCAATGTATTTGTATAGGTCGGACTTAAAGTTTGGTCACGTTGATAGCGGTATTACTCCCGGAACTGTGTCTGTGGATCCAACATCTGGTACTGAAAACCTAGTCCAAGTCCATGTCGCACCCACCACTGTAGGAGAAAAGCGTGTGTGTGTCCAGACCAAGAGACCTAACTCCATCACGTAAGTAATATACTGTAATTCTAAAGGTAGATGTTTAAACTGTGAACCTATGTGAAAACGTTTATTCGTATACATTATATACAGGATATTACGAAAGCCAATTAGTGCCGTATGAAGTATTTTATTCTTGTGATAACTACCACTTGTAATAATGAGTAAGTATGTCGTTATGACGACAAATGTGTATCGTAATTACAGCATAAATTTATAAATAGCAGATATTTTATTAAGGGCAAATCGAGACGCATTTAGGTAATTCAATTTTTCTAGATATCAGTTAAAATAATTTTAAGAATAAAATATTTGTTTTTCCCCCAAGATCATACACATCACATTAGTTAAAATAATTTAGATTATTGTCATATTAATGTGGCCATACGCAACTTTAAGGTCTTACTTCTGAAAAGCATTCAATATCTTATTCTTATGTCAAAATTGTCCAATCCATATACACTAAAACTTAAAAATGACTTTAATTTTGCTGATTGGCTATCATTCCACTGTTTAAAATGATAAACTTCACATTTGTAGGACTTTTTATGGAAAAACATTTTGAAAAATAATATACATATGTTTCTCCAACTTCTTTATTTAGAAAAGGCAGCGAAGCGTGTTTTATAATAAAGGCTACACAGAATAGCGGTAAGTGACTGATTTTATCTAGGAGCTACTGTATACCGGGACATTTTCGCCGCGGTTTAACTTTTGCCTTTTTCGACCACCATAATGAGGGCGATTTATCATAACGGCGAATTAGTAGATAACATACTATGTATAGTCATAACATGTGAAAGGAGAATTGAACACTGGGCAAATAGGGATTTTACCGGTGAAGGGCGAAAGTTTACAGCTATATATTATAACTAATGGTAGAATAATTATACTGAAACAATACTCTTACTTGTATGACTAATCTTGACGCAACATTCAATTGCATGTGTATGATCTGTTCAGTGCTAGCTCTGTAAACCATAACTGATTAATTTCCATGCTTTCTATGACCATATTTGAGGTATTTTCCGAATCCGCAGGTGGTGTTGGACCAGTTCCTCCTCCTGATCACAGTAAGGTAAATACATACAACTTAAATGAAATAATTTGATATTTAACTTTGCAATAAAGCAATATATTTGATGAGAGCTTAAAGAGTTATGCATCAATAAAAATTATTTTAGAGAAAATGAAAGAAATGAATGAGCTATTTCACATCACAGCATATCTTCAATAATTCAATAAAGAACATACTGTGTTTTTTTCTCATATGTCTTCGATGCTTTTGTCTGTAGCCACAATTCACACCGTCAACCCTACCGGATCATTCGATAATACAGTGTCAGGCGGGATCCACCTGTCACATTTATATCGGGACACATCCAAGCGGAACTGACCATACATGGCAAGTACATTTACCTCATTCTTTGTCAATTTCAACATCAACATTTTTTGTTGTGGGAAGGTGGATTTTAATCTACTATAACATTTGTTTCGACATGGAAGTTTATGATTCCAGGCATTGGGTGTAGTTAAACTTGAAAAGAGTAAAACGCTGCGGCAGAATGAAAGTTTTCGTAATCAAAGGTTTTAGTATTAAACATTACCTACGCAAACTGAGTGATCTTTTTCATATTCGCATCTATTAATTTACCCCCAGAACCATCGATATTTTTGAAATAATGATCAATTTGTATTTATTTTTTTATTTATGTCGAATAAATGTATGGTATAAGTTGACTTGACTAATAAAGTTTTACACCCGATTTCACAGTAAAAAAGGTTATCATAATATGAATTCAGAAAATATAAATCAGTTCTTGTTTGATTGAATTTAGCCCCAGTGTCGTTCAATCTGGTGTAACACACATGCAGAATACACATTCATTTCCACTGACTACTTCACCATCGCCTGGTAATATCTGCCACTCCGTCATGTCATTCGCACCTGCGGCCGGACCAGAGGAAAATAGAGTGGTGTGCTTCACGCCTACACAGGCTAAGTATGTCTAATGGAAAGTGAGATAATCATCATTTGTAAAGAATACAAGTTTCATTGTGTTTTTTGTAAGTGGTGAAATCATGAAAATAATCATATTAATAATCTTGTAACAGGCTAGCATGGTAGAATATTAGTACACGAGGTGTAAATTCCTACTATGTATAATATATCCCTTCCATTTTTAAGTCGTCCTAAGTTGTTATATATTAACTCAATATTTTTCTTCTTTTTTTTTTTGTTGCTTTTGCGCTTTTTGGCCTGTTTTTCTGAAATATTTTTTATTTTGACATCAATTTTTGCCGTGTAAAAATAATATACATTTAGTCTAATAAGAGAGAAACATATAAATAAGATATCACTGATTACAGGATTACGATTAAAAGACTACATTTGTGGTAACGCCATAATAAAATGGTTCACTACAGTTTCCTTTGATGACTCATGGAGTGCTTGTTCAGTCAGTTTAGTGCTGTTTATGGAATATTTTCCGCTATATTTTAACTTGGGGTTTTGATAATTTTTAATGCCAATAATGATGAATGTAAAATACCCATCCTTTCCACTGCAATATGACTATTAGACACAACACAATTCTTTGTTATGTTATATCTCCATTTACAAACCCAGTATTGTTTTTTTCTTCATATTTTCAGTGGTCTCCATGGACAAGAAAAATGCCTAAATATCGTTGTTAAGCCAGGTAAGATAATTAATTAGTCGGTTACTACTCACGTTACTAAAGCATGGAGAGCGTTATCAATCAGATTGTTATTTATAATTACAAGTTCGAAAATAATAAATGTTTGTTCATATAGAAATTTATAGTAACGTCTTTTCAAATAGCTCACTATACGTTCTTATCATATACTAATAGAGTGATTGTAGTACTGTCACAGCGTCAACATACTATAATGTGTCGCTGAACATGCATTGTTGTTTCTTTGACAGAAAACTGCGGTGCTCCGATCACAGGTAAGAAAGCACGATACAAGTTGATAATCAATGCATTTTAGAAAAATCCCGTTCACATCACAGTGATGTATAATAAATGGTTAATCGAGTATACCGAGTTTCTTTGCATTTCCAATATACATATTTTAATATTTAGAAAAAAATGTTCGTCACTTACTTTCCAGACTTTATAATTTCGATTTCAGATATGAACACAGCGGTAAGTCAGATTTATTACTCGAGTGTTTTATTACTCTACAAGCATTATTTATGTTGTTTTGGAACGTTGCACTTACAGGCGCGTAGCTAGCCCCTTTACCATGTGTAAGCCCGACATGGGATTGCCGAAGGCAGTCCCCCCGAAGCGCGAAGCGCGAGCAGTGGGAGGGTACGGGAGGGTGTCTTCCCCTCCCGTAAGGGGGGTCTGGGGGTCTCCCCCATGAAAATCTGCAAGAAAAAAGTCCTATTTTTTGTATATATATATATACCTATTAACGTGGATCCAGTGTAATTCTGAAGATTAACCGTCGGTATTGCTTTGTACACCCTCCATACATACCTTGTCTGGTTTTTACCTAATCTTGATAAATGCATTTGATACTTGAACTCAACTTTATAGTATCAGCAAGAAAAAAAACCGTCATGAAAACCTATACTTGCCAAAATCATGTGCAAGCCCGGGCTTATTGGCTTACATGGTAGCTACGCGCCTGACTTATAATCTCCATAGTTGCTTTATTCCTCAGCATTTTTTCACTTTCCACAGTGTCTCCGCTGTTGTATGTGTCTACTCGAGATTTAGAATGATTGATGTAGTGATGTGGTATTAAGTGCATTTTATCTCTTATAAAATATGTGCTTTATTTGTTTAGCAACAATTATGAAAAAATGTATTGCATTTATATAAATCACTCTTGTTTGGTCCGGATGGAAGCGAGCAGAAGGTCTTAATGTGGGAGAAAACGGAGTTCCTCGAGAAAACCCACGTGGTGGGGCAGGTGACTCAATATCTTTTCCCGTTCGATTCGGTTATCGTATCCCGGCCGTCTTCACGAAAGGCGAGTGCGCTTTTCACTGTGCCACCCAACCATCCAATGTATCTCGTAAGTCAAAGTAAAAATGAGCAGGAGGAATGCTGGCGCAATGGGTAGTACAGTCTCTTTTCACGAAAACGGTATTGATTTTCCGATCGATCTTACATGTTCCTTCCCGACCACGTGGATTTCTGGAGGTATTACCCCACCCCCTGTTAAGATTTCCAGCGCGCTTCCAAATTACGCCATCAAGAATGATTAATGTAAATAATATCAGTTTGATAATTGTTGCAAATAAATTTATTTATACAAACGAACATCATAATCACTACAGCAAATAGAAAAAAAAAATCAAGTATATTTCTTTCGTAGTTTAGTTTGTGTTCATAGTGTGTTCATAGTGTGGTTAATGATGCTTAATAGTCATAGATGTTTATTTTTTTTATGTCAAGAGTATTTCTATTTCGCCATACAAGTACTTTGGAAACAACTTGCATTGGCAAAATTGTAAAATTTGCTCGGTTTTATAATATGCAAGCATGTGCGTTAAAAGTGTTTATAATTTTAAATGTTCAGACCGTACATATGTTTATATATAAGATATCATATTAATGAGTGTGTGCATAATGAAATGATTATGCGTTTAAATAGTTTGTTTTTCTACATATAATTTCCTGTAGAGAGAGGCGACGAAAATGGGGCGTACGACATGTAAGTGTACGTTGACCAGTGGAAAAGAGGTGGTTGTCATCAACAAACGGCCCAAAGCCACTACAATTCAGCTCCTCAAGGCGGCTGGTATCGGTGCCGGAAGTGTCAGTGGCGCCATCGCCATAGCAACAATTATATACATGATCGTCGGTAAAATTAAGGATGCCAGTCTCTCGAAGCCAGGTCTAGGCGGCAATAAAACTCATTCCGATAAAACGATACCACAGGCTTCTAGATCACGCCCGCTTCCCCGACAACGTCGATAATGACAAACTCGTATGCTATAGATGACCAATACAACAAACTTTGTTGTAGTTAATTTATTTCCTAGATTTTCTCCGACAAATGACATTGTAAAAATGATTGTTTGCCATGAAACCGTCCCCCAATAAAGTGTGTTTTGCATTTGTGTGTGTCTTTTACTTATTAGGCAAAATTAAAAAGTGTAATCTGCTTCCCCGTATGTATAATGTTGGACCTGGAATTAACCGGGCGATAATGCCTGAAAATTAAGGCACCTTGAGTAACTTATAGACAATTTTTAAGGTACCAAACGGTTGCCAGTTAGCAAAAGTAACAGTTTACAATGCTCAAAGGCTTATGACTAAGCATTTGAAAATTAAACAGTAAACGCATAAATGTAAGTTGTCAATAGAAATCAGTCAATTTCTGGGAAATATTGTGCTGGCATAGAAAGATATGTTTAGAGAATGATACTGCTCACATTACTTTTTCAACATATTGATGTTGAATTGTTTGAAGAATATTTCAGCACACTAACGTGATTCCAATGTGATCTGTTTTCAGCATTCTAATGAAACATATCATACACAATTACTGTTACTGAAACAATATAATGTAATATATCTTACTTTCCTTAATCTAAAATCATTGCTGATTCAGATACATTGATATGTCGTCGAGTAATATTTCTTTCTAGAAATCAAGGACAAGACATCTAAAATAGCAAACTCTTCATTTCGAAACATATATCATAAAATGATAACAGCTACGCACTGGCCAAAAAACAAGGCGAAGTAATGCAAGGCAATCCATAGTTCCCCACAAGTAATGATTTCTTTATTTACCGAGCTGGACACCTGCTTCAGGATATATTTCAAAGTAACATATACTTCTTGTAATACACACTATGCTAGCCAAGACATACTTGCATACCGAATCTGGTTTCTGCATGTGAAACAGTACAGAAGTCATGCCCCATTTTTCAAATGTCAAAGGTAAAACCGGAGGTCACAGTGATCTACTTTGTATACCTCACAATCCGCCTTTCCAAGATGTACTAGCATTCCAAATCTGGTTATTCCAGAATAAACATTAAAAAAGAAAAAAAATATTTAATGTTTATTCTGGTTTCAATACCCATAAAGATCCCGAAACATGTTTATACACGCACAAAGTTCACGATATATACGGTTATAAAGATAATTGCTTGCTTATTTGCCTAAAATGGTAAAACCCATATCCGGGGAACCGGTTTATCCGTATTCGGGTAAGATTTATCCGAAGCTACATTGAAACTAAATATAAACCAGAAGTCAATCATTGGGGTATCAATTTACGCTTAACATTTAAAGTTTAGGCCAAGTATTTGGACAGATTAGATGATTTATAAGTTTAGCCCGACTTTTGGTAAAATATAAAAGCATGACACAATGTTAATACATCCTGGGAAATAACTGTTCAGTAACTAAATATCCAAGTTTGGTTGGTATATTATGCTTCCCAGTTCAACGCCTATCCTATCACCATGTCAGAGTCTTAATTGGTAGGAGATATTTATGGAATGACGCTGAAATCGACAACGATCTCCCCTTTTATAATATTTTGGAGCAATTGCACGCAATGTTTCTAGACAAATTCTGAATAATTCTGGCCAAAGAAATATTCATATCCGTTGCTGAACCGGAAACCGTCGGTACTTTCTGAAAACAAGTCAATATTCAAAAGTATTTTCTAGTTCACGGAAAGCGGTTATGGTTTCCGATTGACATTTGTATATTAGTGTTTACCCTCCGGCAACAAAGAGTTCCCATGTCTGTAAAGATGGAGACATGGTCATCCGTCGACGTCTCCGACTAAAAAAAACTTTTTTCAATGGAAACCATATAAAAATAACATCTAACAATGAATATATTATACTGACATGCCATGCCTGTTTTAATTCAGATAATGTTACACTTAAATATTGCGGTCTGTTTCTTCATAGAAATATCAGTCTGGATCTCTTCAGATTGGAATAAACTGATTTCTTATTTCATTATTATATTGATATCTCGTTTATCAAACGTTCAGGGATCGTCACACCTTTTTTACTGATGACATTCCATCTTTCTAGCTATGAGTCTAATTTATAAACTTTTCATATCAATAATCTGTCAATATTATTGTGAACTATATCTTGAGATAAGAGCGCTGTTGGGTTTAGTGAAAATGACTATCTGTAGATGAACATTAGCAGTTCAATTTTTTTTCACTTTATCATATGCATGGCGTTTGTCACATCCGGTCATGCGTGCCAACAGGAAATCAGAAAACCATTCTGGTAGAAAACTGTACACATGAGCAAAAACCTGAAATAAGGGAAAGAAATATGGTGAATATAGAATGCATGTCAATAACGCCAGGACCTATGATTTTAACAATCGCGAATGATATTTATTTTAAATCGATTCGACTCGGCAAAACCAGAGATGAAAATGTCTCCGTGATTCAAAGACAGAAGAGGATAATGTCTCAGTGAACCATAAACAGAAGACTATCATTTTAGATTTCAAACCATAAAATAGATCAGTTGTGACGCTATAACACGTACCGCTAAGGGATCTACAATGCCACTACTACTCCCTCCCACCACGTATCTAGGTATCGGGTGAGTGTTGATAAGGGCGTCTTCTATGGCGTCCAGTATAGGGTCAGGCGAAGTGGCCGATCCAGGCAAGGACTTGGTAGCGAGGCATTCATACAACGCGTCAACATGGGCCCTTCCGTACGCCATCCTAACATCTTCAGAAGCAGCAGACCATGATGCCTCTAACTCATTCTTCATTCTTGCTAGCTGGTAAAGTAGATGATATCAAAATTACCAACATAATCTGAAACTTGAAAAGACTAGTAAAACGTACTAATTGCACAAAATAACTTCTATGGGAAAATAATAAAAGTACAATTAGTACAAAAAATCCTTTTCTATGATTTGACTGAATATAAAGGCAAACCGATATTGGTCCACTGCAAGAAGTTGCGGCATCGAACGCACCCGGTGCAACTACTGATACGCCTACTCCAAACTTGCGCATCTCCAGTCGGAGCGAGTCTGTCAGTGTCTCCACACCGTATTTACTGACGTGGTACACAGAATCACTCGGCCAGGCATAACGACCTTTGACACTGGATATATTCACCACACGTCCTACAGATAAGAAAGTGAAATGTAATAAACAATTGAATACGAAATACTTGATATTTTCAATATATTGTAAATATTCGAAATTTGACACTAGTTTAGTAGAGTGCACCTTTGCACTTCCGGATGAGGGGCAAGCAAGCTTTGGTGACTCTGATCATGCCGTACAGATTGACGTCCATGCATTTCTTGTACTGCTCAATGGTGGCCAACTCGACGTCACCGTAGATATTGAATCCAGCGTTGTTCACCACTCCCCATAGTCCTGAAATTGAACGGAATCGTTTAATAGTGTGTGTGAGTACATTATATATAGAGGTTCCATCAGAACCAACGTTAACTGCATAGTACAATAACATCATTACAGTTTTAACTAAGTTTTTTTTCTCCAACCTCTACACGATGGCAGACACCCATGTTTTATTATTATTTCCCAAGAATCCACATCAGTTGACATTCATTTCTTTCAAAAGTCTGAATAGGACAAAAAGAACCTGTTGAGGGTTGGCGTTTTAAGTTGTGAAACGCGACATCATTTCAATGTGATAAGTGAAATACTGTATATTTGCGTTCTGACTATTTAAACTGGTCGCGTTGTGAACGTGTATTTCAAAATTTCGCGCTTATCTACTTAACGCAGAAAATGTTATGACCATTTCCATGAAAATTCCCTTCTGTTGAGTTAAAAAATATATAAATTTGATGAGCGGAAGAATATATATAAATTATAAAACAGACGGCAACTGATGAAAATAACAAATTATTAAACAAATTATTATATGGTATATCATATCTTTCCACTCTTTGCAAATGTGTTCTTGGTTCATGTGAACGTTATCTAGAAAATCAACTATATGAATTGTTGCATGCTCAATGCCAATGCCGGAGTCACTATTAATTAGCCAGTCGAAGAAAAGTGTCAATCATTATGTAGGCATGGGGAAGAAGTGCTATTTTCACAGATATACGATAAGATACTTTGCATAAATGTGAAGAGTTATATGTACATTATGTATACGGTCAACTTCAACACGAATTGTCATATATATACAATAACATGTACAGTTTTCTGTTTAATAAAAATGATTAAATGCCTATGTGAAGTAAGTAAATATAGAAAAAATAAGATCTAACGACCGACTAAAAAACAAGCTGCTTTCACCCTTCACATGGGCTCTTCAGGTTTATTTCAAAAGAACAATTTCGTGACGTCAAAATTACATGTCATCACACTTCCACTTATTCTGTAGCTTCGAGAAACCAAGATAAACAGTTTACCTGTTCCACAAGCATATGTAGAAGATACTTGTATATATATATAATACCTTTGTTTCCGAATTTTGACTCGATATCTTTTACAGCTTTGTCTACTTCATCCTGTGAGGTTATATCAAGTTGTAGCACGTGCAAGCGTTTTGACTTCCTTGACCTAAGACTGTTAGCGCCTTCGCTTGATGTAGAAAGTACCCCGGCAAACACGTCAAAACCATGGTCGTCTAATCGTTTGGCCAGATGATGTCCAAAACCTAGAATATAATGAAGCTCCCGTTACCATTAGATATATTGATATTACAATTCATGATTTTGTTTTGGACAATTCTGAAGATAAGGATACATCAGTTACGCTGACAGAAGTATGACACGACTAATAAAAAAGATAGACAAGACATTTTCATCACTGCGGTCAAAAACTGTTTTCTTCCGAAAATATGGTGATTGCATACCAAACTGATTTTTAATTAAACTGGCATCCTAGTATACATTTCGCGTATGTTAAGCTTGTCCTTACCTGTATCACATCCTGTAATTAACACCGCTTTCCCATTACTTTCCAAAAAGACGCGTTTTCGCTTCCGTATTACGACTAAACAGGCATACATGAATAGCAGGAGTACGATGCATACCCAGAATGAGCACGGTATCGAAAACAGTAGCAGACACAGTGCCAGCAGAAACGTTCCCTCAAACACTCTTACGTCAACACGGTCGAGGACGTCCCATACGGCCATGTCTACTTATTCTGTAGCTTCGAGGAACCAAGATAAACTGTTTACCAGTTTCACAAGCGTATGTAGAAGATAAACAATACTGCGCTATCGTATAGTCATAACAAGAAAACTTCTAGCAGAAAAGAAACATCGACACATACCACGTGGAATAGCCTGACTACCGTAGTATGGTGTAAATCGTGCTGAACTCCTGCCAGATGTCAGTTCCTCATGAGATAACACCTAATTACCTGTACGTGAGATGGTATAACATACAATATACACTATGGGGAACTTAAAGGGACTGTTAGACCCCCTAGTGCATCAATGTGGCTGAATTAATGTATCAAAATAGCATTAAGCATATACATGTGTATGCATACATTACATAAAAATGTATATTATTCAAACATAAAAATAGGTACCACATCTGCGACACCGAGCCGGTTCGGAGAGATCATAGGCCCGCATGATCGTAAGAGGCGTCTAATGTCACAAAGAACAGACCTGACGTATCCTACTGTATGGGTATATATATATCGTAAAAGGAGATTAATGTTGGGCCTCCTGCAGAATAGGGGATTTTCCTCTGTGTCTTTAACGGAGAAAATATGGAAGAGGCGAAGCTTGATCTGCTACCCTCCCTATTGGTACAGTTGCGATCTTTTTCGTTTCCTGACTACTTCTTTCTTCTCTACTTTTCTCTCCGGCAATGTCAAACTAAGGCATCCGTCCTGAATGATCAGCATGGCTGGACGAGGACGTTAAACCCCAAACAATTACACAAAGAAAACCACATCTGCGCTTCCGCTCACACCTGAAAACCGGAAGTAGAAAAATACCAATAATGTCTTTGACCTATTTTGATGAAATGAAGCAGCAGATCAACTTTCGTCTATTCCATATTCTCTTCGTAGAATACAAAGTAGAAAAACCTCCATTCTGCAGGGGGCCCACCTTTGTCGCCTTTTACGATACACTTGGACTGGGATACAGCAGGTCGATTCTTGGTGACTTCTATATTCCCTAAACAGAGAAGAGGAAGAAACCAAAACCCCTTCCAGATTCTGCTAGGATGATCCACACCAGTCGCCTCTTATGATTCTGCACGGGTTCGCAGATGTGGTACCGTTTTTGATACTTGAATTATATACGTTTTGTAAGATTCGTTTACATAAACATGTGATGCATTAAAGCTACACTAGGCCTTCCATTAAAGTAGAAGTTACTACAATAAGGGTGTAATTAACCTTCAACCATTGATGCATTAAGTAAACACATATTACTGCTAACATTCATGTTATTCTGATGCATAAAGACACGTTAATGCATTAATGCCAAATGCTAGACGGAAGTGACAGGTCTAGGTAATAATGTAGGGTGCACTGATTTGCTAACTGTTAAAGAAGGGTTTATGTGGAATTTTCCATAAATATCACCTGTGTAATTAAATTCAAATGATAAGTTACCAAATAAAAAAAAACTTTTTTGCACTTAGGTACACATAAGTATACATGTATATGTAGAGCGTCATGAACAATATATTTATTGAATTAATGCAACAAATATTACTTAGCAACGAAAAAGGATGAAGCCAACATCTAAGGCCCGATCAAATATTCCAACCTTATAAAAACGCTATACTGAGTTACGAACTAACATTCTTACTGAATACAAACAGTGAAACTAAGGTGAGAATGGATCATGTACGAAGCATTCTTACAGAATGTAATCAGTAAAACTAAGATCAGACTGAAATATGTACGAAACATTCTAACTCAATAAAAAAGGTAAAACTAAGATAAGACTGCATTATGTACGAAACGTTTTAACTCAATAAAAACGGTAAAACTAAGATAAGACTGAATTGTGTACGAAACGTTCTAACTCAATAAAAACGGTAAAACTAAGATACGACTGAATTGTGTATCCAACGTTCGAATAGAATATAAGTAGTAAAACTAAGATCAGACTAAATTATGTATCAGACGTTCTAATAGAATATAAGCAGTAAAACTAAGACCAGACTAAATTATGTATCCAACGTTCTAATAGAATATAAGCAGTAAAACTAAGACCATACTAAATTACACATGAAACATTCTAAAAAAGTAGGTAAAGTAGAATTGTATGTAAGTATCCCAAACAAATGGAGGGGGCTGATAGGTTTTGCTGCCTTTTTTCTTCTGTTTCGGGGGACTGACTGATTTTGATGCGGTTCAATATTTTTTTTCAATACATTATTTTCGAATGCAGGTCAGTTTCAGCAGTTATTTGGATTAATGTAACGAGACCTGTTACAATTAACACTGTCTTCCGCCATTCGGTCTCCAGGTGTTTTTTCAAGTTCAAGTCTCAGAAACTATAGCTACCGGTCGTATAAGTATGGAACTTCACGGTAGCAATGGTGAGTATGCGTAGATTTGCGTTATGCGTTTAATTTTCTGATCGATCACCAACCATGGCCACCGTTACCTTTGATTGATTGACACATTTACGTCAAGGTGATTCCAGCTATCACTCTATATGTCTTGATTTTGCTCAAACTAAGCATGTAAATCTATTATTGCATTGCAAGCTTCTAATGCATCATTCGCGACTATGGGGACAGTTTGGTTGATTTGTGTAACGACCCTCGATCATTACAATTAAAACTTGTTATTTATCCCATTCTTATTTCTTTCACTTTCTTCCGCCAGAGAAGTTTCCGTTCTTTTTCTCAAAAACTACATATCTGGCGCCGGTATTTCAAGAAACTTTACGTAAGTATTTGTGGAAGGAAGGAAGTGTGCAAATGAATTTTTCGTTTTTCAATCGGTTATGAAACACAGCCTCCGCGGCTTTTGATTAATCAATATGTTTTATTGACCGATTTCGCTCAAAAGATCCTCTAACATACAACTGTATCTCTGCTCCACTGCCATTATATTTGACATATAATGAACATTTATTCACTGTTCAAATAAACTGAATCTTATATATGATTAGTAACCAACCAGCAAATTGAAGATATGAAAACAACATTTTCGAATTCATTCATTGTCTATGCGCTAAAAAATACCATTACTTCATTGTTTATCTTTATGCTTCATCGATAAAAGAAATATATTTTTTAAAGTTTGCTTGTTCATTCACCAACAGCTCTTTTTAATTTGTTTCTTATTTCGGAACCTTATTGTAAAAAATCAAAATACTCTTCAAACAATGTCAGATGTACAAATACAAATATATGCATATACGGCCCCTCATTTATATGCCTTTCGAGAATATCCCTGCTAAATCTAGGTTATGAGTGCGTTTATCACACAGGTACGTATAGCTCAAGGACTGGGTCTGACCTAGATTAAGAGAATCGCCTCTCGTCCACACAAAGTTTCTCACGCAACGTTATCAAGATTAGCTTTTGGAGCGATTGTCAACATGTCGGGAGCCTGTAAGAAATTGATTAACACTGTGGAGCAGTGTGTGGACGAGAACCTGGAGGGTTTGGTGGCTGTCAACCCCGGACTGCAGCTGCTGGAGGGACTGCGGGTGGTAGTGCGGACGGACGTCGGACCGAATGTCGTTGGGGCGGGCAAGGTGTCCCTTCTTAGCGGGGGAGGGTCGGGTCATGAACCCGCACATGCAGGTAACATAATAAATGTTTACAAAACACGTACCAGCGTACCTCAGGTACATGGTGCTATAAAACACATATGTCGATGGTTTTAAGAGATTTGTAGCGGAGGTGGGGGGAGGGTTACAGATTGTATCCTCGGGGAATCCATTCGGAATGTGTTTTTGAGCAACGACTGTAATTGAGTCGGAGTTCAAAGAAAGACAACTGGAATATACTTTTAAAAAATCCTCAACGGTGGCCTTTTACAGACACTTATTTTTCAATTAGACTACCCGTATTTTATTGATCAACGAATTCATAAGAAACAATTTTATTTGCACAAACTTTATGAATTTTGCAATTTACTGATTTGATTACATTAACATTTTTAAGGTTCCCCATACCACAGCCAAAAACTATAACTGCACATTAGAAACTGTTGTTCCAGTGTCACTGTGACTATAGAGCTATGATTAAATATTTTTCGAAAAGAAAACCAAAACTTGCAGGACTTTTATGTACAATAATAAAGGTGAGAGAAAAAAAAATAGAATAAAAACAGCAAGAGTTTTTGGAGTGTAAAAACTTGAGTGGGGCTAAACAGGGTTAGAAACTAACTTTTTTGCTTGTTAGTCCACAGGACTTAGTTGAATAGGTTATTTATTAGTCCGTCGTCAATCATGTAACTACACCAAGATTTCCTGATAATGAAACATTGCGATCTAAAGCACAAAACATCAAAAGCAATCGACTGTAGGGGACTTCAAATAATTACTACCATAAGATACGGTGAAGTTTTAGGAAAATTTTGACAGTTATCATGCAATATATCTTATTATAAGCTGTTTTCTAAATTTTAAAAAGGAATATTGTTATTTTATTTTTATTTTTTTCACAAGTCCAAAGGACCAGTAAGGTTAGGTGATTCACTAGTCCTTGCTGAAATCTATTAGTCCAGGACTAGCGGACTAAGTGTTAGTGTTGACCACTTCTTAAGACCGGGATTCGAACCCAGGACCTTACATTTTTTCACCATCTGGACTAGCCAGCTCCTCTTGCAGTTTTCAGCTGAATTTCTTGAATCTTTACTGAGGCAGTCAACACATTCTGAAGTTTTGTACCTGTGATTAATATTTGATCTGGCCATTTTTGGGGAGTTGTGCCTCTTTTTACAAAAGCTAGCCAACATTTTGTCTGGGGATATCTTTTATACTAGTTCCCCTAGAGTAACTAGATTTGGTATGCAAGTACAATTTGGGAAGGCAAAGTGCAGAGTACAAAAAGTAGGTTATGCTTCTTTCAGGAAAGCCATTAAAGTTCGTATTGGGATTCTATATATGTATATATTGTATTGAACTGATTAGAAAATACAGCTACAGTGTATTGTGTAGTTTTCAGGATTTTTTTGTGAAAATTATATTTCAGTGTTGTTATTCAAAGAAAGGTATAAACTTATTCACATGTTCAGGTAAAACTAAGTCACGGTCTGTTGAGAAAAAAGAAGACCCCAGATTGATTGATAGCTCAAATACATGTATTCTCGGTTATATTTTTACGAGATATGACATATGACTTTGTTGTGAAGAAATGTGGAGGTACATAACGTGCTATGAATATACAATGTTTTGATTGAAACATTCAGAAATGAATAATTAAAACAGAAAATATGGAAACTAATGTGTTGGTGGGTATAAGTATTTCGGTGATATTTATTTTCTGGCAGGTTATGTTGGCCCTGGGATGCTGACGGCAGCAGTAGCAGGGTCAGTGTTTGCGTCCCCGCCTCCATACAGCATATTAGCTGGCATCAAGGCTGTGTCAGCACCAGGCTCAGGTATGTACAAGCTTTAAACAATGCAATGGCCTGTATATCTGGCTTTGTTAGACAGCTTTTACTATATATACGTTTACTTTTAAATTTCCTGCTACACTTTTCCTTGTATGTTTTTTATTATTATTATTTTGTTTACTAACTCTTTTAGAAGATGTGTAGAATTTGATCATACTAAATCATTGTTAACATTTTTGTGGTTTTTTTCTCTCTCCATGTTTTGGCTTGTTCCATAGTTATAAATACTGCATTTTCTATCAGCATGTATCTAAATGCTTATATACATATCCTGCATTTTAATATTAACAATAATCACTGTTTTCTCTGCACTTATGCACATCATCCGCTATCTGCCACTTCAGTTGGTTGTATGGTATTCATCGCGAACTATACGGGTGATCGCCTCAACTTTGGGTTGGCGGTGGAGCGAGCACGCTACCAGGGGTTGACTGTAGGCGTGGTTGTGATAGGGGAGGACTGTGCTTTGGCCACCACAGATAAAACAGCTGGGAGGAGAGGGCTGACTGGGGCTCTCATGGTCATGAAGGTGTGTCCCTAATCCCCTCCTTGCAAGTATGATTAGTCCCTCTTGCCCCATTAACTCCATCTCTCCTCCCAAATAGTTCTCAGCTCAATTAGAACTACTACCTCATTAAAAAAACCACTTAAACTTCTTCTACTCCTCCCCCCCNTTATAGCTTTTCCTCCAATCTTTACCTTCCTTTCTCTCCTGTATATATTTATCTGTCCCTTCATCCCTGACCAGTTTGTCTGCCCCGACTTTCCCTTACAATACCTGTGACCTACCTACTCTTTTTAATAAATATGCCCTCCTTCTTCCTCTGTAATACCCACCAATATTTGCACCACCTCGAGCTCCCTCTCCAATAAGTCAGCCTCTTCCTTAATGATGTCTCCCCCTCCCTGTCCCACAAATCACTCCGCCTCACCTTCTCATTCCAAAATTTCTTTCCCTCCTGCTTACACCAATGACTCTGCCCCTCATGAACCACATTTGAAATTAAGTGATAGTGTATTGTGCAGACCAGAATGAGAATTATCCTATTTTCACCTTTGAACCCTTAAAAAGTGGGCAGTTTCTTAAATTAATAAGACCCATCTTGATTTCTAAATATACCTCTTTTTCTGAGAATCTCAATGATGAATCCTTCAGCTAATATGACAGAACCATAGGTGTCACGTAAAACTGGATACCTTAATGAAGCAGTCACACGGGCACATTCAGTATACTAGTATACCTATTTGATTTGGACTGCCAGTGTGTTTTTACATGCTTGCCAAGAGTGGAGTGCATTATATAATATGTTGACTCACTGTTTGTGAGATTTGGTGTGTGACCAGAATCATGTGAAGAATTGGTATCTTTATTGGAAACTTATTTTTATATTAGTCATGACTATACATTATTCTTTCAGCACATTGTAACAACATAACACAATTGAAATAGAAAGTTGGCAAAGGGAGACAATCCCTATACAAATTTTGTAAACCATTCCAAAACTTCAACATTTCTGAGTAATAAGCTTGATACTTTACACATTTAAAGAAAGAATGAAAGAAAACAAATATACAAGAAATTCCTTGAAATTCCATATAAAAATGCTATTATTGAAACTTTGCTGTTGTAGTACATGTATTATAATCATTTGCTGTGAAATTAGCACAACTTAATTAAAGTTCTTTATTTGTCATATATTTATTTCCCTTTTGCCAATGAACAATACAATGTATGTTCCAATAGGGGGTGTTCATGTTTGTATAAGCACAAGGGGTTTGTTTGCATTTTTGAACAAAACAAAAAATGTACAGTTTTCAGGAATGTATCAACTTAATAATATATGCTACCTTTTAGTACTGTGACACCTCCTTCCGCTAAAACAAATTGTAAAATGTCTCTTTTGAGTAGTAGAATTCACTTCGGTTAAAAGGTCATAACACAGTAGATTAAATTCATTAGTTATGTATAGGTATACCTGAACTACCAGATAATCCTTTTTTTAAACATTTGATTGGAGACCACAAGTATAAAAGTATTGAAATTATAGACAAGAACTTATTGAATAAAATCTGCTTCTTAAATTGCATGTAATTATTGCTCTGCATGTTGAATATGGCTACTATTACCCACTGTTTGTTTGTTAGAGGTAACTAGGCTTGGATCTTAAAAAGTTTTTCTTTCCTTGTGTCTCTCATAAACTGCCATGGCATATTAAACGAGTATTAAGCCCTATATATGTGTTATATGTGGCTTTATTTCCCAACCTTACTTCCTTTTGTTTTTTCTTTGCTTGCTATTAATCATAAGATATGCTTGCTGCAGCCAATGACTAGAAGCTCCTCTATCTATTACCAGTGCCTTAATTACACTTCACAACAAGACTGGAACATAATGCCCCTACGTATACCCTGTCAATGAATAATTCACAACTACTTGTTTGTATTTTTATTGTGTCATATTATATGTTGTCTTATCAGGAGTTAAATTTCTTTTGTGTAGATCTGGACAAGCTTATTTTTTTAACAAAACCAATTAAATATGAATTTTCTTTCCGTTGGTCAGCTGGTGTTTTGCTGATAATAAAAAATTACACAGGAGACAGACTAAACTTTGGCATGTCGGCCGAGAGAGCCAAGTCCCAGCTAGGTGTGAAAGTAGAGATGGTAGTAGTCGGAGAGGACTGTGCCCTAACCTCCTCCGACAAGACAGCAGGGAGGAGGGGGCTCTGTGGGACCCTCTTTATCCACAAGGTGAGACCAGCACAACAAGTAGCACATCCTTGCCTGACCTCGTATGTTACCTTAGTCTCGTTTTCTTGTTAATCTACCTTAAACACTTGGGTTTGTTTTGTGTTTTATGTCCTATTAACAGCTATGGTCATTAAAGCCGTGTCAGGTTTTGGAGGTAGAGAAAAGCTGCAGTTTCGAAGAAAGAACACTGACCTGCGGCCAGTACCTGGCGACTGCCCCACTTGTAGGCCTCAAACCCACGACCCAATGGTGGAGGGCTAGTGGTCAGACGCCTTAGCCACTTGACCACCGCGGCCCCACCTTAAACACAACCGTTCCACTGTTTATGGACATTATGTCTCTTTTGCATGTCACTAAGTTACTAACTTCTACCTAAAAAATCGGGCCCCAACTTCACAAAAAAGCGTTGTTGTAAGCACAGTCCTTAAGATTTTGAAATGAAAGTTTCATTGGAGTTGGGGAAAATCCTTAGTTTAGAATATTTCAGATTATTTCCCTTACCTTATAAATGTTTTATATTGAAAATCTTAAGTTAAAGAGTTATCTTTGGTGAATAAAAGTTATGAAACTTGGGCCAAATTCATCACGTTTCATTGATAAGAAAATAGTAAATGTGATATGAAAGCAACTCTATAAAATCAGTTTCACTCCATAAAAATATATCATTTTTAGAGCTTCTCAATTACAACAATGCTGGTGACTACAGAATGGGAAAAAAATGGCTGGCCTGACAGTTTGTCTCCTGTGTATATTTATTGTCTTGTCTCCTGTGTATATTTATTGTCTACTTACATCAGCAGTCTACATAACAAACATATTTCATAATGCTGCAAAAGAAGTTTACATTGTAATCTGTATTTCTGCTACTTCATGTTTATCAAAACGAAGATCTGTGGAGCTCTGTCAGATGAAGGGAAGAGTCTGGAAGAGATTGTCAAATTAGCCAAGGATGCTGCTTCAAAAATGGGTATGTATATATCTTTGTTAAACGTTTACAGACAAGATAGATGTAATTTTTCAAAGTACAAAAACAACATACAGCAAGTAATTTATACTTTTAATCTTACATAATAAATATGACATTTGTTAACTCACCTGCTGTTACAGTTAGTGATTTAATATCTATGTGACCTTGACTATTAAGGAACCATTGGATTGAGTTTGACCCCCTGCAGTATTCCTGGGTCTGGGCCATCCTTTCAGATAGCAGATGACGAAATGGAACTAGGACTGGGTAGGTCTTTGGTCGATGTTACTACTTCAAAACTTGCAAAATATTGAGATGTTTGACTGAATTTTAAAAGGGAAATTGTCAATTCAGGTTAAAATGTAATGCATAAAATATATCTGTACCAATATAAAGTGTATGTGGTACAATGTATGTTTTCTACAGTAAGTGTATGTGACATAATAATGTATTCTCTATCTAGTGTATGAGACATACAATGTATATATTATCTGTATGTGATATACAAAGTAAACTGTATAATATGTTTACAGTGTATGTAACGTACAATGTAGGTAGATATCTAAAGTGTATGTGACATACAATGTAGGTAGATATATAAAGTGTATGTAACATACAATGTAGGTAGATATCTAAATTGTATGTGCCATACGATGTAGGTGGATATCTACAGTGTATGTGACATACCATGTAGGTGGATATCTACAGTGTATGTGACAAACAATGTTGGTGGATATCTAAAGTGTATGTGACATACCATGTAGGTGGATATCTACAGTGTATGTGACATACAATGTAGGTGGATATCTAAAGTGTATGTAACATACAATGTAGGTGGATATCTAAAGTGTATGTAACATACAGTGTAGGTGGATATCTACAGTGTACATGGCATACAATGTAGGTAGATATCTAAAGTGTATGTTCCATACAATGTAGGTGGATATCTACAGTGTATGTGACATACAATGCAGGTAGATATCTAAAGTGTATGTGACATACAATGTAGGTAGATATCTTAAGTGTATGTAACATACAATGTAGGTAGATATCTAAAGTGTATGTTCCATACAATGTAGGTGGCTATCTACAGTGTATGTGACATACAATGTAGGTGGATATCTACATTGTATGTGACATACAATGTAGGTGGATATCTAACGTGTATGTGACATACAATGTAGGTAGATATCTAATGTGTATGTAACATACAATGTAGGTGGATATCTAAAGTGTATGTGACATACAATGTAGGTGGATATCTAAAGAGTATGTGACATACAATGTAGGTGGATATCTACAGTGGATGTGACATACAATGCAGGTAGATATCTAAAGTGTATGTGACATACAATATAGGTGGATATCTACAGTGTATGTGACATACAATGCAGGTAGATATCTAAAGTGTATGTGACATACAATATAGGTGGATATCTACAGTGTATGTGACATACAATGTAGGTGGATATCTAAAGTGTATGTAACATACAATGTAGGTGGATATCTACAGTGTATGTGGCATTCAGGGTATAATTTTTGAAATATTGTACATACTTACCAGCTTTTCAAAATTTCCATGGGGGAGATTGTGCCTGCTCGGAATAAAAAGGGTAAATAAAATGCATGTATGTACACCCTAGGGGAAAATAACATTTGTAAATGAAATCATCAGAACTTAGAAAATAGGAATAGTTAAGTAAATTCACTGGTTGCAAATGCTCAATTTAAGGGTCCAAAATCAGGAGTCTTTCTCCTAAATAGGGAGAGTTGGCAAGTATGAACACAATACATGGTCTCTTTATCTACAGGAGTTCATGGAGAAGCTGGGGTGAAGAGGACTAAGGTATTTGGATTAATTACTTGACACTTTTATCAAAAAATTTCACGTCAGATATTCAAATTCATCAATTCAATCATTAAAATATTCAGTAATCTTTTTCAGGATTTTAAAATTTCTGATATACCTGTACATGTTCATCATTACCATTAGTATTGTTATCTATAAAAGACATTGATATCAACATTATCATGGCATTGTATATTAATGTACATGGATACTTGTATTTGGGATGTCACAATGGCTGTTGGATTAATATCATTTATTGACATACATATTTACTTTGATTTATACTACCTGCTGTTTTATGTATATTCTATCAGTTCTGGTTGATTATTTATCACACAGCTGGTCAGTGCTAAGGAAGCAGTCAAGATGATGATAGACCACATGACCAACCCCAGTAATTGTACACATCTTCCTGTCAAAAAAGGTAAAATGTTTCTCTTTACTTGACATGTATCAAAAATTGCTTGTCAAAAAATTGTTGTCACAGTTTCTTGTAAGTCACACTTTTATAGAGATTTTAAATATAATATAATGATCATGAAATTAAATAAAGAGGTGAACAATAAATCACATATTATCAAGAAAAATGTCCACCTCATTACCTAAATTGTAGAGGTCATTAATGAATGTGACATTGTAGGTGACCGAGTGGCTTGTATGATCAATAACCTGGGAGGGACGTCCATGTTGGAGCTAAACATCATTGCCAAGGAGACCATAGAATTACTAGGTAAGGAATTGTATCTGTGTATTGTAACTGTCAAGTAAATAAAAACAGTTAAAGGCATGTTGGTAGTGTGGCCTATAGCTGGAATATCCATTTTTTTGTAAAAAAAATTGTATCTCGAAGTAATACAGAATTTAAATTATCTCCCCTGTTCGAGGAGTTAAATTCTGTAGACAAAAAGCCTAAGTGTTATTGTAGAGAGAGGCTATTCTATCTATTTCTTGGTGCGACTGTCTGCTCTGGTTGAAATTTTCTTGGTGTTTTTTTTAATAGGATTAAAAAGATGGACGCAGGCAAATATCTGCCTCTATATCCATATCAATGATACAATACATACATATAATTAATTAAAAACTTATAAATGCCAAGTGATCATATTTCATCTATAATTTTTCCATTGTTCATCTAAATTGACCTCAAATTCTTTAATTGTAGTTTTTCTCTCAGTATTCTGTTTTTGCTCTATTTGTTTTGCTCCCAGTATTCAATGTTTTCCCTATTTGTTTTGCTCTCATACTTTATTTGCTCTAAGTGTTCTGTTTTTGCCCTACTTGTTTTACTCTCAGTATTCTGTTTTTGCCCTACCTGTTTTGCTCTCAGTATTCTGTTTTTACCCTAAGTATTCTGTATTTGCCCTATTTGTTTGCTCTCAGTATTCTGTGTTTGCCCTATTTGTTTGCTCTCAGTATTCTGTATTTGCCCTATTTGTTTGCTCTCAGTATTCTGTGTTTGCCCTTCATGGTTTGCTCTCAGTATTCTGTATTTGCCCTATTTGTTTGCTCTCAGTTTTTTGTATTTGCCCTACCTGTTTTGCTCTCAGTATTCTGTTTTTGCCCTACGTATTCTGTATTTGCCCTATTTGTTTGCTCTCAATATTCTGTATTTGCCCTATTTGTTTGCTCTCAGTATTCTGTGTTTGCCCTGCTTGGTTTGCTCTCAGTATTCTGTATTTGCCCTACTTGTTTGCTCTCAGTATTCTATATTTGCCCTACCTGTTTTGCTCTCAGTATTCTGTTTTTACCCTAAGTATTCTGTATTTGCCCTATTTGTTTGCTCTCAGTATTTTGTGTTTGTCCTTCATGGTTTGCTCTCAGTATTCTGTATTTGCCCTATTTGTTTGCTCTCAATATTCTGTATTTGCCCTATTTGTTTGCTCTCAGTATTCTGTGTTTGCCCTTCTTGTTTTGCTTTCAGTATTCTGTATTTGCCCTACCTGTTTTACTCTCATTATTCTGTTTTTGCCCTACCTGTTTCACTCTCAGTATTCTGTATTTGCCCTGCTTGGTTTGCTCTCAGTATTCTGTGTTTGCCCTGCTTGGTTTGCTCTCAGTATTATGTGTTTGCCCTACTTGTTTGCTTTCACTGTTCTATGTATGATCTGCCTTCTTTTCACTCAACTTACTTTGTTTGCCCTCCATGTACAGAACTATTGTAGCTGCTTTGAGAAATCGTAATCTCTGTTGACAGAGAGCCGAGGAGTGGTTGTTGAGAGGGCTTACTGTGGGACCTTCATCACATCCCTGGAGATGGCTGGAATATCTATCACACTGCTACACCTGGACGACACTCTGAGGCGCTGCCTGGGTAAGTTACCTAATGATGCCTGATATCAGTAAATAGTCACACATAACCCACATCAGAATTTTTGGGTGAAAAAATCTTACTTCTTTTTCCCGCATGTACATACAATGTATTAACTTGTAGCATGATATAATTATTTTTCAGGTGGACTTACTGAAAGTTTTTTACCTTATGCTAACATCTGTTTCACTACTAGTGTGTTAATACCAGAAGTTGTTTAATCATGTAGTTTCATTCGTTTACAGATGCACCCACAACTGCCCCAGCCTGGCCTCGCCCACTTCTGCCCTGTGGGACGATGACTCGCAAGACCCCTGTCAGGATGCCCAGGGAGGACATACAAGCCAAGGTCACTAAAACTGGTCCCAAGATGGCGACTGTTGAGTCAGGTAAAACACAAAATGTACTACAGTTCACAATTAAAAACTTTTTATCAGAGATAAACCATTAGAGTTGTCATTTCTTTGTTCCTTTTACATTATTCAAGTGGAAAACAGTGATGAAATAGTTTGAATTATGTTATTTTTCACATCTTATAATACATACTATTGTAAAATATTTGCAGCTGAAGCAAGCCTTATTCATGATTGTCTGAAGCTGGCAGGAGAACGGCTTGTGGCTGCAGAATCACAATTGAATGAGCTGGACCGTGAGAGTGGAGACGGAGACTGTGGCAGCACTATGGCTAGGGGCGCTCATGGTAGGTAGTCCAGGAGAATGGTGACAACAGGGCCTAGTGATCACAAACATTTGTCAAAACATAGGTTCACTTCAATTTAATTTTCGCCCTCTGTAATGAGGGCAAATTTATCATTACAGTGAATGTAAGTAAATGATATGCAGTTATATACATATTGGTAGTTATTAAATGTGAAGGGCAAAATTAACTTGGGGAGAAAATTGGTTTTATGGGCATAGGGTGAAAGTGTGACTTTGCAAACATTTCCTGGTATCACAGTATACTATAAGTTACTGTCAGCATTTCGTATATGTCACAATAATAATAGCGAAAATAAATAGTGTTAATACAATAGTGACCAGAGATCATGTCATTACAATAGCGACAATAATTAGATTTTATTATAAACAGAAAATACCAATATCGTTATTTTTGTTGAGCATTTTTGTTTCTATGTTAAAAGTTGTTGTGAACAAATTTTCAATGATTTGATCAAACTCATTTTAAGATATTTATATGTTGTTGTTTTTCTAATAATAGTTTCAATTTATTTGGTATACTGTATATACCCAGGTATATTGGCTAGTTTGGGAAGCAAGGAAAATCCAAAGTTACCGATCTCTTGTCCGGGTGGCCTTGCCCTGACCTTAGCTAGTGCTGCAGAGGACACAATGGGAGGGTCATCGGGAGGGGTAAGTTTATACCGTACTTAAACAGTTTACATCATATATACCTATATCCCTACCTGAAGAAAGATTGATAGGATATTTCCCAACCTGGATTGTAGGAAAGACAAATTTCCAAAAAGGACTTTTCAACTCTCAAGATACAGACAGTTTCTTTTTCTCCACCATTTTCCCGCAAAACCAAATTAACAACACACATGTGTACTATGGAAATCAGTGATGATCTTTATGGTAGTTTAGATGTTTAAACATTGTCAGTAGCATTTGAATTGTTTATATAATGAATTGCATTAAAATTTCAAAAGGGAGTAGTAGATGCTAAGGTTTCATACTGGTTATTTAATAATCCAGCCAACAATGTAATATTTTTTCGCAAACTTCAATTTCTCATTGGTGATTTGCGAAAATCTTCAGGTTTGCCAGAATACCCCGAGTATCCCGTGTACCCAGAGTAGGAAACACAAAAAACATGTTTTGATTTTTTTAATGAACAATTATTGAAAATTCTATCATTATCTGCATATTTGGATATTTTTAAATACATTTCTTTGAAAAATTCTGCAATTAGAAATTTTAAACATTTTTTTCTGATATAAGAACATATATTTGGATATTACGTGGGTTTTTTTAAGGTTTTACGAAATATGTTCCATTTTATAGATTAATTAAGGTCATACATGAAAATGTATTTCTATACCAATGATACTAAAGTAGTAAAAGAATTCTTTACTGATTTTTAAATGTCTTTGTTAAAAATATTAATCACCTAATGCTATGATTCGATCACACTTCCATGTGTGGTAGTGAAAATATTGCAGGGTTCAAATTGTTCAGAATTGAGTTGTAAGGGTGTTGTTGGACCCGCTATAACTTTATCCTAATATCACTTGTTACATTACAGTTGTACAGCCTTTTCTTCACTGCTGCCTCCACCTGTCTACAGACTACTGTCTCCCCCAACACTTACTGTGACGCTCTCATTGCCGGAATACAAACGATGATGAAGTAATCCAACATCATTTTAATTCTCAAAATAAGTTAAAAAAATAAAAATTATCAAAAAATAAACAAAGGTCTACAGGTTGATTATATTCTTTAAGAATATGTTGCACTTATTTTAGAATGTAACTGTAATTTACCTGCACGATCACTGTAGACAGTTCAGATGTATACAAATTGTATTATACATACGCTGCTAGTTTTTATTCTTTTAAATCCATTTCACTTTATATATCTTTTGTCGTCTACTCACAAAAACCTAAAAAGAGTTATCTTTCTTGGATTAATTTCCCCACGTTCCCTTTTACAACAGGTACGGTGGTGCTGAGCCAGGGGACAGAACTATGGTAGGCTAGAGCACCTCTCAATCCAATGCTCCTCCCACCCATTCAATTAGATACCGTAGTGACTGGTCGTCCATAATAAAGCACAATGGTTTTTGATCTTTTAACTGTTGGAAATCACAATTTGAAAAAGTGTTACATGTAATGATTTACATGAATAGGGATATTTTTTAGATATTAATGTCTGTATTTACGCAAATTTGTTACTGTTCGCCTAGTCAAGGTAATATTAAAACATAAATTTCACTTTATAAAGAAGTTTGAGAACCTGATGCTGAGATATTCCATTTCTTTTGAATAATAATATACATGTGTGTACTTACAGCTGGATCCTCTACACTCGGCCAGCCAGGCGTGGTCAGCAGCTCTGTCCAGCCACTCACCACTGGATGCTTTCCACCTGGCTGTAGAGGTCAGTACAGTTACTGCCCAGACATCTGTCACAGTTCTCTAGATATATAATTCACAGAAAACAGTACTCTGTGATAGTCAATTTCAGGTTCTCTTCATTAGATTGAAATAAACTACATTTTGTCTCTGAATGTTATTGAATTATTATTTACTTGCACTTTGATATATTTTATTTTCACATTATAAGATTCTGTTCATAATTTGATCAGCAACACAAATTACTCATAAATGATAAATACCATCGAAGCTTTAGTAATGGTGACAGTATACCCTGTTCCTCCCAAGGCTGTAAATGTTAACTTGACTATCTAATAGTGACAATATGTTCCCTTATTTCCCAGTTTACAGAAGTAGTAAACGATTTCTTGAGATAATTTATGTGAACAATGTACTCCTCTTTTCCAGGCTGCAGAGAAGAGTGCAGAAGAGACGGTCACTATGAAAGCTCAGGCTGGTAGGGCCAGCTATGTCAGCGCTGACCACCTGAAACACCCTGACCCAGGTGCACGAGCAGTGGCCATTTGGATGAGGGCAGTGCTGGAAGCCCTGACGTCATAATGGGTGGCAGCTCAAACAGTGCAATCCAGTGTCCTGTCTTTGTGGATGAGAGTGATTGTTTTATTCCAGACCGTAGGTTCATCCTTAATTGTCGTTAATGTTACCTTAACCACTGACGTCACTTTTAATCTGCAATCTTAACTCACATCCAGACGTTCCATCGCGGATTATACTCAGGTATCACAATTAGAAGGAAGATTGATAGTGTGATTTAGCTTTATTAAACAGGTGCTATATATTCTGGTTGTGATTTCGTAAACACTAACATGCAAGTGTCCAATAATTGTATGTCTATTCGCGAGTGTGGAAGTCTTCCTGCAATGGTGTCATAGTACTTGTTCTGTATTAAGTTATACAAAATGTATCTTGCCAGAGAAAATGTTTATTGTGGTGCGTGAATGAATGTCTATACAGATAAATTAATCCTTGCTCATAATTTTACAAATCAACGTCGATGATATTGTGATATTGACTTTTAACATTCAACATATCATGTTAATATATTGTGATATTGTTTATAAAACAATACGAAGATTAAAATTTATAGTAAAAGTAATTAAATGGTACACCTCAAAGTTTTTATTTTCATTTGTATTTGCAAGTATTATTCTATATGCACTATACAGTGTCAAGTGTATGTATATTTACAATTAAACGCAGTGATGATGTCACAAGTGTCCAATAAGTTACATAAACTGTCCAATAAGTTTCCCACCTGTCGTATAAGTTTTCCGCTTATTAGACAGTTGTGACCTCACATTCTAGAGATGAGATGGGCGGAGCTAAATTGGAGTAATTCAGCGATATAGGTATTAACAAAAATAACAAACACCTGGATTTTTTTAGTATAATATTAAATCGACGTATTGAATACCATTTGTGTACTATCCTTAGAATCCAACACATTCGAAATTCAACAGCTACAGTACTACTGTACCGGTGGTGTATATATTCGCGGAATTCAACAGCTACAGTACTACTTTACCGGCGGTGTGTATATCCGCGGAATTCAACAGCTACAGAACTACTGTACCGGCGGTGTATATATCCCCGGAATTCAACAGCTACAGTACTAGTACTACTGTACCGGAGGTGTATATATCAGCGAAATTCAACAGCTACAGTACTAGTACTACTGTACAGGCGGTGTATATATTCGCGGAATTCAACAGCTACAGTACTAGTACTTCTGTACCGGCGGTGTATATATCCGCTAAATTCAACAGCTACAGTACTACTGTACCGGCGGGGTATATATCAGCGGAATTCAACAACTACAGTACTACTGTACCGGTGGTGTATATATCCGCGTAATTCAACAACTACAGTACTACTGTACCGGCGGTGTATATATCAGCGGAATTCAACACCTACAGTACTACTGTACCGGCGGTGTGTATATCCGCGGAATTCAACAGCTACAGCACTAGTACTACTGTACCGGCGGTGTATATATCTGCGGAATTCAACAGCTACAGTACTAGTACTACTGTACAGGCGGTGTATATATTCGCGGAATTCAACAGCTACAGTACTACTTTACCGGCGGTGTGTATATCCGCGGAATTCAACAGCTACAGCACTAGTACTACTGTACCGGCGGTGTATATATCTGCGGAATTCAACAGCTACAGTACTAGTACTACTGTACAGGCGGTGTATATATTCGCGGAATTCAACAGCTACAGTACTACTCGACCGGCGGTGTATATATCCGCGGAATTCAACAGCGACAGTACTACTGTACCGGCGGTGTGTATATCCGCGGAATTCAACAGCTACAGCACTAGTACTACTGTACCGGCGGTGTATATATTCGCGGAATTCAACAGCTACAGTACTACTGTACCGGCGGTGTATATATTCACGGAATTCAACACAATTAAAATTCATCAGCTACATATATCCTGCCAATAAAACTTGTTTCTCAAGCGTCTTTTGACTGAGTTATAAAATTAACCTCTTCAGTGTCGGATAACATTGTGATATATGAACACATGTTAACTTCACAGAATCCAAAATCATGCATGATCTGAAAATAAGTTCACCTTTACTGTCCAATAAGTTAAATGGGTCAGTGAATACCAATAGAGAATTTGTTACCTGAATCTGCATTATAGACATTCAGAGGGGATCGTTTTAAGTTACATATAAGCCTCAAACTGTCCAATAAGTGAGAGAGAAAAACAGGTCTGGGGCCTCCCAACATGTTTCTTTCCTAGTGGTAGCTATTTCAGGACAATAAATACTCTGCATCTATTTCTTGCCTATATCAACGACATGTCTAGTCGCGCAGAGTCCAGACGTCTGCCTTAAGCTTATGTACCAGAAAATAAGACCTAAAGACGATGCGTCACTCCTTCAAAAAAAACATGAAAACATCATCAATTGGGAACAAATATTGCAAATGCAGTTAATTAGATCCAGGCAATTGTGAAGTCCTCTCTGTTACTAAAAAGCGAAATCCAATACACCATGACTACTTCATCCTCGGTCAAACCTTACATTATGTCGACTCGGCAAAATATTTAGGCCTAACATATCTAACAATTTATCCTGGAACACCCACACTGATGTTGTTGCTAAAAAAAGCAAACAACAGTTTGTCTTTTTTTTTTTTAAAGGAACATTTGACAATGCCCACCTAAAGCCAAAGATGGTGCTTTCAACACCTTTGTCACACCGATTGTTGAATATGCCTAAAGAGCATGGGACACAGTTTTGCCTATGTATCCAATAGTAACATGCTTACTGATCTTCGATATAGGGACCTCTACAGTCTAGAAGAACCAAAGTTAAGACCATATTGCTGTACAAAATTGTTAACCACCCAGTAGACATTCCAGTGAAGCCATACATCATACCATCAGGTGAGTCTCTACAAGAGGTCACAACATATATAGTAGACCTCCAACCACACTGCCGGACACTGTTATACCAACACTCTTTCCCGGGTGCCATCAGAATTTGGAACACCTTGCCACAACCACTGGTCAGTTTGCCAACCCTCGATGGGTTCAGACAGGCACTGACCACTTCCACTGTATCACAATTGAATAAACCTATTTTAATTGTACATACACATTGTTAACTGTATATACTAGCCCTGGATCCAGACCTATTTGTAGTCGCTACTTTTCAAACGTTTTGATACTTTTATCAGGTGAGTGATGATTTACTAAGCAGAACCAAGTACAATTTCAGTGAACGATAGTGTGTTACCATGGCAACTACTACCTCAAATAACTGAATCCTCTATTTCGGGATTCCTTTTTGGTCGGTGTTGGGGCCTCAAAAATCATTTCTTCATCCAAAACCAAGCAAATCTAGTTATTTGTGCAAGTAGGCCCGGAATGGTAATATGTTTGCAGTCAAGTATATAGGCGTATGCCTTTTTTTCTGCCAACACAACTATGTTCATACTTAGAGCAGATCGTTGAGTGTGGTATGAACATGGGGATAAAGAAATACCGGCTCGTGTTTTGTTTTCAATATAGATTACAAGCTGCTTATTCTGTTTTGAATGATAAACCTGATTCATCTGATCCACTTTGAAAGTAAAACCATACCAACATGTTATTGTTTTGTCTACCGTCATGCGTAGTCATCCACACAAAAAAAACCACCAGTTTCTTACAATTCTAATTCCAATTGATATTCTGAGTCTCTCGATAGTTTGGACCTACATGAGGAACATTCGAAGCATTATTTCAAAGAGGGTATTTAGATGGACAGGCATTACATTCCAGCTGGGCCATACTTAAGGAGAAATTATTCTAGGGTAATGTAAATTCAGTTATGGCGTTTGCTTGCTGTCGGAAAGCTTGGAAGTAACGGGTTAAGAATACTTCTTAGGAACTATTGGGGTTATTGTGTATCGAAAATACGTTTGTATGTTAGCTTCGACGGATTTGATGTAGTGTAACAGAGAAACAATGCACGGACAGACCAGGATTCGAACCCGGGACCTCAGAACATCGATGGACGTTCTTACCAATTGGCCTACCTGGTCGTCGGCGATCGACCCAGTCTAGTTCCGCTACAGTAGGATATTACTGAAGTTAATGACATTTATCTCCATGTTGGCGAAATCTACTTTCATGAAATTCCGACCAATCGTAAGCATATCATCAAGAACTTTCTTCAGATCTGAAACCCTTCTGGCTTTTCTTTCATACTAGTATAATCGGAGGACAAACTATGTGACTTCCAATACACTTTGACAAAAACTTCCTTATGTTTTCCGATGATGTTTGTTGCCTGACGAAAATGGTTATGTACCTTAAAAAGCATGACCTGGTAACACAAAAATTGATTTTTCTCGAACCAGAAGAAAACGCACAAAGAGCTAGGATATAATTTTCTTGTTTTGTTTTTACATAAATAGAGGTATTGAAATGCATATGAATAACATTTATGACAGCAAGATATTCAGTTTTCCACAAAACCATCATCAAGGGTGCGCTCCCAGGAATCATATAATATGTTTGTAAGCAGGTGAGTTTCATACCAAAATATTTACATTCTGTATGCTTAGACCCATTGACAAAAATTACATTCATAAATGCATAACACAGGTGTTCATAGAATCTCAGCACGTGGGAACTGATAGTAACCTGATCACACTGCGTAGTAATACACTACAAAAACTACTCACTCGGAACGACCGACCTAGATGCTTAATTCTTACATCTTAAAATATTATTGAACTGTGCTTTGTGAAATATCCACGTATTCACGTGTCCTGTGCTACAAATAAACATTGAATATGGAACTACATTTTGTTGTGTTATTGTTGTTGACGGTTGCTAAGATCTCTCACGATAGTGTCACATTTCCCCGCGAAAAAACACTGTTCTCGCCACTGCGTTGCACCCGTGTATAAGCAGGAACAAACCCTGTTTATTTGTTTTATTCGTTGTTATATCGATCCACTGAAATGATTCGTCAATGTAAATTTAAGGAATGATATTTATTTTTTCAACATTTATGAGGTCATAACAACAATGGGTTTTTGGACATATTTTACATGAATCGCTAACGCGATTCATTCAATATGTCCATAAACCCATTGTTGTTATGACCTCATAAATGTTGAAAAAATAAAAATCATTCCTTAAATAACTGTTAAGAATATGTATTTCAATCCTTGATTAAAAACTACGACCAGGCCTTGTACGTGACTTGCGTTTCGTAATGGTACATGTATATGTCTATCACAAAGGCATTGCTATATTACATAGGTAAAAATACGGCTGGACACTTTAGGAATTAATCATAACTGTTGACTTACCATATCATTTTTTTCTCCGCCTTCATCGTTCTGTCTTCCGTTACAAGATATAAGATACAAGAAACTTTATTTAACGTCGCATACAGGTAAACAAGGAACATTAGCTCTTGAGAGCTATTATTGCGACAAACATATGTAAAATCACGATAACATATTATATTACGAGTAAAGGGACATAATCACATATATTAATAAAAAGCATTAAACCGGCATTAAAAAAACAATTCCGTTTTAATCGCGTGTAATTTCTGTCAAACCCTACATATACGTCGGTGACAATCTTCACGTGCTTATGATGTTTCAGTGAAAACAATAGAATGACGTCACGTTAATTAGTATGTAGATGACAGAAAATCAGAACTCTCGCAATAAGATTGTTTTGACTCTCCCACAAAATAGGAAATACTCCATCAACCGTTAGGAAGTGGTGCCAGCGACCCGGATTGCGATCACCTTTCGTGTTGTATCAAGTGACTGCGAGGTCGTTTGGTGTCAGTTGTAATATAAGTACTACAGTGAAGTCGGACGATTTTTTCATAATTTCTATATATATTTATTTTCTACAAGCAGGTATAATCCATATGTATACAAACAGTAAAAACTTGTATAAAATAGTGTGTATACTATCACAGAAAATGTACTATTTCTCGTGCATATTTGAAAATTGAGAGCAAAAACGCAAATATTTTGTTTTACAGTAAATTTAATATACGAATATTTACCTTTGTAGAGCGAAGAAAAAAATATCTATATTAGGCTGCGGGTGTACCAAAATTAAATACGACAACATTTCAAACGAGTACTAATCTTTTAAAAGAATTTAGAAAAAAGACATGTTTCATTTTTCCACACATCAAATATAGATTTTATTATATAATGGGAAGGGAAGCGAGCCGTCTATTCCACGCACAGTAGTGTATCCCCAGATTGGTAATCTCAAATGAGTTCAATTCTATTTTGAAAAGCCAGGCAATGTAGAAATATACAATATATCTCCTTCATGAATTTTAAGGTGTTTTTTTTAAACATTTTCATTGTCAGATGACATAACTACAATTTAAATTTGACTTTTCTTAATAAAATAGTACAAGCAATAAACTGCTAGACTAATGAAAACCTCCAAATATGGTAAACAGCTTTTCAAATGTACAGTTTCCTCTTTAAAAACGCATAATTTACATTCACTGAATACATAACATGGTAGGTCGGTGTATCAGAAGTTTATTATGTAGGATACTATCAGCTGTTGGGTACACTCGCGTCAACAGGATATTGTAAAAATTCTTTGCAATCAATAGTATTTTCGTGAACAATATCGCAATGAATGATGTTTCTTGTTTAAAATCATACACACACATAGATTATGTTGTTTTCTTCCCTATTTTTTTAATGATATTTACTTTTTTATACAAAAATAATATATATAATGTAGATTTTAGTGTATAGTTGTACTTAGACCCCGTAGCGAGCACTAACTAACTCCAGCCTCCACGGGGCGTACAAAACTTGGTAGTCGTTCGTCCTCCAGAATGTCGGCGGCTAACTCACTCTCCGAGTCAGAGCTACACAGGCATCTGTCAACGGAATAAGTCACATTAAGGATAACATTTATTTATATTTAAGAATCTTTTAATTTGAATTAAATCGAGCTTCAAAATTTCAGAATAATATTATATTTCTAAATTAAAAAGAAATAACAATGTGTGTTCAAATGTCATGTTTGCTAAGAACTGTTTGGCATGAAAGGTGTTGTGCGCCGTTTTATATACATGAACGTTGTATGCCATGTTGTGTTTTTTTGCGTGCCAAGTGTTGTATAATGTGTTATTTGTAGATTGTGTGTCATGTGTTGTATGGCAAGCTATATGTTGTGTAGCGTTTTTTTGTAATACGGGTTATGTGTTGTAAGACGAGCAAAGTGATGCATTGCGTGTTATGCGAAGTAGCTGGGTGGTCTGTGGCGCTGTGGAAAGCTCTCTTGCCTTTTACCAAAACGTCCGGGGTTCGATTCCCCGATGGGACGTGAAAACCCTGGTAATAAAAGTTGATAGAATTTGATTTGTAACTGTTTAAAATATAAAATAAATAAATGCGTTTTATGGCGTGTTATGTGCTAACATTAAGTGTTATGATTTTACAGCGTGCCAAGTGTTTATGGTGTATTTTGCGTTGTAACGACGTGTTACTTACTCCTGTATGGTTTTCTTTGTCACAAATTTGGCTCCAATCGTTTCGAGCTCCTCTGCATATTCATACAACTGAAATTAAAAAAAAAATACAAATACAAATACAAATGAAGCTGAATTAAATGAATCACCAACCTATTCTACTCCAACCCACTGAGTATACAGCTTTATTTACATTTCCATTGCAAGTTCCTCTTTAAGCATTAACCGGCAGAAATTGCGTTCATAGAGCTATGAACAAAATTTGATCAGCGACATTTTGAAATTTCTCCCCCGCCCCAAATAACATACTTCAACATCGGAAATATAAGGGAATCTTAATTTTTAGGTTTAGGTCAATAATAACTAACAATTTACAAATTGAATATAAGGACTTAACGACCTTTTTATGTTCATGACATGTTCATTGAATATACATGTTACCTGTTACCGATTTGCGTTCATTTAAGGATTGATCTTCATTATAATTTCATGCTGGCCCACATCCCATTTTCTGGCCAGTATTCATGAAACTCTTCTCATGCTCAAGCATGTATTCTGTACTCAAATCAACCATTTTGTTACTCGCATACATTACATGTATGTAACACTGTTGAAAAATTCAAACAGAATTTTAAAATGCCCACTGACTTTAAATAAAATTTATCTTATCATATCTTTTATTAGTTTTAATTGATATTATGTGATTTTCTTTAATTTATTACAGTATGAGCATGCTAACTGTTTCATGAATACTGGTCTGTTTATTACAATGTACCTAACAATGACCCACTAATACCTCTAAGTCCAAGTAGAACTTGTGGAGCTTCTCAAGAAGGGTCTTGCTGATCCCGAGAGGCACGTGGTTGGTGTCCAGTAGAAATACTGCCCTTTGTGGCTCTATCACATTGCTGCGTCCCTCCAGACTGTCTTGTAAAGCGTCAATAACAGGTTGGTAATCATCAAAATCTAATGTTTCCGTCCAAAACTCATCTTCGATTTCTCTCATGGACATGTGCACCCAAGATGTTGGGTCGTCCGGGATCGGCTCGCAAGGACCAATTGGAGTGCGGTTCAGTTCTGCTTTCCATTCGGCACTGGACAGGAAGTTCCATTTGGAAATCGAAGGTTCTAAATCGTTGACGGAAATAATACCGAGTTCATTGTCCTTTGAATCAATTCTGGGCTGTCTTGTGAAGGTGTAGCTTTCTTTGGCTGGATAGTCTACAGGTTCTGAAGGTGGTGTTATTATATCTTTAGCTGCTTTCGATTCACATTCCCGAGGTCCTTTGATCCGGATACGGGGCATTTTACCAGTGGCTCTAATACAGAGAACTGGTTCTGGGCACATATATGAGGGATAGAAGAGCCCAAAATGTTCTACTGCATGTTGTTGATGTGCTGTGCGCTGCATGGCGCCGGTATACTTCAGTTTCGGACGTAACGACACCACCTTGTTCCTGTAACTACAGCCACATCCTATCCCGTCAACTTGTTTTCGTTTGGCTGTTGGTTGGAGCCCTGTGACGAGGCTGCTTTGTGACGTCACAGTTACATGACGTCATAATATTTTGACGTGAACATGTATAATACTTGGGACATCTTTTTCTCAAATTGTCATTTTGTAAGAAAAGCTCCATATAAACATCGTCCATGTCCACAATCGTAAATGAATACAAAATTAACCAATTTATTTAAATTTGCTACCCTATCGGACCCTGCGCTAGGCTATGGTTCAAAGCTATTCATTAATTAACGAACATGGTTTATTGTTTACGTAGTACGGCGGGGTATACAGTGTTGATAGTTCAATTGATGTGTTATAGAGTTTCGTTCAGAATAGCAAATGATCATGATTGACACTTTCCCTTTTTAACAATAGCTAAATCGACAATTTCTAACTTTCCCGTCATCTCTAAAAGCATAAATGGCCAGATTTTGAAGTATCACTATAAAAATGACGTTACGGTCATATCTTGACATGATTCGTAATTCCGTGAGTACCCGTATATGACAGCTCATAGTGCCCCAAACTGATAAGCACGAGTGGGACTGGCGCTAGAGTGAAGGAGGTACAGTATTGTTTCATTAAAACAAAACCCCGATTATCAGTCATGTGGGCCTGTCTTGACGACAAGTGATCGTCACAGAATGCGTGCCTAGGGGTCAGGGCGAGAGGGATCAGTGGTGTGTATGTCTGTTTACCGATAGGGCTATCACACTCGAGATGACCGGATAACGCGACAGTTGACAGTGACTTAATGACTCTCCTCCTCTAGCTGTAGTTATACACGGGACACTGGGGATACACATTTGCAATGTAAGAGACAAAACTGTAAGCCTCAACCAGCTAGCGGACGATACGTCCGTCCGTCTTTTTGTCGCTCCTGTCATTGCAACCCACACAACACCAATAAACATGCTTGACAGGTGTTGATAAATTTGGGATTCTTGATTCCCGTTTCTCCGCTGCTCTTAATACACACATAACGGATTTTAAGCAATTAAAAGCATTTCCACTTATGAATAATTCTTCATTGATAACATGAAACATAACGCACACTTTAAGACACGGTAGTCTAGTGGTACATGTAGGATGCCGGGCTCGTGACCGAAAGGTTGTGGGTTCGAGTCACGTCACGGCAATGTGTCGTATCTTTGAACAAGATACTTTATTCCGCTTATTCCAGTCTACCCAGCTTTGTTAATGAGTACGTGGTTGGAAAGTGCTAGAATTGGTGAATGCTAGCTGTGAGCGCCGAAATGGCAGCACCGGCTGTATGCTCCCCAGGGAGTTGAGAAAGATATTGGCTGTTTGCTAAGGCCCTATCACCACGGATAACAATTTCTGAACCGCTTTGAGACGACCTACAAATCAGGTTGTGATTAAGCGGTATATATATAAGAACCTCAAATTATTATTATTATTATTATCTTTATTAATTTGATTGAGGAAAATGAGGAAGAAAACGGGTCATACCCTATGTCTTAAGAGTAAGAAAGAGAAATATCTACATACATAGTTAACCCCTCCGCGGAAGCAGTCTTGGGTTGGGTTAGACAGTCAAGAATATCCTCATCGGTGAGTTTCCTTTGTCCTAGCTGCAAGGTATTAGTCCAAAATGCATGACCTGAAATGAGGACAACTAGGTACTGGAATAGAACAGTAGTTTCCTGTACCACAAGTGGTACCCACTATGATGCTTCCTGTCAGTACGTTGTAGGTCACCACGTATCTAACACACAGTGAGCAAGTCTTGTAAGTACTAAGATATCAAAGTTTAAAAACAGGTCTTAATGACTATTACATTAGCTTTTCTCGTGGTGTAGATTGAAGATTATATGGTAGATAACCCTGGTTACGTTATGGATTGTTTAACAAGGTGTGTTTAATTTAGTCACAGCATTGTTTCACATTTAAAACTTTTTTGTTGTTAACCAAAACAGGAAGATGAGTAACTGGTTAATGGTGTTGATTCCTGTCTATAAGCTTTGATAAATGCACTAATATTGTTTTCGAAGCAGTACACATCCTCAGTCATCGCGAGACAAATCTCAATTTATTAGTTATTGTGTAAGTAACAGTTTTTGTAATACTTGATTGTGTAAGATAAAGGTGACTCGGAGAATAGAAACCTCCACACGCTTGTTTGTCTCGTGAAATATATGACAATGCCAAAAATGGTGTTTTCAGGAAGAAGCGACAACGCCAAAGACGTTAATGGAACACAGTTTTTGGTGAGTTTCCTGCCAATGCAGTATAATTATGTCAATATCATGCCAAAATTCGGAGAACCCGTTATTTTACTATTAGATTGTTTCCAGCTTTAGATAGGTTTGAAAGACCATGGATGTCCAACGGCAGATGGGCGTTCCGTTCTATTAATATCAATAGCATATACGTACATGTATTTGTTTGGAAAATGAGAATACTGTTCTTCTATATAGATGTTTGATATATATTGTATTGTACATTTTGTTAGTGAAATAGACTGCATGTAAATTAAATTTAAAAAAAAAGGAGCAAAGCCTGTCAATTTTTACCGTTACGTGACCGCGAAATTCTTTTGATGTACATCAAAGGATCGAACTAGTCTTCTTGTCTCATCAACGAGGTGGCGCACACTGAGCTTTCAATTTTGCTATGACGCTATGACATATTCCAGGGGTGTAGAGAGCGAAAATGAGCGTAACCCCTGGATATCGAGGATGACTGTCGTATGGCGTTCGAAAATCTGCTAGGTCTTACAATGTCTTACTCTCTTGTGTTCCGAGTGCATGTTGTGTACTACAGTATAAAGCACAAAGACAGAAGAATTGTTTGTTGTTGTTCTTTATTTGAAATAAAAATATATTGCACCTTTTATGACACAAAATAGAGCTGTAACGAGGTCAAGGTCAGAAAAGGCTGACCATTAGTACACACATAGTCAACTTCTATAACACGCACGCGACCAGCAGCATATATACGCCGAGTATAAACTTAAGAATTTTAAAATCTGTAATTAATGCAATCATTGCAACTAAAAATATCGATCGAATATTTTAAACATACTGTACTTTCATTTCATCTAAACAAAATCAAAAATAATCATACGGCGTACAAATTGTGTTACAACATGTTATTCTATATTTGAATAAATTATACGGTAACTACTCATCGACTGAGAAAGATATATACACAAAAGTTAACTTACAATCAATATCATAAACTTTCAATTCCTCATAAATATACATATTTAATATTTACAATTCAACGAGGTGAAGATATATATAGCACAAAAAGACCAAACGTCATGAGAACGAAGTAACTGGAACAAAGTATCGAGATTACACATAAACAACAAAAACATACACAAGTACAAGTAACGAGAACAAATAAAGCAACGAGAATTGACAAAATTACGAGAACCGACGAGACCAGACAAAACAACGAGACCATACAAAGCTACGAGAATTGACAAAATAACGAGAACAGACGAGACCAGACAAAACAACGAAAACATACACAAGTACAAGTAACGAGAGAGATTAGGAACGATAATTGACGAAATAACGTGAACAGACAATTAAAGTAACGAGAATAGACAAACTCACGAAAACAGACAATTAAAGTAATGAGTATAGACAAAGTCATGAGAACAAACATTAAAGTAACGAGAATAGACAAAGTCACGAGAACGAACATTAATGTATCGAGAGAAGACAAAGTCACGAGAACGAACAGGAAAGTAACGAGAATAGACAAAGTCACGAGAACGAACAGTAAAGTAACGAGAGAAGACAAAGTCACGAGAACAGACAACTAAAGTAACGAGAAAAGACAAAGTCACCAGACCAAACGTTAAAGTAACGAGACTAGACAACTAAAGTAACGATAATAAAGTAACGAGAGAAGACAAAGTCACGAGAACGAACAGTAAAGTAACGAGAGAAGACAAAGTCACGAGAACAGACAACTAAAGTAACGAGAATAGACAAAGTCACGAGAACAAACATTAAAGTAACGAGAATAGACAAAGTCACGAGAACGAACATTAATGTATCGAGAAAAGACAAAGTCACGAGGACAGACAATTAAAGTAACGAGAATAGACAAAGTACAGTTAAAAAAACCAGAAAAGGGTTGCAAGAACAGACAAAGCAACGAAAACATACACAAGTAACGCGACCAGTCAAAATAACGAGAACAGACAAAATAACGAGAACAGACAAGTCAAATAACGAGAACATTCAATGTAACGAAATCAGACAAAATAACGAGAATTGACGAAATAACGAGAACAGACAAGAACAGACAAGAACAGACAATTAAAGTAACGAGAACATTCAATGTAACAAGAACAGACAAAATAACGAGAACAGACAAAATAACAAGAACAGACAAAATAACGAGGATTGACAAAATAACGAGAACAGACAAAAGACACGGAACAGACACAGGCATTGATTTGAGTTGTGAACATTTTGAAGACGGTGGCTGATCACAGGGACCCAAGAGCGGACCCTATTAAACATTCAGATAACAGTAGGTAATGATCATTACATTTATGATTGCATCATTTCACAATACCTTAACGGTTATACAAGATCAAGTGTGAAAACCCCAATATACATATATCATTTGTATGAAATGCATTTTACATGATAGATGAGATCTTTAGACGTGTGGTGTTTCGGAGAAATTCTTACTTGTGCTTCGTAATAATGCTATAGCGGTCAAACCTGGGGCTCAATGGCTCTACTATACTTGGGAGAAGGCTTTTCAAAGTTGTGATGGCGTGTGCCTAATCCCATGTGTTTGATTGAACGAATAAAATATGTTTAAATCAAATCTACTATACTTTCTCAATCATTGTCGCAAAAATTTGATGAGATCAACAAGTAACATCTGTTAATTGATATTTAGGACACTATGTATAGACAACACCACTGTAATAAGATGTTGTATTTCAATGCACAATAAAGTGTAAGCATACAATGTTCACGTACCTAAATAGTGCATACATACAATACTGATCAACACATTGTGTACAATATATGGAAGCAATGCATTATAAACACAGTGTAAGCATACACAAACAATGAAAGTGATCATGCACAGTACAAGAGTGTACAATGCAATGTACACAAGATACAGTGGTGTACAGCAAGGCTATGTGGATGGCACCCGTTTTAGCGTTGTAGTATACTGTTGTATACTGGACTAGTGGAATAACAGGAAGGCAATGTGTGAATCACTGCCTGGCTATATCTGTGGAGGTATCACCTGAGTCCGAGAAAAATGAACTGTCAAAAGAACTGTTGCTTGTTTCCTCAAAGTTTTGTTTTCCTTCCCTGTTGAGAGCTTGTAACATACGGGCACTATGTTCCTGTGCCTTTGCGCGTAACGCAGCTATACTCTCCGACCGGAACTCATCCTTTTGTTTATTGTCTTGTCCTTCCTCTTCTTCGTTCTCCTCCTCTTTCATTTTCTTAGACGCCTCAATAGACTTCTTATGCATACCTACAGGTAAGAGAATGAAATGATTAACTTTTTTTTATCACAAACGACATGCATGATACATCATATTGTTTCGTATTTTTGAAAATACGATTTCGATACAATTAAACCATCAGAAATCAATGTGTTATTGAGGAATACCTTGCTGGCGTCTGGTGGCTGAGGCGTTTTTCAATATTCTACAGGTACTTTTAAATTATTTTTATGTTGATACTGTATCCGACTATGACTTACCTAACAGCCACGGTGCGTTTGACTTATCGATGCCCTTGTTAGCTGATTTGAGGATAGATTCCGGAAGGGGAAGTGCGTGTCTAACCATGGCTCCGTACAGACCGTATTCTGCCATAATACTACTCTTCCCCCAAGTCTTCTCGCTTTTTCGCCATTTTGCTCGTCTGTTTTGAAACCAAACCTACAAAAATAAACAATGCTATTTAAGACCGCTGAACACTCTGCATGACTGATCAAAATCTTGTGAAATTTTTGAAAATTGCAAATGTTTTTGCCGAGGATAAAAAAGGGAGGAAATGTTGCAGGTACGTGTATTGGATGTGTAATCAATATATTTATTTTGATAGGTGTTCATTGCACATTTGCTCACACCATCGTCTGCTTTGATCTAAACAAACTAAAAACAAACTTTTCGCAATATCGGACTAAGCTAATTGCCGTGCCCTGTTATACACTTGGAAAAACAAAACGACACAGTCCTGTAAATGTTTAGCTTATTTTTCCTATGTAATTAAGACGTATTTATTCTTTTGATATATCTAACCAGAGAGTACGTATACGCGCAGTGGAACATGTACTGAATGGATGGGGAAGTCGACATTACGCTAACCTACATGTCATGTAAGCTTCAGCTGACGTCATGAGATTTTATAATTTGAACCTGTCTGTATAGAATCACACATGCCGCTTATCTGTGGTCTTATCAGGCGTATCTACTAGATAAATGGTGGAGGCGATCACGTAGTACAGAGCTGTCAGTTTCCACAGTCTGTTGTATTCTGTATTCCCATGTAACCATCAGTCTAGAGGAGGCGAGCACGTCGAATTTCCTCCCCTATCTTGAGCCAGCAGAATAAATAAACACACTTTGCTGTGTAAATTTTGATAGCAACACTAATTACCCGACGAGTTTGACGTTCGCCAATAATTCCTCATGCCGAGATTTTGATTTTTGTCTCTGATTGTGGCAAACTTTTGGGTCTCAAAGTGCACGTGACAACCTATCGGGTATCGGGTTAATACGGGGTTAAACCAACTTAACCTTGAATGCCGGGTCGTAAGGGAGGGGCGAAAGAGGAGGTGGGTATGCGGCTATACAAATCTGAAAGGTCTTTATACATTTTGTGGAATATGGAAGTTGTTTTCTTTTCATATGCATCAAAGATAAGCGAAAATTGAAAACAGCTAGACAGGGAATGCATGCCACCGGCTGTATTTACCTAGTTTGTTGGAGTACAGATAAATCGGTTTTGTTTTATCTATAATATCTTAAACATCTAAATTCCACAGCGATACTTGAGCTTGATCAATAAACAATATATTGCATTTTTAAGCCATACACTGCTGATAAATGAAATGGTTGATAACGAAAAAGGCAGAATTTACACATGTAAATAAAAGTACTGTAATACCCACGATGTAGTACCTAAGTACCGAGTGTTATTATCCGCGTTAACGTATATTTGTGTGGTCCCCCATCAATGATAACACTTTTATACGTACCTGAATGCGATCCTCAGGTAGGTCAACCTTCAGTGCCAAAACCTCCCGGGTGTACAGGTCTGGGTAGTGAGCCTCCTTAAATGTCTTCTCTAGCTCATCACTCTGGTAGCTCGTGAATATTGTTCTACAGCAAAAATAATCATTCAATTAAATGATCATCAGAAAAACAATATTCAATATTACATCTTTTTTTTAAATATTGTTCAAATGCGAGAGATATTTATTATACGTGTATATTTTTTAATTTTCGCATGTAAAGTGTATACATGGAGTGGTAAATCCACTTTGTATCCCATTACAGTTTAGCTTCCTATAATTGATACTGTCTATACTCGTCTTTGAAAGCAGAATTACATCTGATGCTTCATGAAGAAAAAAAATCGTGTATCTTTCAGAAAAGGGTGACGACGAAGACAACTAATTGAAAGTATTGCTGGTAACACTTCAACACCACCGACAGCTTTAATTAAAACTCAGGGTACGAGTTCCGACTTGTAGGGGAGAGTCGTGGCGGGTAATTGGTGTCGGGTGAGCTCTGATTGGGCTGTTTATCTCGGCGCATGACACCAAATCGATCTGTAGCTTACCGCACTTCGCTTCCGAATAATCCAGTCATTTCATATGATACTAAATTGGAAAATGTAATGGGTAATTTTGCTCATTACCGGCAACCCGTCACTACAAATACACATCGTTATTTATTTAACATCAGCAGTTCAACACACGATTGTCATGCCCTGCCATTATGTGTCGCCATAATCGGGGCGTGATCAGGGAACTCTTCAGCGTAAAAAGATGGGAAAGTGAGCCGACCAATGGCGCGCTGTAATTGCTCAATGGCTGAACATTGTTAGACCGTTAATTCACGCGCTAGACAATGGACCTCCCGCTGGTAAGACTGGTTATGGTAATGAATTGTTCATTTTTGGCTAGCTGGTGTCTTGGATAGAGTTACAATGTAATACAGTCATTTGGAAGTAATTACGATCGGGAAACGTAGAGGATAATTGTCCTACAGGACTTTCCTCCTCGGCAATAAAGGAAGTGGTCAAAACGGTATTTGACAGACTCCAGTGGGCACGTATCTTTCCGTTTTGAATGATCATTACATATTATAGTGTCCCTTTAATCAGTCAACAATTTCATAAGATTTAGCCACATAATTTTGAATACATGGTTCTACAATACCGGTTAAGTAACATGTTATCTATATATTTTTTACAACCAACCCATCTACGCATACGACTGCCGTACGGTGATAGCTGAACTAATCCATTAATATGATCATTTTACTGGTGATGTTTCTTTATCTTAAACATGCAACAACCAAGTCTTTGTGACTCAAATGTTAATTAGGTCGCCGTGACTGAAATGATAAGTAGGTCGCGCTGACTGAAATGATAATTAGGTCGCTGTGACTCAAATGAGAAGTCGTTGTGACTCAAATGATATTTAGGTCACCGTGCCTCAAATGATAATTAGGTCGCCGTAACTCAAATGATAATTAGGTCCCCGTGACTCAAATGAGAAGTAATCGCCCTAACTCAAGTGGGAAGTAGGTCGCCGTGACTTAAATGAAAAGTATAAGTCGCTGTGACTCAAAGGAGAATTAGGTCACTGTAACTTTATTTACCTGTGTCGCCGTCTCTTCTTCTGCTTTTTTCCGTGGCCACACTCCGACTTCTGTATGTGTGCACACTCAGGTCTCTGGGTCACTGTAAGTACACATATGATAGATAATGATTTACACCTGCTTTGCATGCACCTCCCAGTTTGAGATTGTTTCTAGTTCTACAAAACCCTGGGCAGCTTTAACAATAAGTTATAATACACCTAAGTTGCCAATGCTAATCGAAACTACGTATGTTTTATCTGAATTAAATCCCGGACATATTTGAAACCCCGTTTTAGACCAGTCTTTGGATCTGCCATAGTGACTTTACAGAAAGCGAACTTCCGTTATTGTGAATATATACAGCAAGTGACTGATTATTGTAAGCTGATAATTATACACATGTAGTATGTAACCGTTCTATCATTGTAATAAAACATATTGCAATTGTCTCTTCCCCACATATATTATAACCATAGACAGTAGCTTATCGTTCAATGCAATCAGTATATCATAAACAGTAAATGGCTACTCTATTAGTTTAATCATAGACAGAACAGAACTTTATTTAACACTCGGGTAATACTTAATTCGGTCATTTATATACATTTAGTGCCTGCTTCATTAATCTGATATACCGACAACTTCAATCTATCATCTGACTGGTCCCCTAATGACGAGGTATGGCATGCAATGTTGTGATGTACCAAGACAGACTGGTCAAGTTTGACCACAAAACCACAGGATGGGACCAAGTAGGGGACAGTCACCCCTCCCAACTAACCGGAAGCGAGCATCGATATTAAAATATTTACATAATCACTCATCTTAGGGTTTGAAAGGGCGCCTATTTGTGTTCACGGTTACATACGCATGCGCATGTTATGGAATATTGAAATTTTCCCAGACTCCCAGACTGTCAGATCTTAGGTTCATTCATAAAACAAAATATGGGTCAGTTTGTGGTTGGGGGAAGACTTAAGTAAATTGAAGGTGATTAAGGCAAGGGTTGGTAAGAAGATGTCAGAATGGCGCTCAGGTAAACACGACACTCGACCGACTGTCAACAAGTTCGAGTACCAGTAGAGAGACTTAAAGTGTCAAAGGTTTCTCCATTTTCACTTGATTTTGTTTAAACTCGAGATAACGTTTACCGATAGTTTAAAATCTACAATTATTGTCTAAATTGACCCCATGATTCTGTTAAAGTGTTATTTCATGGACACCGGCGTGGGAGTCCGACAAGGGGAAACTAAAACGTTTTCGAGACCTGGACGGTGCTCTGACGCCAGACCAAACGAAAACATTGCTGCTACTCACGTGCGTCGCCATGTTTTACTCATGTAAGAGTGGCGCGTGCTGGTATATCGTGTACCTGGACTCTCGAACAATGTACATTTTGTTATGTTTTATAGGTTATTGCAGCCAATGACATCTGTTTATAGAACTGTCGTCCCGAAAACTCACCCAGCGTGAATCACAGGTGATTAATAACGGGTAGGCTCAAGTTTCATTTTATACAATAACGTACCACTTCATTTTAACACTGTATGACGTAATCACTATTAAGTTATCCTCATTTACCACTTTATGACGTAATGACCAGTACGTTACATCCAGTTCCACTACAAATGTCACTTGTTTTACCTCTCAAACCATCCCTTAAATGGGAGAGATGTTGGTTAAACTTATGCATTAATTTACTGGTTAACTGGTTTAATGAACAACTTCGACCGTTGCTTTTAATTGGTTAAAATCAGGAACTTTGGAACGTAGCGTTTTGAAGATTGGTGCCATTTTACTGTGTGCCCCTTCATTACGAAGATCAGCGATGTATTATTATAATGGAAGTTTAAATTAGTTAGTTGTTATAAATACCTAAATATTTTCAGTATGATAAATTGACATTTTAGTGTAGAGCTGTAGTTTTTGCATATTGATTAACAAAATAATCGCCGCAAACAAAAGCAGAATCCTATTCAGGCATAACCTCTTAACATGAAGAGTTTGAAATAGAAATTTGACGTAAACGAAAAATACAAGGTCTTTTTAATGGATATTGACTATAGCATTAAGCTGCTTGATAACTGACAAACGAGCATATTTAGTAGATTGAACAACACACGATTATAACAGCCATGCCTTTATCCACGATATGACAATCCTACGTCTGCTTTAAGCAGAAGACAATGTATTGTCAATTATACAAACCAATTAACGGAAAGTAAGAAAGTAGGTTTAACTGCAAAAACATGTCTCGTATTAATGACATGGGTACAGTAGATGCTGTCTCAAAAACCCTTTAATTTTATTTTACAATTCAATACGTCTCAACTTTCAATCGACCGTAAACAATTAAATCTTTATATTTGATACAAACCTACGACAGCTACATATACATGTATACACGTATGAGATAACGACAGTATGGCCAAACACGGTATCGGGCCTGAACTCTGCATCATATATACTTAGCTATGTAATTATAGTGTAATGTGTTTTAACATAACGGCAGATCGTCTCAAAAAATGTTCGCAGAGTTGCTATTATGTTTTTGTTTATATTTTAAATGATGAAATAAATGTATATTGATCGTTTTGTGGAAATGTTGGTGCATACATTCAAATGCCCAAATGAATGTGCACTTCAAATCTCAATACACAAAATCACAGATTGTAACCGCTTAATTTCGTTTTCACTCTATCGAGTGGGTTGAAGTTTGCATATAAAGTTCGTTTGATGTCTTGTCTCCGCTACTAGAGTATTTCCCACCTCGATTCAGAGCGGCACTTGATGGTCAGTAGTGGTCAAGAGCGTCTAAAACGAGAGGTGGGTGGATGGGTATGCTGTACAGCTCGCGAGAAGGGACAGAATGCCATCAAAGAATGACCATGGAACGTTTAAAGAATTCCACAGTGGCTGGTCAAGAATAGAGCTGAGAATGTCACAATTTATACTGTTAATTGCTCAGCAGGACAAGTACAACAAGCCACTAACTCTAGCACGTCTCCCGAAAAAGGTCTCGCCCTGGTCATCGGTCCCGCGGTGAAGATTAAGTAGCCTCACAAAACAGTTCGCCTGCTCAATTGAACAGCTCTAGTGCCTGATAATGATGAAATCACCACCAGTTTTACAATGAAGGGCTAATGACGATATCGGCCGGGATAATTAGACTCCTCGCCGGGATCCATTTTAAACGTTTTAATCTAATAAGAAATAAAATGTCAGAATCGTTCGGCTGCGGCAATGTGTTGGGCAGGGCTCGGCTGCTGGCTTGTCATTAGGGTGTTGACACATCAGTATGTTTTGCACCAATTTGTAACAGGAACAAACTCCGGCATTGTAGTGTACAAAACCAGCACCGGGTGATAGTGTCAGGATGTGTTATAGAATACAATTGGACGTGTACGGAAATGACAGGTTTCGGTATTGGAAGATGTTTCAATAGATTCTATCACAATTAACGACCGTTTTGGACTGTTTTTATATAACGATAACCCTGGGTGTTGTTTTCAAAGAAAGTGTTTTAAGTTGTTAGAGATTCAATCTTTCCGGAATGACGGGAATTGGATCCTATTTTAATTAGATTGCTGCTGTAACAGATATTCGTTATGCTGATAAAATCAGAATAATCTTAATCAATAATCGGTCTCGAATTATTTTCGATATTGTGTGAACATAACATTTAATTTGTTTAATGTCGAGTTCATTATTTTCGTTACAAGTAAGATACATTTTCAAATAATTTAAGAAATTTTGTAATCTTCATACGCTACATGATGATATAAAGTTACAAACAACGTAAATATCATAGAGGCTCGAAAGATGTGATATTGGTATAATTTCGTCATCAATCTTAAATATGGAAGCTAAAAAACAGCGTAACCACACTAATCATCACTTGAGTGTGATATGATATTATGATCACAGGTGTGTGACTAAACATTATAATCACTCGAGTGTGACTAAACATTATAATCACTAGAGTGTGACTAAACATTATAATCACTAGAGTGTGACTAAACATTATAATCACTAGAGTGTGACTAAACATTATAATCGCTAGAGTGTGACTAAACATTATAATCACTAGAGTGTGACTAAACATTATAATCACTAGAGTGTGACTAAACATTATAATCACTAGAGTGTGACTAAACATTATAATCACTAGAGTGTGACTAAACATTATAATCGCTAGAGTGTGACTAAACATTATAATCGCTGGAGACTGTTTTATAATATTATGATCACTGGAGTGTGACTAAACATCATGATCACTGGAATGTGACTAAACATTATAATCACAGGATTGTGACATATAATTATGATCACTTAAGTGTGACTAAACATTTTAATCACAGGATTGTAATATATTATTATGATCACTGGAGTATGACTAAACATTATGATCACTGGAATGTTACTAAACATTATAATCACAGGATTGTGATATATGATTATGATCACTTGAGTGTGACTAAACATTTTAATCACAGGATTGTAATATATGATTATGTTCATTTGAGTGTGACTAAACATTATGATCATAGGATTGTAATATATGATCATGATCACGTGAGTGTGACTAAACATTTTAATCACAGGATTCTAATATATAATTATGTTCATTTGAGTGTGACTAAACATTATGATCATAGGATTGTAATATATAATTATGATCACTTGAGTGTGACTAAACATTTTAATCACAGGATTGTGATATATAATTATGACCACTTGAGTGTGACTAAACATTTTAATCACAGGATTGTAATATATAATTATGATCATTTGTGTGTGACTAAACATTATAATCGTGAGTTACGATCATCTAACAAGAAGTTGTTTTAGTTTGTGGTGATTGTCAGGTACTTTAAATAACTTAAGCTTCATTGTATAATCTAACTTTTTAATAAAAACCATGTGATATGCAAAAGTAGATATAATAGTAACAGTGTAGATATATTCAGACAACGAAAAGAAAGGGAAAAGAGAATGAATGAACGAATTAATTAATTAATATTACATGAGACATGTTCTAGTCTTTTTCTTATTCCGACGGTGGTCTATTTTTGTTGTGCTTACTAGTATACAGAACCACGTAAGTAAAGGTACTTGTAAAGGCGAAGATTTTTTTCTGTTTGGTGATATCATTAACGACATCAAATCAAATCTTCGTATTATAATTTAATAGGGTTTCTAATGAGAGAATTAACCGATAGCGATGACATAAAAATGTGATAGATGAAGCCAATCCAGTCTCTCTAGATCACTTATTAGCCAGTAATGAATTATTAATTTAATTTTCTATAATAGTTTGTCCAAGTCTGTTACACTCCATCACAAACTGAATTGCGCTTCTACATCAATTGGAGTATACTATACGTTGGTGCTTATTTCTTAAACAGGAGAACGGTTTGTGTTTGTAATGTAATAAATTGGCATCAACAGCTCACAGTTTACTACAGAAATACCAGTGTGTCTATATAGTGGTGCTGTTATTGTGGCGACTTGGAATGGTACACATTAGCCGGGCTGCCCGGGCACACCGCCTGCTCCCTCCCCGAGGGCATGGCGGTGACAATGTATAGGTCTATATATATTGTAACATTGGGGAGATGTTCCGTTCGACAGATATTTAATCAGATTTGCTTGTTTATCGCGTGGCTTAAGAAAACACAAAGTCCTTAGAGACCGCCATTATTAGCTGAATATTTACTTTCTGTTCAGATTCGTTCTGTTTCGGTGACGACAGGTCCTCACTACAAGTATGCCACTTAGCGCGGATTTTTGTTGAATGATTTTGTCAACTTCCGGTGGGCGTGGCTAGTGAGTACAGGTAAGCGGGCTAAGGGGATAGCCAAACCCAGATTGATGATGCTTTTAGGCAAATAATGACGGGCTTTATTTATTTGTATTCACTTTTTATGATGATATTTGTTTAAGTGATCTCCTAGCTCGTTTGATGAGTTGCTGATTTAGTAGTTACGTTTTAAAATGACTTGCACTGGTAAAATATATTAAATACATGTAACAACATTACTGTATAATGCCGTATTGTTCCCATTTAAGAGGGTGTCATATTTCATGCATAATTTAACAAAATTTATGTGTGTCTTGATTCGAGTCCAATCAAATGTGCCTTTACGTATAGTCTGTCATATTTTATGAATTACACATGCGACAAAATCGATGTTCTCGTTCCGGCTGTTTTCCATCTTATTGTTCCTATGTTACAGCAATGATACATTTCAGTTGATAATGCATTGTTCATTATCCTGATCATTTTACTAGGAAATGTCTTAAACAAATTAATGCAGAAAATCTGCGTCAATCCTTATGAAAATTTGATCCTACTCCATGCGAAAAATTACTCCAATCCACCCGAAACATTGCACCCTATCCGCGTGAAAATGTTTCCAATTCATACGAAAACAGAGCATGTATCAGTTACTAGATAAAATCTGTATCGGCGTACAATTCAATTCCTCTATTTGCAAAAAGAAATCCCCCTAAAACTGTGATTGAATAAAGAGTTAATAGTTTGACGGACTTACAAATACGTCTTAGTACAACAAATTCTTATTTTGAGCAGAATTTATGAACTTACTTCTTAAATTGGAAACATATCTTAACAAAGTTTTTCAAATTATTAATACCGAAAAATTACATTTCTATTTATTATATCTAAAAAATAATGGTTACCGATTATATTCACCTCAAAATTAAAACAGATATATGTTAGCACTACTTAAAATATTCTATCGTGTACTGAGTTCGCTTGATAAGTGTTATCAGACCATATTTTCATACATGCATAATTACAATCTGTGTGTAAAAGTTTAATTCGCAATTACTATACGTCAGTATGGTCCACGTTGTGTGTACACTATCTATACATAATATATGTATTCATTATTTATGCTAGTTAGTGTATGATTATGAGATTGTATATACATTTATACGCATTAGCGTATATGCATATTTGAATGTATAATCTGTACAAGGCAATGTAGGTATATTTTCTTTTTAGATATATGATGTAAATACATTATTTATACACTTCAGTGATTGGATATTTGATTATATATACATTGTATGGATAAAACCGTTTGTGTTTACCTATATGTCTTATAATCTTAGCTTTACTTTCATAATTAGGAAGCAAATTCCAGGAAATGTTTTCGAATTTACACTAGTCCATTTTTAAAGTTTCAAGGTATTTATTTTTGGTGTTTTATGAAGGTATTTTGTATCGCCATACTACTATTTATATGCACAGTTGAAACGCACGATGAAAATAACCGTAGATTTAATCCTTATATTCTTTGAAATAATTTTGAAAAACGACTAAACTATACCGGTATTATGATAATTGATCTTACAATAATTACATTATTACTTTTTCCTGAATGTCCTAAATAATCTTATTCACAAAACAAATGCGGTATAAGTTATATATGTAATTCTAGATAATCAAAGACGTTATTTTTTCATAACAACTTACCATCATCTAGACATGGAGCTTTGAGGCCGTATCCCGGGTTATCCCCGTACCTGGGTCCCGGGAGGTCGGGACTGGTCTGGATGACGTTGGGTTGGTACTGGTTGTAGGATGTGTCCATCCGCCATGGATTGAAGTTGGCACAAGAGGTCTGTGGCATCATTGTTTGATCGCGGTAGTAATTCTGCTGCTGAGGCATTTCCCCTCCACACGATCCGGAATTATGTCCGGAATTTAGTCCGGAGTTTAGTCCGGAAATGTACATTATATTAGATGGTGACATGCCCTGTGGGTCAAGTAAGTCCGGACTTTGGTTTTGTCGGCAAGACTGAGTGGGAAGTCCAAGAATTTCCTGGATGGCGAAGGACGGACGCTGGACGGGCTGTGTATTATACATCTGTTGAAAATGCCCACCGGAACTATACTGAGACTGGAAACCAAGCATTGGTGGTGACGCAGAATTTATAATTGTATTTGCGGAATTAATTATCGTATTCATTTTTTTTAGATTTTTCCGAAATAAAGTCTGAAAAAAACAATATATATTTTCGTATCGAGTATTATCCTGTGCTGTTGTTAAGTGTCTGCGATCAATTTTCACGTCTATAACTCAATACAAGTTGGTTTTCCTTGAGTAGTCTTACGAGGCCAATTTTGTCCATCAAATTACGAGCCAGTGCGCTAATAGGAGGTGTTACCATCGACCAACACGTTTTATGGCCAGTGTTTTATCTCTTATTCGACTCAGACAGAAATCCCCCGTAATCCAGGTAATTCACTGCTCTCTTCAACCTATGTAGCTCTATAGGAATTTCTTGATTTCAAGTGCCGTCCCATAGACGTGCTCTCGTGCAAAACTCGAGACCTAGACTTTTGACGTAAGATGTCACATGTAGTAATTAGCTATTGTCTTCCGGTATAAGCTCCGCCTACCTACCCAGGGAAAGGTGTGCGCCCATTCACTGTACCAGGACTGTTTGTCAATCATCGGAACACCTTGACAGCCCTGGCCGACTTTGGTGTCGGTCAGATGTAGGAAAACAAACATGAGCGCTCTGATTGGCAATAGCCCCGCAGTGAATTCACCACGGGGTCCGTACCGACGGTATACACTTTTGACTGGTTTGAATTTAAAGCCAAACGGTTATGATATTTTATACTAATTGAGTGAATGATAAGGTTAGTTTCCATACTTTAAGACATAAGAACTTTATGTTTTCTTTATCTGTAAAACGAAATATTCGAGTCTTATAAACACTTGATATTTCCTCATGAAATAGGAGACACACAATACAGACATAAATAAAGGTCTCTAATGAAATTCGTTTATAATCATTCAAAAAAAAGTTTCACTTGGGAGGATTCCTTGCGAAATCAATATATTAATTCAGTCGAAATGTTTTCCAGATATTAGATAAAAAAAAACGTTGATTATTCTAATATCACACGCACTCATATATATGTAGCGAATCAATGTGCTCATGTCAATATTTTTACACAAAAACGTTTTTATTTCTTAATAAAGTTGCTAAAAAAGCCTTTTTGTTAAAAATGGTAAAAGTGGTACGTTCAACTAAAAGAAAGACGCAACCACTTTTCATTTCAAAATGATATTTTCATAACACGTTAACTAAATGATCAGAGGCATATATTTAAAAAAATTGCTGTAGACAACGAGATATTGACATTTTTTTCTGAAATTCCGCTACAAAATCTATATATATTTAAAAGTTCTTTCATCTGGAGGGGAAAACTCGCACATGCGCGTCAAGGCATGTCCTCAATAACTGATGTATTTGACCATTCCTTGTTAACGTCTAAATGGCTTAATTATCACTCGTACGCATGCTTATGTATCCGTGCTAACGACCGTACGTATACTTATATATACCCGTGCTAACGCCCTTTTGCGTATCCGAACTATTGCCCGTACGCATGCTTATATGTATCCATGCTAACGACCGTACGTGTACTTATATATACCCGTGCTAACGCCCTTTTGTGTATCCGAACTATCGTCTGTAAGCATGATTTTGTATCCGTGCTAATGACCGTACGTATATAGATATATCCGAGCTAACGCCCGTTTGTGTATCCGAACTATCGCCCGTACGCATGCTTATCTATCCATGCTAACGCTTGTTTGTGTATCCGAACTATCGCCCGTACGCATGCTTATGTATCGGTGCTAACGCCCGTTTGTGTATCCGACCCATCGCCCGTACGCATGCTTACGTATCCGAACTATCGCGCGTACGCATGCTTATCTATCCATGCTAACGCCCGTTTGTGTATCCGAACTATCGCCCGTACGCATGCTTATGTATCGGTGCTAACGGGCATCCGACCTATCGCCCGTACGCATGCTTATCTGTCCGAACTGTCGCCCGAACGCATGCTTATCTATCCATGCTAACGACCATACGCATGCTTATGTATCCATGCTTACGCCTAAACGCATGCTTGTGCATCCGTACGCATGCTGCCGTGACGGAATATTATATATATACTATTGCCCATGCTGGTGTGAGGGATGTTACCTATCGCTGATACTAGCGGGTGTGATTCCCATCGCCCTGTTAATAGAGTTAAATGGCAACCAAGTATGATCTAATACAATTGTCACCTGCAACAAAACCATCCTAACGTACCCGGGGTGTGACAACTGTACCTGTCAGGTTCCAGTGCTACCTGCGGAGACGATGAATCTTTATTGTCAGACCAATAAAGCTGACTACACCGGCCTACACCCGGCCACCCGACATGTCAGGCCTGACAGGTCTACCTGTCAGTCAGACCTATTCTTTCCTCTACATACACATTTACCCCTTCTCACACGTAACATGACCCTACACAATGACCAGACCTCCACGAAAACCCGGCAAATGTCACGCCTAAGTCCACCGATAGTATTAGTACTAATGTATTGAACTCTGTGGTCATACTTACAATTCATTTCAACCAGAGGTATTTTTTTAGCGTGTTCCGCTATGATAACATATAAGCAATACCTATCATAATAACAAGGGGATTTTCTATGTTCGTGTTTCGTTACATTTATGCTAGAGACAGCTTATTTAAAATATACGCTTGCTTATGGCGAGCGCGGGCGGAGTAACACAGGAACACCCAGTGGTGATTGGCCTCTTCAATGGCGGCGTAATTGCCATTGAATTATAGAAATTAGGTTGTTACTTAGGATAAATTGGGCACATTTAACAGAAGGCTCGGGTAGTAGAGCAGCAGCCATTCACATATGTATTGCCTATATCAAGAAAGGTCGGCCGGTTGACGAAATACCTATTCATTTATTTATTTTTTAGGATTACTTCCCCTTGAATTTGATTAGTTTATCATCTATCAACTTGGTTGCACATCGCTTATTAAATTCTTTTAAGCGACAATTACTATATTAACTGTTGTCTGTTACCTTGCATTGATGTAAGTGTGCTTATAGACGAATTTCTTTCAAAGTAAAAGCCCAACCTCCAACTTACAGATTGAGAATATTATGTGCCATTCCGCTTTTTTGAGAGTTGAAAAAACGTTTATTAACGTTATTTGCGTCATTGTTCTTTGGATTATACAGTCTCTATGTTCTTAATGTATTAAGATAATAAAACACCAATACTATACAATTTGGCGAATAAAACGTAATTTAACGCCAAAACATAACATATTATGTGTAACAAGAAAGAATACAAAATACCGTAAAAGTACAAAATAATATAACGCCATTGCAAAATACCGTAAAGGTACAAAATAATGTAACGCCAATACCTAGTAATTTTATACCAAATGCAAAATAATGTAACACCAATACAAGGCAATGCCAATAAAAATAATATAATACAATATAGTAAATGTATCACACATACAAAAATAATGTAACAAAATACATGAAAAATAATATAAATCACTGATAAAAATAATGTGACTCCAAACAAAATAATTCAAACGCAAATCAAAATATAATGTAACGCTTGTTTAAAATATTGTTATTATAACCAAAACAATGTACGTAGCACCAAAATAAGATATAATGCAATACCAAAACAAAATCATGTTACATCAATATAAAATATATTGTAACGCCAATATAAATTCTGGAGTACCAAATTTAAAATAAATGGTATCGCCAATACAAAATGACATTATACGAAACGAAATAATGAAGACAATATAAAACAAAATGCCACCAACTCCAAGCTAGCATTCTAACGTCAATAAGAAAATAATGAAACGCAAGAAAAAACAATATATTGTAGTGAAACGCCAGAAAAAACCCAGTGATGTGTTATGCGTCGTCAAAACAACAATCCGCAATGATTTTGAAATGGATATAATTGGAAATTCGACTTCTATATACAATTAAATATAAACAAAAGAATCAGTTGCATCAAACTACTTTCGGATTAAAAAAATGAGTTCTTCGTTATACCCTCCTGTTATGCAGTTCGGACTGCTTAGGTTACTACTTTGTACCGTAAGCTGAACGTTTACCGCGATCCAAAAAGGTGTGACCGGTTGGACCACAGTTTTTCGTTTATAAGATAAGGTCGGACCTAGTAATCTGATGCTGCTTTCAGGTGAGCCTTGACAAAGCCTTGCAAGTTCTGCATAAATATTTGCAAGTCCGCCAGGATTTATACCCGAAAATGTTCCAATTAAAAAACGAATACGTGTACAGCAATCCCAACTAACATTTCTGTACTGCAGCTCAGACTATAAAGGGCAATGTACTGCGATCTGATAAAGAGGGTGAGGTATTATGGGGGAGGAGGTTATGTACAGTAATCTTAACAATCGAGAAACCTCATACACCCAACCAATGATCGGGTGCATTCTAGTTCATTATTTTGTAAATATTTTCAAATGTTGAGAATTCATTGTCTATCTTATTTATAATTGCAACTCATACAACCACATAACGACTTGTCCCGTTGATGTTAAACACCTACACTAGTGCTTTTATAGAGCTCTTTATGTTGAAGATGTGTATGACAGTGTATAATGTTTGACAAACCCAGAGAACTTTCACGGGAAGTCTAAAGCTGCACATCTTCCAATTACTACAAAACACGATACACAATCTTCAGTAAAATAAGCATGTTATGTGATTAAACTAACAAAGATTTTTATAAAAACTGTCTGAAATAGGTATTTACAAAGGCTCGTTTATCTCGGCTCAACTTTATATAACCTGCCCGTGTGTTGTATGGCGTTAGGCTTACCACTATGCCGGGTAGAGCCGTGGGCTAATCCCGTGTGCAGCTTGACACATACAATTGGGCTAGTTAGCGGCACTCAATTAGCCGTCTTTCGTGATAAGAATCCAATGAACATGGAATGCAGTTTTTTCGTCAATAAGTGTACTCTCAGAACCTATTATTGTGGACCTCCTTCAAACGTACACACCGAGAGCTAGGGCAGATTTGGACATGTCTTTGCAACTGTTCGGATTCATCACTAGATAATACTTGTGTATTTTGTGTATTTTTTACTCGATTTCCTCCAGTTTTACTAATTTACCCGGAAGACCGACTTAGACGATAGACGATAACGATTACTCTGTAACTGTAAATGATAATCCCAACTGTCAAATCTCCTCGTCTTTGGTGGGATCAGATCGCGTAATAGTATATGTGTGTATAGGTCTCTGATCAGCTCAACATCAACCAGCTTGTCTACATATTTACAAATAAACGATTATCCCATTAGTCAACTCCCAACTTCTTTCATGTTTTCCGTGAT